GAGCAACGCGCGCCAATTTTGGCCGTGGTCGACAAGCACAAGAGCCTGATCAAGGACCGGGACGACCTCGCAGCATCGAGCCAAGATGCTTCTCGCCTCATGATGCGCGGCCAAAAGGGTGAGAAGCGAGACCCCGGAAAGCTTCTGAGAGAGGAAAAGATGCGCAAGCGGATAGCCAAGGAACTGCCCAAGGTGTCAGCCGAAGTCCGCAAGATGCTCGAAAGATGGGAGGACGAATATGGTCGGCCGTTTCTGGTATTCGGAGAGCGCTATCTTGACGAATTAGAACCAGAAGAAACGAAGAGGGCTGGCCCTGCTTCACGATCCAAAACTCCAGCAAAAGCACCTCCGTCGACGGTGAAAAAATCAGCAGGTCTCACAAGAGTCCCTAGCACAAAAACTGTACCGCCTCGCTCCATGACCAAGACTCCGACGGCGGCGGGCCGAACTGCTACAAAGAAAATGCAATCGCCAGGCAAGACCAATGCGATATCCGGCAGACAAAGTCCGTCGAGGATTCCCGCTCGTGTTCCCCTGTCGAACTTGAAGACGGGCGGCAACTCTCCCGAGCGTCCATCACGACCAGAGTCGAGGGCAGAGACTCTTCGAAACGGAGCGCCAGTCCGTGCTCCGCCACCAAAGATGCGTGACTTGAAGTCGGTTCCCGAACTACAGACACCAAAGAATCCGTACAGGGGAACAGGCATTGGTTCGAGCATTGTGCGCCAAGTTGAGCCCGAGGATGTTTACGACGACGGCGCTCAACCTTCCCGGGGTGTGCGATCCAATTCTAACTTGTCCAACCACACACAGCCAGTATATTACGAGGATGCATATGACGACCGTTATGACGACCGTTATGATGACCGTTATGATGACCGTTATGACGATCGCTATGATGACCGCTACGCAACAATTCGCGGACCACGCTCTGCATACCCACAAGGAGCGCCTTCGAGGCAACTGTCAAACAATTCACACACATCGACTGCCATCTCCGGGTCTGAGAACTGGGAAACATACGATGATAACAGCGAGCCAGAAGAAGACGTCTCAGAAGACTATTACAACAAGCTCCGAGCTGCGCGTGGCAAGAGGTATGAGCCCGAGCAGGGCCATGGACCTACAAGCAGCCAGGCCAAACGCCTACGAGGCATTCCTGGGACACCATACGCAGCAGCACCAGTCATGATTGATAACGATGGTAACCGGATCATTTCCGGCAGCGAATGGACTGATGAAGACGTGTTTTGAGGATATGATTGAGCCGCACAAACTTTGAATCCCGCTCATTATGAACTCGCAGTGACGGCATGGGGATTGTGACGAACGTTATGTGTGATGCTCGTTATTCTCTGTCTTGGCCGACCAGCAGCGTCGTCGCTACTCGGATGAACTTATGATGCAACGGATAACACTCTCTCTCATCCCGTCGATTGGCTGGGTCACTTGGAGACCTGGACGAGGCGTGCCTGCATATCTCTTAGCTATGGTCGGAGCATTCGCGCCCAGGGCTGGCGTCGATGGGCGTGCTACGGATTTTGAACTTGTACCTATCTAGGATTTGTCTTGTTCTGTTTTTTATCTATAATTGTCGGGGGCTATTCTGAAGACTGGTGTTTTATACTGAAGGACAAGCTTGCAAAAGCGCCCAGGACGTATATACTAAGGCGGTGCGTACCATGCTTTGCGGAATGGACGGAAATGAGAGGACTTGGACAATGGGAATTGACGGGGCGAACAAGGAACAAGCCCAGGGGGGGGCGAGGGAAACGGCGTTTGGGAAAGCTGGCGTTTGGGATCTTTTTGCGACTTGCATACAGGGTACAGTGTTGTTGTGAATAAGACGTTGTGTTGTGGTGCTTGCAATCAAGCCTGTGTTTTACTCGGCTTTTGTTTGTGCGCATGATGCGAGACTTTTTGCTTGAAATTGATGTGGTTTGCCGTGACATTGCCCTGATACGTGAATGGAGGGATGGAACCAAGTCTGATACCAAAGTGACTAGTACCAGACGCGTAAAATACGAGAATTGAAATGGGCAGACATGCGCAAGTGTGGAGTTTGCCTTGTAGGCTGTGTTGAACTCACATCGCATCCTGGTCGTGCAATACTAGTACTGTATTGACTGTACTGACTCCTGCCAATGTACCAAAAATAGATGTGTAGAGCCAGCGCAATCAATGACTGATGGAATAGGAGAGGGCTGGGGGAACATGGGAGGAAGTGTTGTTGGCTCGGATGGCCTGGATGACGGATCAAGGTGGAAGGTGGCTGCCGGGGACCTGCGCGACTGCGTCTGACGTTGAGCCTCGAGGTCGAGGTCCCGTCTCATCTCCACATTTTGGCTTCCCCGTCTTCCGAGCTGTCATCTGACTGACCACGGGCTGTCTCTCTTGCCAAGTGCTTTCCAGAGCATTTGTGCTTGTATTCGGGGCCCGGGACTACCTGTTGCACTCTTTTTATTTTTTATTTATTTATTTTTGAGGAAACAGTGCTGCTCTCTCCCCCTACAGAGAGTAGTTACTCGCTGCCGAAATCGGCCCCTTTTTGTCTGGCCGACGCGTTCGTTGCCCTTGTCTACACACCTCCCTAATGTCGTTGCCAGTCGTCTTGTCCCGGCGATGAATCCCGCCGCGGCATCTCACTCGGGTGGCACGCAGGACGACGCTGCTACTGCTCTGAGAGGCGCCTCGCTTGCGTTTCAGCGCAGTCCAGCAGTGGGAGCTACGTCGCCGCCGCTGCCGCTGCCGCATCACAGCAAGGACGGGGCCTCATCGTCGGTCGGCCGGTCGAGAAGTCCGCTTGGGGTGGCTCTGGATGCCACGGGCGATGGGGGCAACGGTGCCCACGGCCATCACGTCGAGTCTCCCGTGTACCGGGCGGGTGTGGTTGCTGCGAGGCTGCATCAATGGAATGGCTCCCAGGCGCAGCTGCAGCCGACGACGCCTGCGCAGCGGCTGGATCCGAAGAGCCCGAGTTTTATAGCCGCTACGCTGGCCGCCAGCAGGAGCGTCAGTCCGAGTCCCTTGGTCAGAACGCCGCGGAGGAAGACTAGCTTTGGGGCAGCGAGCCTGCTGGGGAGCGCGGATGCCGTCGATTCGGAGAGTATCGCTCCCACGGGGAACTTGATATCCATGTTTGAAGCGGCCGGGGAGGGCAGCGATACGACGAGGAGACCGGCACGGCGACGGACGCCGCCTCCTGAAGAGTCGAGAGATGCCACGCGGGGGGTGGACGTGCCGGCAAACAAGAGAGAACCGGCGCCGTCGCCGAAACCGAAATCGAAGAGTCGTCATGTACGGCCGCCCACGCCGCCGCAGGGTGCAGATGAACCGCGTTCGAGTTCCATGCCGCCGAAACAGCCGCCCACTCCTCCCCATAGAAGCTCGGAAAAGATATCAGCCATGCCAATGCCAAAACCCAAGATGCCACAGCAGCTCACCTCTTCGCCAAAACCCCCTCCCAAGCCTGCGAAACCTCAGCTGCCTCCGCCTGCGGGACCAAAGCCAGAGCAAGCTGGGATGCTGCCATCACCCCGAAGACCTGCCGCCAAACCAGCGCCTAAACCTCTCAAGGTGCGACTTCCGAGTCCCCCTTCGGTAGTTAGCACGTCTACACCCGAAGTTCTATCTCCCAAGCCGGTGAGGCTGATCACGCCGACGCTGGCACCTCCCATCTTGAGCAGTCCTGGCGCATACGATCAGGTCGACTCTTCACCTTCACCAGACCCGGACAAGCGTACTCAGACTACAGGCATACGGCCTCCAACACCTCCAAAACCCCGGGGAAGCCAGAGATTGGCGACGAGAAAAACTGGCAGTCGGAGTCGGCGTCGTGTGAATTCAGACACGCCCTTGCCCCGTGGCAGCTCATCCGCAACACCTCTCACGGAATTTGGTCTGCCAATCGTCTCCCCGTCCCCCCCGCAACAACAACCTGTTCGTCACGTACGCCGGAAGAACACACCTCCTCCTCTTCCTGTGAGACGACGAGAATCCGTAGCTAGTGCACCAACATCCCCCGTTCGCGATGCGCCTCGACGTCGCCGGCCCACAAACACGTCTACCACCAATCTAACACTCGATCCCCTTACCAGCGCCATGATGGCCAGTTCCCTCGCTTCCTATAGACTTACCCCTCACAACACCGGATCTTCCCTTCCTCCACCGAGTCTGCCCAAACGCCAGAAATCGCCTCATCTGCTCCAGACTCTTCGGCAGCCGCAAAGCCACTCCGACGACGACCCAGAACGTCTGAAAATAGCACACCGCCACAAGTTATCTAGCAACAAGCACGCGCACCACGAAGGGTCGCGGAAACGATGGCGGGATCAAATCACTCAGAGGGAACGCAAACGATACGAGGCAGTCTGGGCGTCTAATCGCGGCTACCTGCTCAGTGACGACAGTCCGTCGCAGAGTTTAGACAGTGGCCTGCACAGGATCGCGGCAGAGTGCGTGGCAAACGTGGTGGCCAGGGAGATTTGGAAACGGTCCCGGCTGCCGGAAGACGAGCTCGTCGAGGTGTGGGAGCTGGTTGATCGCGGACGCGCTGGGATGCTGACGAGGCAGGAATTCATCGTGGGCATGTGGCTGATTGACCAGCGGCTGAGGGGGAGGAAGCTGCCCGTGAGGGTGTCTGACAGCGTGTGGGACAGCGCGAACGGGGTGCGTATTTCGAAGCCCAAGGCCAGGTGATGCCGCATGTGCTTTTATTGTTGGAGAGTCGAGTGGTCAAGAGGAGGCGATGCGAGCATGGCAGCATGATACCCCACGGCCGCTGCTTAGATGTCAAGTACAGGTCATAGACGGGCTTCATTCATGAGCCCTTTGTTTATTTAATACACGGTTCGTCGTTGGACCAGCTTGGTTGGAATATCAAAATAGTGTTCATTGTATTTCAATCTATCAAGGCTCGCTTCTTGTGAATCCACGGGTAGGTACTTCCTCTCTCCCTTTTTTTTCCGTGCTCCAACTCGCTGCAAACTTCAAAGTAACCTCTAGGACTGGCTGGAAATATACTTGGTGGACGTCTCCTCGCCAAAGGTAACGGTGACGTTGAAGTTGCTCAGCGTGGGCATGTGCAGCGCGCCGTACAGGCTCATCAAGCTGGCGGTGATGAGGCCCCTGCCTCTGGGGGCGCTTTCCGGAATGGCAACCTGCTGGGTGAAGCTGTGTAGCTGGTTCGACTGGCCTGCTCGTTTTTTTGTTAGCGCTCGTCCGGCCGGCTTGCGGGCGTTTGGTGAGGCGTACCGGGACCGAGGTAGATTGATCCGGCGACGAGTCCGAGGCTCTCGGGCGTTCCGTGGCCCGGGGCGTAGCCGAACACAATGGCTACGTCGTACACGGCCTGGATGTAGTTCTCGCTGATGATGGTGGCGTTGACGGTGTCGCCCGGCCGGATGGTCTCGGGGACGGATATGCCTGTGATGCGGGCGTTGGCGAGGGCCAGCAGACCGGTGGCGAAAGCAATTGAGGCACGCATGGCGAGGGTATGATATGGATGCCAAGACTGGGGCTGGAGAAGTGGTTGACGATGGGTGTGATTTGTACGATGCTTGATTCAAGATGTGACCGAGGGGTGGTTGTGATATTTATGTGTTGGGGTTGAGATCTTTTTTTTTTTTTTTTTTCGTTGCGCTGGCAGCTAGCTACGGCTTCTGGTCAGAAAACCTGCTTTGAACTCGAGCTCGGAGCTTCGTTGTTTGCCAGTGTTGGTCGATCAGGTGTCGTGGCATTGCCACGGCTGATCCCATCAATCGGACGTAGCGTTTTGCTTTTGGCCTTGGCCGGCAGACACGAGCCCATCTCACATGCTGTTGGCCGCGTCTCTTGTTCGTATTTTGTTTGGTGGTTCCCAGTTCCGGCGATTCGGTACTATGAGCTTGCTTTGTGTCGGCGGTTGGCTCACCTGCATATTGGGACCGTCCATTCATGCAGGAGCTGCCGTCAGAGATGAATTGCTCGGCGGGCTCACTCTTTTTGCTAGGTGCGCTCACGCACCAACAGGTACCTAAATATTAAGTTATATATTATAATATATTATAATATATTTTATGGTAGGTAAATATATTCTATTATAAATTATCTCTTTAGAATATGGGAAGAGTTTAATTACATGCGATACATACTTACCTACTGAGGGGGGTGAGCGCACCTAGCAAAAAGAGTGAGCCCGCCGAGCAATTCACCGTCAGAGCTCATGCTGATCATCCCGAATCGGATCAGGTGCCGCACGCACCATGTGTTGCTACCAGCTCGTAAAGCGTCGGCCCAATAAACCGAAATTTCTTTGGCGTCTTTGTTCTTCGACTTTGGCTTTCGGGCCGGGGGATCCCCTTTTGAGACTGGCATGTCGGGACGGCATCAAGCTGGTAATCATGAATCCTTGAGCGGCTTGGATTGGTTTTCGGACCATGGGCGTTGCCTGGCGTGTATCTCTGTCTGCGTCATTTTCAGACGATGGTGACAGATACTGCTCAATACAACGGCCGTGTACAACCTTGGAACGAGCATCGAACAGCAGACCACTCATCTTCCCACAAACCTGGCGACGTATAAGCAACCGTATTCATTTCCAGCTACGTCAGCTCATGTATCCTTGCCTCTCATATCTGCAGTCATTGTTGCACGGCTGTGGCTCACCGCAACTAATCGAGCCACACTCGATGCATTCGGAGCTCAGGCGACGGCAAGCTCCTTGCTTGCAGCGAACTGCTTTGGTATTCATTCCAGGCATTCATTCTCTCTCTTCCTCCTCCTTCTGGGGGTCTGTATGGGAATGACTCGTGGCTAGGCGTCTTACTTCCAGCCCTTGCCCTTCCTGATATGCAGCGTGTCTGCACAATTCTGTCTTCAAAAATGGTGCAATACATCAATAGGTCTGTTGGCTGCACGGCCTTTTCCCCCCTCCCCTGCGCCGAGTGCAGGCAAAGAAGGAAGAGATCATGTTGGCACCGGAAACTGGAGAGTTGTGTGCAAGCCCCGATGTCTGTTATGTATGACTGCGAGTGTGCCATGCGCTGATCAGCCATATGAGGCATTTTGTCTTGCGTCTTGATGCTGTTTTGGAATATCTGACACGCAGTCCGGGAAACAGAGGCTCACCAAAATTAATCCCGCTCGTGCAGTTCCTCTCTAGCCCAAGGTGATTTAGGAGTGAGAGAAGCTGGTTCGATGTTTGCCAACACCGGTACCTCACATCTAGCTCCAGTTTGAGTGTTCCCCGTCGATTATTTCCATGATATAGTCGTGGTGACTTGTACATCTTCGTGATTCCATGAAATTGGCAGCCTCCGGGTTCCCAGTTTCCACTGGAATCAGCATAACCTACAGGGACTCGGCCAGGAATAAGAAGTATATGGACGCTTCTCTACGATGACACGCTGTTGCTCAACGTTTCAGGTCGAACACACCCGGCGGAGTGTCATAATTGCCAACTTGATGTTGCGCGAGTACTGAGGGCAGGTTCTGTGACCGCAGTCGAGTTCCTGCACCTCCACATCATCTGCCATTAGCTGATCTTGGAACCCATGCTGCCAGAACCATTTTGCCAAGAAGTAACAGGAAACTCAGCCTCTCGGGAAGTTTCTAGTGAAGCAAAGGTGACCGGGCTGTCCACCATTCGGTGCTCGATCGCCCGAGGACGCATTCAGCGACAAAACCCATACCCATTGTCACGGCATTTGCTTCTTGGAGCGACGTCCGGGCGTCTTGACAAGCAGTCGGTCCATAATCACGCCAAGGTATTAGAACTAAGCTCATAGATCGTTCGGAAACCCCGGGGCAGGGGATGGACGAGCCACTCAAGCCCAGGGTAGAAGCCAATATTAGAGGAGACAGCTATAACAGAGCTTCTACTTCGAGCCATGAGTCGCGCCTCCCTTCTCTGCGAATTCTGGAGATGCTGGGTCTTCGTTCGACAGATGCTTGCCTGTAGAATTAAACTTTTCGCTAAGGTTACTGCGGACCGGCGGACCGTCATATGGTTCGAGTAATATCAACGGGTCGAGGCCCGCGGATTTTGAGAAGGCAAGGGCTGTGTACTGGGTCATATCGTATTGTGTGAAATCATCTGCACGCATTTGCTTCCAGACAATTTATCGGGTCCGGCGAGTTCGGACTTTGCCAAATTGCTGCTCCTATCTGCTACATGTCTTGGCCACCTTGGCCAGTAATCCCTGCCGAGAGTCAAAACAGGGATCATAACATTGGCAGATTACGCAACAGATGTGAATACCGGCTGGGGCGCTTGGTATTTGTGCGGGGTGCGCTTCCCAATATTTGGTTCGATAATAACAGGGTTATTGATGTACCGCATGCCTCAACATTTGGTAGTTAAAGAGCAGCTAGCTTCGCGGGTTCCAACGGGCTTTGTAATCAAGGCCTCTGCCACATTCATTCCGCCTACCTCTGTAATTGAAGCGGAATGCTTCTTGCTTCTACCGAGGAGGACCGTCGATGTACCCTCCCTCATTCTGAATGGCTCTCCTTGACATACCACTAGTATTGCGGAAATACTAGCACAGAAGCGAACGGTCATCAGCGAAACGAATTCGCTTTCACATAACAAGAATACTTGCTCCAATGCCTCTTATTTTCGAGAATTGCGCTCGTTGTCTGTCTCCCAGGGCTTCTGGCATGAGAATCGGTCAACTTTTGTGGCATTATCCTCAGTTGTGTATCCAGGATAGCTTTGTTCGTTTTTTTAAAGACCGTGCCCTTCTCAAATTGCAAATTGCAAGTACGCACAGTGAAGCATCTCGAGTTTCCTCCGTGACAATTTGTTGGAATGGCCCGTCATCAGCCTTCATGGTGTCGCCAAAAACATATGCTGTCACTTGTGAGCGCCTTGCCAAATGGCTATAGAGTGTTTGTGGGAATGGCACGACATCCTTTCGCGCGGCATCGAGCCAAATGTTTCCGAGGTCCTGAGCTTACTATATCACGGCCTCATTAAGGCAAGAATCAAGCGACGTCATCATCCTGTCAGTTATGCGAAAGAATGGATAACTATGTATGTACGAGGTATGTTTGACTCACGTCCCATGCCTCTGTACCCACTTCCGTCTGCTCCTGGTTCTGATGTCCAAACCATGGCGAGATACAAGACTTCGTATGATATATTGGCTATAGCATCCCGGTTTAGCGACGTCACGTGGTTGGTGAGGCATACCCAATCTTGTTTATTTTGTGAATCCTTGGAGCCGGGAGAGTGCTTAGGCAACAGAGACAAACCCGACTGTGTGATAAATCGACCTCTTGGACAACGGTTCGCTGTTTTGGCCTGGCTTTCAAAATACCCAGGCACAATTTGGAGAGTGCGCTAAGACCAAGCTTCTGGTACTAATAATGTTTTGATGATCCCCAGTTCTAGCCTGCAATTGGGTCCATGACAAGGGGTTCCAGGCAGCCGTATAATAGTATGTTCAGTTCTATCCCTGTGTGCCCTGAGAGTTTGTTGATGCCTCACAAAGGAAGTGGTCGTATGGCAGAAAGGTTGACCGTCTTTTGGAAATATGTACCTCAACAAGCTGGATGCCAGCAAGCAGGGCGGGGCGGGCAAAATGCATCTGCCACAGGTTCCATGGACTCCGCCTGCATGGCCCTGTACGAGCCCATGCGGTAATCTGGTGATTCGTTTGAAATGATCCTAGGGCAAGAGCACACGTTGAATGGCACTTGAGTGTGGTAGTTAATTGCGTTGATTTGGACTGAAGTCAAAATGTTGAGGCCATCATCGTAAAATGGATGCAACATGTGGGTTTCCGCAATCTAAGGTTCCAATGTTCGTAGCTGCGCATCGACGGTACGTACCTCGGGCAATTACGGTAAGGCAGGAGGGGCCAGCCACTCACACTCACTCTCAGCCACACCACACGCCGAAGTACGATTCAACGACATGCACATCATCCAGCCGTTTCATCCCATCCATACGACATCTCTGACGCCGTCAAAGACGCCAAAGAGATCTACTTTTTCGCACAGCCCCCAACATCTGAAGCACCCCATACGCACCCTGCCCTGGACCGAACAACCTAAGAAAAGCATCTTAACGGTCCAACGAGCCGACCCTGATGGAGAGCGCTAAACCCAGCCATCAACCCCTTCTCCACGTGTTTATCGCACAAACTTCATCGAGGGATACGCCTAGTCTGCGACCCCAAGACAGCACGAAGAGATTGCTTTAATTTTGCCAGCTCTTGACTTTGCCAGTTATGACTCTAGGGCCCAGACTGCTGCGTCGCACTCTAAGCATACCCACTTGGTCGATTAAGCTCGCCCAGTCTTCATCATTTTCGACTTACACAATGCCGTCCAGCCAGCAACCAGCTTGGTTGAAAACTCTGATTGCAGATCAGGGGCCTCCGCCCAATTTATTTGCGTGGACGCCTGAAAATCTCGATCTGGGTGCAAAGCATAACACCCCAGCTATTAGCCCTACCGGCGGCAGAAATGACCTGGATCGACGGGTATTCATCCTCGGCGTCGGCAACATTGGAAGGCTTTATGCAAGTTGCCTGGCAAGGCAACCTAGGCCTCCACCCATCACCCTCGTGGTGCACAGGAAAGAGCTTCTGACGCAATGGGTTCAGGGCGATGGTGTCGAGCTCACTCGTGATAGCGTGGCTATTAAGAACAAGGATTTCGATATTGAGTGGTGGACTCGAACTGCCCCGGACCATGGCCCTGTACGGGAGGTGGCGGATGGTAAAAAACTGCGCAACCTCTTCATATCAACCAAGGCATCGGCCGCCATGCCAGAAGCAGATCGACTCCGAGGGTACCTGGACAGGCACAGCACCGTTGTGTTTGCCCAGAATGGCATGTCCAAGCTCTGGCCGCCGCACGGCCAGGAATATATTGCCCATCGATATGAGGCAGGCAACGCGCCCAGTTTTCTTGCTTGTATTGTTAATCACGGTGTGCTGTCTGTAGGACCCTTCAAGAGCGTACACACGGCTCTGGCGGACGCGTCCATTGGCCCGGTACTCGTTAACCCACATCCTCCCCCCAGCGTTGAATTTTTCATGACGCAAGTCGCTACTGCGCCCCTTCTGAACTCCAAGTCTGTCTCTGCGGGCGAGCTCTGGCTACTGCAGCTAGAAAAGCTTGTGATGAATGCCATTATCAACCCCCTAACGGCGTTGTTACGCTGCAAAAACGGCGAACTCTTCGCTGGTGGCGAGCTGAATAACCCCCTCGGGCAGGTCCTGGACAAGCTACTAGCGGAGACGAGTGCGGTCATCCACGCCCTCGTAAATCATGAAAGTAGTGCTGATATTCTCGCCTCATATATGGATCAAAATCAACCGTCTAAATCAGACATCCCCACTGAGAACATTCACGAGCTGCAGAAGGGGCTGGCAGAGCGGTTTTCTCTACCATATTTGAAGAAGAAGCTATATAGATTTGGTGTTCAAGTTGGCGAAAACCGCAGCTCTATGCTTCAGGATGTTGAAGCTGGAAAACCAACAGAGATTAGAGATTTCAACGGTTGGTTAGTAGACATGGCGGCATTTCTTGATCAGCGACTGGATGTGTCAACTCACCGTGCTCTTATAGAGCTCGTGGAGGGCAATGTAATTTTGAATCAGGCCGAACTTGCGAATAGACTTCTCTAGGTTGTTTATTAAGAACAAGAATAATTCCACAATCGAAACATATAACGTTAATATTCATCATTACTAGACCAATATGTCGTGAGGGGTATGTGCCATGAGTACCCGATGTGCCAAGGATTTTAGTTCAGAACGCCCCTTTTTTCTTCCTTTTGACTATCCTCTTGACCTTGTTAATATTACCACATGCCTTTTCCATCGTAACATTACCCTCAGGTTGTTCGCTTTTGCACACAACGCTAATACGCTAATGATTTAAAGCATAGTCGCAGCATCTCGTTTCCACAGTTCTCTTTTCAACCCCGCAGATAATCACCCGAGACGTCTTCAAAACCCACGCTGACGCCCTGTTCTTGCATCTTCTTGAGTAAATCGATGAGAATCAAAACTCTGATTTTCCATGCCACGGCCGGTGAATTTGGGGCAGCTCCATAGTGTCCGATTCCTCAGCTGCTGAAGCGGACCTCGGTGACATTGACTGCCATGTAGTATCGGGGTCGTCGGCACCCATGAGTTCCAAGACACGCTCCCTGCACGCCGCTGGTGTAAATCCCGAACCAACCTTGTGGGCAACGATACGCCACTTTTCATTCTCATAATCGGCCAATGCAGTGCGAAGCTTGTGATCCTAGTTTCAGAAGCGTTAGCCATTGGTATAGAACACGTTTCATACGAAAGCGCACTAAGCGTGCCACAATAATCACAGAACTTCTACCACTAGGACTATGTGACATACCATTTCGTCGGTCCACTGTGTTGTTTTCGCCTTCAGCTTGGTACAATAGCGAACTTGCAACGTCCCTGAGGAACGCCCAGGGAAGAAGTCAGCAATCTGCTTCCATGTCAAGTTCTTTTGTTCCTTCAGCTCTATAAGGAGCTGATCATCCTCGGCGGTAAACTTGAGCTTCGGGCCCCGAGGACGTGGAGCTGGTGGTGGCATGCCTACTTGACCGACCATACTCGGTGCTCCACTGCCATCATCTCGACGCATAGATTTGGATAAATGTCCTAGATCTGGAAGGTGGTGGTGATGGTGCAGTTGAGGTCCTTGTGCCTGATGGGACAAGGCGCCCACGCTGGAAGAGGTCGCCGCCGCCGCCGCCGCCGCTTGTCCATATGCTGCGCCGATGGAATTGGATGGCATGGTTTCCAAACTAGACTGCCCTAATGTAGTCACACCACCCATGGAAATGTCAAAGCCGTCTTTTCGAATCCTACTCGCGCTGTTGGCAACAAATGGCGCATGTCCCTCCGTGGGCGATGCTGTGGCAGAGTACATTTGCGTTGAAACCGAGGTAACAGAACCGAATTGGACGTGGCCAAGCCGATGGCCGCCCATCTGCGAAGAATCCAACTGCATAGTGGGGGAGTGTTGGTGGGATTGTTGTTGTCCAGGGATTCCTGATCGCGACGAAGGGTGTCCATGTGCGGGTTCTGGAGAGGTATTGCTCCCAGTGCTGCTTCCTGTTACCGCGGAATGAGCAAATGACGATCTGGGTTGTTGCTGGCTGTTGTATTGGTATTGCTGGGAACTTTGAAATGGATTTTGCTGGGCTGGAGACGAGTACGGTTGCTGAAGCTGACTCTGGTTTCCGGTGTGAGCTTCATGGCCAGCAGCAAAGTCCACACTGTAGCCCCCGACTCGATAATTGTCCGCCAGCGTGTCTTCGGCGCAGGGATTCCGTCAGAGCAGTGAGCCCTGAACGGTGTCCTCACCTCTTGACAAACGGCCTTGATACAACTAGAACGCCCTCACGGGCTCTGTCGCCAGAGGAAAGAGTGCTGTCTGAAGTACTGTCGTTTTCAGGGTTCGAGTATAGCGAGAGGCACGAATTAGAATCGGCTGTCGTGGAAGTCGGATGGTAATTCGTCGGGGACAATAACACCAGTAAGCAGGGTCTGCCTGTGGCAAGCTGCGTCTGCGAGAGGGAAGGCAAGCGCTTCTCCTGCCGTGTATGCTGCTGAAGGGAAGAGGTTAGCGCTCAGAGGAGCGTTAGGTTACCAATATTCCACAGCCCAGTAGTAGGGCTACTCTGCTGTGAGTGAGAGTGGCGACGACCAGGGTTGGGTTTTGGTAACGAGTGAGAGGGTGCGGTAGTAGAGTAGTAAGTAGAGTAGTAGTATGCTCGAGGCAGCCCCAAGTCTGACACTAATAACAGGTGGAGAGAGTGTCTTTCGGAGCCTCCCTTTTGCAGTATTGGCGATAATGATGCTTTATGGTAATAAGCTCTCCATGCAGCTCTTAAAGTCTGTTATTCCGGATAGCCTCGTCTTGACTGAGGGTATTAGTGACAGGATCCAGGTCGATATTTAACTGGAACCATAGCGTTCCCAGGAGCCCTTGGGCAGAGGGAGTTCCACAAGGAAGATGCCGAAAATGGAGACCAAGGACAAAGACGTCGGTGTGGACCTCAAAAGGTTCTGTGCCTGGGTAGGTATAAAATGGCATGGGCTCATGAGAATGGAATACTAGTACTAGAGCCGGCGCTTTGTCGAAATCATGTCCTTTCTGGAAATGACTCCGAACAGAGCGGACCATGTCGGTTCGGTACAGATCGGAGAATAGTTTAATGAGTGTTGCCGTCATGATGTCTCTTCACTCCAGAAATTGTCAAGGCTTTCCGCTGAGCACTTCCCTATTTCGCTCTTGTAAAGATTTGTAGTGGGCACTGCCAAGGCCATGGCCAGATGCTTATACGGTAATATCCATGGGCAGGGGTGGTCTTCATGCTTCTCAAGGGCCTTTCAAGGGTAGCTATGTGCCGCTAGATACAGAAGCCAGGTCATTCAGAGCCAGAAAGAGGTAGACCGGTCAACATCCGCACTTAGATTCGTGACCCTGTCGCAGGAGCAGGGCCCGAACTACCGCAGGCTGGTTCTCTGGGGCCGACAACCCAGCATCTGCCGCGGTTGTGGCCGAGAATGTATGTAGCAATGGTTCGGAGTACATGCAGACGAACAATTTCACAGCACCCTCCTCCACTACACGGACGAGGGAATATTGTAGCGCGAGGGTGCTCAGTCTTGGACCGGGGGAGGCACGCTCGATTGTGTGTCTGTGGAGTCTGTTGAAGCGCAACAACAGGGGACATGGTAGAAAGGATGGCAAGACCTTGACGATGGGGGTATAACATCCCAGGATGGGCTATAGCAGATGAAAGGTCTGCTCATCTATGCATACTCATAAAATCGGTATGACCAGCCTCCAGAGAGACCCCCACATAGCATAAATGCATTGTGTGTATTGTACATTAACCTTGGTCAAGGATGCCGCGGGAATCTGAGGGGACGCTTATCCCTTGAGCAACTTGAAGGCCCCGTTCGAGGTACTCTGCAAGGGAAATGCATAGAATAGACATGGGGATGATATCTGACGAGGAGGAGGGTCGACGGGCCGGCATGAAGGCTTGCACACCTACAGCCGCCCTACATGAAATTTCGACGGCAGATACAAGTTACAAGCTTGTCAACTTGTCAACCCATCCACCAGCAGGAGGTGGATCATCTGCGCAGCGGGATGAACGCCAATTAACCCAGTTCCTAGTCGACCAGATCCGTGCCGACAGCTGGCGGTAAGGCCAATATCTCGAAGACGACAAACACGAAGACAGCATCAACTAGTCGGCAACCGCTGCCGCGGAGGACCAGCCCAGAAGAAGCTACTTCTGCAAGCCAAAGGCAAAGGTCTCAAGGTTGAGAATGGCACGGATAAATTGGGCCGTGCGGCATATTCCCAGTTGTATCTCGTGGCACCGAGACAGCCCTCCAAGGCAGAGACAATGGAATATTCGGAGAGGAAGCCGAACCTGGCGCAAGGGTCGGCGGCAGGGCCGTCAGCATCCACTTGAATACGCTAGTCAGAGGTGTATGCAAAGTGGTGCGCGCGGCGTGTGGGGAGAGGCGGAGGGCAGCATTGATGTGCCTAAGGTGTAGCCATTTCGCTGTGAATGCAAGTAATAATTCGCAAGCTCCAGCGTTGGATGTTTTCTTTGTTGTCCGAGATGGCCCGGAACGCGAGCTTTCGCTGTCTCCATAACCCTCCTTGCTACCGAGTGCTTTACTCCCGACACTCCCACGTCACCCCCAGGTCAGCTGAAGACTGACCGCGGTCCGTTCTTCCTGGCTGCTTGCCATCCATCCTCGTTAGACGCCCGATCGACAATCCTTCTTGCGCGAGAGGCGCTTGCCTAGGCACAACGATTAAAATGAACGGATATCATAGCGCTCAATGCCGTAGGCCAGCTTTTGATGCAGGAACGGTTGCATATGACAGGCGAGGCCAAAACGCACCGCCCCAGTAATTAAAAACTATGTACGGCTGAGCCAGTACTCCGTATAAGCGAGAAATGCAAGGTCTGGCCTGCGGGGAGCGGCGCCAATTGGCAGAGCATTGCTCTAATCAAAGAAGGACGAGGTGCATGGTACGGCTGAAGAATGGGGGAGGCATCCGAGGCGACTGAGCGGGAGCGGTATGCCGGATGAATTGATGATACGCTATGCGAGGTGCGACGATGGGCAGATGAAAACAGCAGCTTGAGAAGCCCCGACTCGTCCAGTTTCGGGGGTGGTGAGGTGTCGATGAAAAGGGACAGAGGCGTGAAGTGAGCAGAGAAGATGGCACCAGACTGAGGGTCTGTGAGGCTTGCGGGTGAGTGGAGGCTGTCAAAATGGCGGCTAAAGAAGGAGCGCCTCAGTTCAGCCTGGTACCTGCCTCAGGTACGTACCTATTATCTGGCCAACACCGAGGTACCTGGGGTTTGGCTGACAGGCCCGACCCAAACCGCGTTCCGCAAAAACCGCCATTGTATTTCTCCATCAATCCTGAGAAGGCTGCAGGTTCGAGATTAGACTCCATGATTCCAAAGTGCAACTGAGGTATCTATCTTTCCTTACTACTCTGTACCAACCTCGATGCAGCCGAATTTGTTTTTTTTCCTACTTCTTCTCCTCCGCTTTTTGATCCTCAACCATCTCACGCGTTTATGCTCGTCATCATATCTTAACGCACCACGAGGTCTCTTTTCTTCGTCAAATGACTAGCATGTTTGTGCCGTACACCGTCCATCCTCAAGTCCAGCTCGACCAGACAAGGGGAAACCTTGGGGCCGGGATCGACAGCACTACAACACACCAACTTGGATCGATCGGATGACAAGACCTGGAGAGTATTCTTCGCTATGGCTTGACTTGTCATGAACAACCCAGACACCTCATCTGCCCTTCGGTCATGCACGTCGCTTGGGGGGGCCAGGTTTCCACAATTGAAGGTATGCTTCTACAGGGACCACAAGCCAGCGCAAGGATATCTTGTGGACTGGCGTCCGGGGTCTTGTCCGTCACTCTGCACATGAATGCATCAGAATAGCATTAGCTATTCTTGTCTGATCATGAAGAACAGCCCCGAAATGATGAAATAGCGACAGGCCATGTTCTGCTTTTTGTCGACGCCATGCATACTCTGCGTCAGGGCAGACTTCAAGGGTGAAAGCACAGATGCAACACAGCCATCATGAAGACATGAATACATACAATACATGCCTGCCTACATTCCATGCTCGGTCCCTTGGTATCCACTCGACGTCCGGCCCGGTAGACGTCGAGTATACCTTTCGATGTCATTAACACCCGGGCCGCAGGGGAGGACAGGCTGTCAATCTGGTAGTATGCCTGTCAACGACTGTTCCTGTTCCAACCCCAATTAATATCGGGTTCGCTCCTCTCCTCAAAAACACGAAGTACTGCTGTACATGCAGGTATTGTACATACGGAGTATGTAGTGCTGGAGGGTTTCGGGTTTCGGGTTTCGGGTCTAGTCACGATACTCTCCCGCCTGTTGCTATTAACACGGGGCAATCAGCATTCGCAGCCCTCATTCGCACGCATACTGCAAGTCTCCATCCCATGATGGCCCTTTATTATGGTCCAGGCCAGCCATATGCCGCACACGCCTCTTTTGGGCCTCTTCAGGATTGGCGCTAAAAATACCTTGATATTTTACCGCATTGCAGAGTGATGATGAGCCGCCATCCCAACTTGAACCACCTCGAGATCAAATTACTACCACGTCAAAGGCCACGATGGCGGCGGCCCTTTCGAATGCAACGTCATCGGGCCAGCCACGTCCGGCTATCTGGCTAAAGCGGGCAAAAAGAAAAAGAAAAAAAGCCTCCAAGTCACATGTTTTTACATTGATGTGGCATCTACCACAATTCCTGGTTCAAGCCAAATATAGAAATGGATGGCGCAAGTGATCGACCAGACTGTCTCAAATATCAACGTGCAGCTCCCTCCAATAATTCCGTCCTCCGCCGCCGTCTGATGCGAATCAGATCCAACAAGCGTCTTTCCCAGAACCCAGAAAGGCTGCGGTCAGACGAACGCTGGTCCTCTTTTGCCCGCGCACCCAACATAGACTTTCCTCCACCTGGACTTGTCCCTGTTCGTCTACGATGATGCTTCGCTTGTATGAGGTTGCAGTTCCAAAATCCCCCATTCGTCGATAGGCACGTGTAGGGGTTGGTACTTGCTGGCTCCCCAGCGGATGGGCCAATCGTATCATATGCACCCTTGTGGGACGTGCCACGCATTAATGCATGATGAATGAACGGGGCTAGCCGCTGCATGGGGGCCTGGGAGCGCTCCCTCATGTCGCGAAGACGACACTAGCTGCCACTCGGAAGACTCGTCTGGGTAACTCTCAGATTGACTTCTTCACCACATCTTGATTGTCTTCGAGATGGCCGAGCGATGCAGAGATGGAGCGGCCTGACAGGCACCGGGGCGGGCAAGGGGACACAGACACTGGGCGCGGTTCCGCGCCCTCGGTGAAGCCGCCTGAGCGCGCCAACTGTCCTACATGTATCCGTAAACCCACGTCCCATCAATCACGGGGGCGCGGACATGACTCTGGGCATCTCCACTGCCTCAACTACCTTAACCCGCGTCTTTGTAAATTTCGGTCAGTCTCTGATCCTTCATACGACGACAAACGAGCAGCGCTCTGCACATGCGTCCCGCCCGCACCAAATCAGTTCAGTCCCACGAAGGATCCTCCTCGAACCCCGGGCGCTGGCTCTTGGACGACAGTCATTCCCGCTTCGCTGGGTTGCACTAGATCTACGTCGTACAAAGTCACTACCGAAATTGATGCTCCAAAAAAGGAATGTAGGGGGGTCAGTCAGGGTCAGTGCCTTCGGACGACAATACGTCACCACTCTCAGCATTCCCAGCGTACCCGATTGGGTACCTATCTGTATGTACAATGTAGGGCGCGAGGCGCGAGGCGAGACTATACCACAAGACACCAAGATATGCCGGCGGCTGATGGTAGTATAACTCTGCGGGTAATAGTCATGGAAATAATAGCAGTCATCATGATATGGTTCTTTGATTTTATCAATCTCGGCATATAGTGCATTCCAAAGACTTGCCGTCCCCTTCCAACTACTCTTACAAAACATCGCAAGTAGGGTAAACCCAGCCTAACATACAGTGCTCGTCTCCCCACCCCCCCAAAAACCCTTTTTCTAATACATCGCCAACTCCACTCTCGCTCATTCCCTGCACGTAATAACAAATTATTCGAGAGGCCTCGTGTCCCTCTTTTCTCCAGATACCTTCGGCAGCGCCGTAACCGCCAACATAATGTCTGGTGGGTATTCCTCAGCCATGTTCGGTCGCATAATGCTAGTAAGTCACAACATGAAAGAAAAGAGAAAAGGGGAAAAAAAAGCAAATACATATAAACAGAAATGTTCAATCCATCGCAAAACTCCGAAACATCAGGATACGCAGGGGGGAACCCGGCATGCTTGAAAGCCGAAAGTGGGCGTCCGTGGCTGCATTGAGACCAGGAAAGTGGAAGATGCCGTAGCAAGCTCGGCTATTCGAAGTTGTCAGTCCGGTCTACCCAGATATCTTCCAGCTCAGCAAAACTATGAAAGTGAATAGGTCGGTGCTGATCGCTGTAGAATGGAAGGGGTGTGTCGAGCTTCACGTGAACCGGCTTCTTTTCCATGCCTGCAAAAGCGCTGCCCATAAAGCTGTAGTTCCATCTCCTGTCATCAGGCACCAGGAAGAAACCCCTAAATCTCGGAGACAACAGTAATTTTCGTTTCTCTCCCATGGTCGTGGTGAATCCTTGTGGCTGATCGCTCTGGGTGTCTTTGTTCTCAGCTCCCCATTTGTACCCCTGAGGTGTAAGGCCCCAGGCCGAGAGGGAGACGCTGCCGGGTGTGAAGGAAACGGAAACGGTCACTGTGTTTGTCTTGTCCCACTCGCTGTGGGCATCCAGCAGTTTGGCATGCTCGCTAACATCGGCAGCGGACATGTATGGCAGCTCGCTCCCAGACATGGTATGTATGACACCAAGGGGCTCCATGCCATCAAGGAAGTCACTGCGAGGAAGCTGCTGAGGAAGCTGTACGTTGCGAAGGCCACCTATTTGAGGCATCATGACGATGCACTTTATCTCCTTGACTTGCTCGTTGTCAGGGGCAGAGGAGCCATAGAGATATCCTGCCACTTGGACCCTCAGATCCGCAATCGTGATGAATTTCTTCAGAATATTGTTCGGCATGACGTAGGTGATGTCGTCCAGATCATTGTCGACAGAAGATACGTAGATATTCTTGGCTCTAGTTCGCAAGTTGGAGGTTGCAATGGCTCTTGTCCGCCATTCAGTCTTGGAGGCAAACGTCTGCTGCTCAAACTGCGACGTAGTTGTGACAATAATGTCTTCACCGTGCACATTTTGCGTCTTGGTCGTGACAGCAGTGAGCTGTTGTTGCTCTTGTTGCTGCTTCTCGATTTCTGCAGCCTGTTGTCTCTGCAGGGAAGGTGCAGAGATTTCCATACCCAGGATGATATCACGGACTTCACTGCTGGTCAAACTGGAAACATTGACATTGTTCTTCTTTCCGTAGTCATTCAAGATGAGATCTCGAAGCTGCGTTTCAATCTTAATCCAATCCTCGTCGGACATTGATGGCCAAATGTGGTGTTCATGAGTAATTACCGTCTTGTCGGGCCGAAGGATGAGCTTGCTCTTGTCTGGATTGACATGAAGCGCGCGGAGAATCAAAATCAGACGAGAGAACGCAGTGTATGATGAAATAGTCTTCAGCCACTCATCATAAAGATTGAACAACACCATTTGAGGCTCAGTGGCCCTCAAAATCATGTCTCCCAGTTTCTCAACCTTCATGGCAGCTTGGAAGGGAAGTTGCAACTCAGATGCTCGGATAGAGATGTTGGGGAAATCGACCAACTGAACTTCGAGGGGATCCAATAAGCCCTTTCTTGTAACGATAAGCTGTTTCGGCTGCTCTTCCACGGGAAGTGATCGGATCAAAGCAGCAACTTCTTCGGCGGTCTTCCACTTGGCGAGCTGCCCAAGACGCTTCTGACCAGCCCAAACGCTCGTGTGAATAATCTTCAGGAACAGTTGTCCAGTTCGAGGGTTAAAAATGAAGATGGCGCCATTGATTGGCTTAGTCGTCAAGTTGCCTTCAAATGTCTTGTGAATCGTAACACGGTAAACGTTGGTGTCGTCAATGAACAGCTGAGTTTGCTTGCTAAACAGCTCAGAGTAGTTCTGCGAGTTCAGAAATTCCTGATTGCTCTCAGATGCGTACAGTTGCAGGCCTTTGCGAATACGTTCACGCAGGACATAAAGTGCCGGATTGGCCTTCATGATCTTGGCCATAGCTTGCTGGATGAGAACTTTCAGACCGGGGAAATACATGCCGTAGGCCGAGTAAAGATTGTAAGCAAGATCAATACCAATCATCAAGCCCGTTGCAGAAGGATAAATACTTGAACTGTCGGTAGTATAATCAAGGTACTTCGCACGAGTATATCGTTCAATGTCGTGCGAGTCATAATCGCCATATCGAAGTTGCACATCAATCCAAAACTTGTTCGTAGTGGTCGGCTCAATGACATCCTTCGTATCAAACAGAACCGAGGGACGGGTGACGTTCCACTTGTGACTTGCGAAGAGAAGAATGTCAGCACAAGAGCTGTTCATCTTGTACGACTTTCGAGGGTGGATTGTTTCCTTTTGCACTGTCTCGATGCCGAGTGACTCCAGCTCCTGGTCAAAAACTTGACAAAGATCCATTACAACGGATTCATGGATCTTCTGCCACAAGTGGGCTCGGAATATCTGAATCAAGGAGATCTTGAGGGTGGGAATCTTTCCGTGCAAAAAGATACCAGTCAAATCAAGCTGCACCTGGAAACCAACGTACACATTCGCACGGTTGATGGTGGGCGACCACCACAACGTGAATCTTCGGTTTGGAATCTGGTTAAGACCTGATCTCTGCGCATTTGTGAGTTTCTTGAATTTCATGCTCTCTTCAAAACCACTGTTGTGAAGCACAAGATGATCGTGTCGTAGGTAGAGCTGGTCGCCATCGACTCGAAAACCTGCCCATTCCGTAGCTTCTGTTTCCAGCACTACATCCTTGACCACGAAGCTATGAGACTGAGGGATAAAGCGACCCGCAGCAGAATTGGGAGATGTTGGTTGGGGGGAGTTGAGACCAGGGCAGCTAAAGAGCCTGTACTTGCTCCTCTCTGTAGACTCAAGCGCCGCATATTGAGCGGTTGTCATCTCAATATCATCATAATATTGATCAGAGTCGCTCTTCACCTCATGAAAGACCAAGATATGATTCGAGGTAACCACAAGATCTTCTTTGCCACTGCCAATCGTGATGCGATAAAGTCGGTCTTTGCCGCTAACCACATTGAACGCACGTCGAGGTCCTCCATCAGGCCCAAGAAGCAAATCACCCTCCCTGACGTCTTCGACTGCAACTAGAGAGTGATCATATCGAAGCAGCATCGTGCCGTTCGCAAGACACGCTTTTTCCCAGAAGAGTCCTTCCCAGGAAGGGAATCCCGTTGCTTTGAAGAGTGTGTGTTCCAAGATGGTTTCAACACCACCGAGGGCCTGGATCACGTCGGTGCGATAGGCGTTGAGATTCCATAGCTTTCCGTCGTGTCGCTGACTAGTCCACCAGAAAGGATTGGACTTCATCAATTGATAAATCTTGAACTCAGATCTAGCTCGGAAACCTTTGTCAAAGCTGAGGGTGCTACGGTCCTTCTGGAAAAGAGTATTGATTCTGGGCAGACCACGGTCCCAGCTATCTTCAAGATCTTCCAACGTCAAACGACGATTCTGCTGGTTGGCCTCGAGTCGTTTCTGGGAGTACTCTGTCCAGACACGCTGGGAATCAATGAATTCTGCCTCCCAAGGGATGATGTAACGGAAAATATTGGGTATTAAGGTTTCCTCGTCATGAGTCATACCAGAGCGATAGTGGGTGACACCCGTGTCTGTCTGCTTAGACCATCGCTTGTCACTGGCAGGAATCAAGATATGGGAGCCCGAAATCATGCCCAAGCCACCAAGTTCCTTGGGAGTGTAGAAAACAGCTGGAGGGAAACGAGACGGCATCTTGGAATTAAGTCCAATCTTGACACGGGTTTGAATCTTCGTCTCACACTTGACAATGGTATCAAGAAGATCAACCGTAGAGACTGCTGCTTCACGATAGTAGGTGAAGAGAGCAATCAGTGCGGTATTCCATTTGTTTGCAATCTTAGTGAAGGTTGTTGAGCCAGACGACATGAGTATCTGTCGGATACGATTATTGAACTTCTGGATGTCTTCCTGCGTGACCTGCAAGAAAGCATGTGCCGTTCTCTCCTTGGTGGTGTTGTCGATGAGAGACCAGACGCTGTCCTTGACGGGGAACTCATCATTCTGATTTCGGATTTTTGGTAGAATCCGAACCTCAAATCCGCACATGGAGAACAGTAGGTTCGGGTTATCACGACTGTAGACACTGACAAAGCTGTCATCCCAGTCAATGGTGGTGACTGAACGCGGCAGACGGTTCTTGAGGTCCCAGAAGACTGCACGTCCCAAGTTGACATCATGCCTCATCAGACGCATACGAGAGTCTCTCGGCCAGCACTTCTTGCTCTTATATCCAATGACGTTCTCAAAGTTAGGATCAGGTTGCTCAGTGAGGAAGCGTTGGATAAGATCTCTAGACTCTTCGGCGGTAAATCGTAAAAAGATCCAGATCTTGTCAATGTAACGACTGTAGAGTCTGATTGGGTGCCTTGTTTCTGTCTCTCGATCACGGAACTGCAGGAAATCGTTGGGGCTCTGGGGAGGGCCAGCAATCTCGCTGGCACGCTGAGGTCCTAATAAGAGCAGATCCAAGACCAAGCCATAAAACTGGAATACGAAGGCTGAGAACTGAAGACCACGGATCATACCATAGCTGTTGACGTGATTCATGTCCTTGTATGTCAGTTGCACATTGTTCTTGGCAGTAATGTAGTCAGCCAAGTTATGGTCCATGATGAGTCTCAGTAGGGTATTGAGAAGCGTCAATTCCATCTTTTCGTAGACCTTGGAAAGCTCGGTTTCAACCATTACGTTGCATTCTCCATCTTCTGTCTCCCAAACGTGACTCAAATTGTTAATGCCCTGGGCCCATTTGTAGACCAACAGCGGTGGCACCTCAGAGTCTGATGGCTTGATCCAGGCGGGAAACAGATGTCGCTGGTCAGCTTGATACCACAAGTACTGATCAAGATAAGCATCGCTGATCTTCTCTATGGGCTCGATATCGTATACAGGATTGATCGTGCTGTAGTTATCGTTCATATCAATATTGACTTCTTTGAAAGCTCTCTGCGTGAGCAAGAACCGCTTAATTCTTTCTAATGTGGTGCCGGGGCTGTCATAAGCTTGCTCAATCAATGCCAGCTCTTCACGTTGACTCTGGTTCAGTCTACCCTTGACTGAGTAAGCCTCCCTCAAACGCTCCAAGGCCAGGATCAAGATCTTGGTGTCATGCTTGTACGAAACGCTGGGGAATGGAATGGGAGAAAATTTCCGAGACTCCAGCCAGTGAACAGTAGTCGTATAAATGGCGACGGCTTCTTCGGAAGACACATATGGGCCATCCTTCATGTGATTATGCTGTCTTTCTTGCTCAGCCTTGAGCCATAGTCGAGTCAGACGTCCAACATTCTTCTTCGCGACAGTCTTATCCACGGTTGCTCCACGACGAATTCGTTCACGGTTGTAGTGAGCAACAGAAATCCACCAGTCAGCCTTTGATTTGACATATCGAAGAATAATGTTCTCAATCGGCGCAGGCAGGCCCGGGACCTTCCAGGGGATGTTACTCTTCCAGCAACGCCAAGCTTCAGACAAATGCTGAAGCACAATGCTGACCTTGCTTTGTTTAATACCCTCCGGCATCATGTCCATCAGATCAGACATGACAGACTGGCGCAATTCCAAATCAAAATGAGACTCGACTCGCTGCTTCGTGACTGTCTTTGCCACACCCTTGCTGTGTCGACCTTCGAATTGACGAGACAAGAGGTTACCAAGCCATCGTTCGAGTAATGGGATGATACCTCTCATGAAAAAGAGCCACACTCTCCATGAGGGAGCCCAGAAACCACAGCCAGGACCTTTGCCCACTGGACCAGAGTTGAATCGATAATAAATCAGATGCTTCAAATCCTTGCAAGTACGAATCTGATGCATGAGCTTGTATTTGTATCGGTACATTCCGGTGAGCTGTCCAACATGGTTGAAAGCGTAATGAATGCCATCAGCAAGCTGGAAGGCATCAATGTTTCCAAGACGGTACTGAACTTGGGCATCCACAATCAGTTTTGTCAACCTCAAAATTTCACGCATAAGATGGAATGCATTTCCAAATCGAGACTTCTTTCGCTCCTTGGTTGTTAGTGTCTTCACAGGCTTCAGATTAAAGTTGTAGTCCAGGTGAAGATATGTCAGGTTCTTTCTGTGGATCAAGAGGTTAAGCATATTAAAACCTTGTCGGCAGACTTGAAGGCCAGCTTCAACCCAATCAATGCTTGTCTGTTGAAAGAACTTAGTCTGTTTAAGAGAGCGTAACAAGTTCTGATTATTGTGTGCATTGGGCTTCTTCTTATGAAGCTCATTGAGAACGAAGTTCTTCAGTAACTTCTGGTAAGAAACTCGAACCTTCACAGGAGGTCGGTCAGAGGGCGGGTGCTCCAAGTACCATTGCTTGATCAGAGGCACATCCTGAGCGCGAACCATCTTTCCAGAGCGTCTATCAAACGGGAAAGGAGCCCACCATAAATCAATGGCTGAGGATGTATGCTCGTTTTCAAGCTCTTCGTCGGCAAGAAAGGGTTCAACCGCAGCAGGCAGCTCGAACGCATCCTCCTCAGGCTCTTCATTATTTCCTGGTCCAAAAAGTTCGTCCTCAAGAGTGATTTCAACATTCTTGGGCGCCACGGTTCGGGATGAGATGGGGTTGATTCGTCGGTCGAAAAGGAAAGTTGGCAAGTCGGGATCGTCAGCACGGTTGAATACGATTTGTGGGTGCGAGTGCCACGTCAGGTGTACGCTTCTTGGGAGAGAATTGTACAGGAATGGATACGCGACTCGAAACTCAGTACGGATCGGAGTTCGAAAGATGATGCGATCTATAGCATTGAATTCGCCGAAGTCCTCCTCGTTTGGATCGATATCCTTGTACAACGGCTCGAAACGCGGTCCACCTGGAAGCGCAACATTGAGAGCCTTTGCAGTTAAGAAGCTCTTGAGGTCGAAAAGGTAGAAGTAGTTCTTGTCTACAACTTCAGAAATCAATGGACGACTGAGACGGAACAAAGCTGCCATTTGAGGTAGGGTGAGGTTCCATGTCTTGTAGCTCGCACCATTAACATGCGAGGTATCCAATAGTGGCCGATGGTCGTAGAACCATTCATAAACGGCCTCGTCTTCCTCATCGTTCAACTCCATTTGAATAGGCTCTAGAGGTTCCACGTCCTCGATGTTCTCGGACCACGACAGGGGCGGTTCTTCATCGTCGAATGGCGGGAATCGCATACGCTTGAAAAGCCTTCTATCGGCTTTTTCTTTCCTCATGAAGGTCCACATCATTGCCCATTGCGCAAAGAAGACGGGTTCAATAACGCGAGGAGTCTCATTAACTAAGGTCAGACATCCGTTGACATGATACAGAACCTTGACTTCACGCGCTGATTCCCAGGGCATAGGCATATTTTCGAGAAGTTTCAGGACTGCATGTGGCATGAACTTTAGAGCGCCAAGATAGCTGCGCTTGTCATTGGTGTATTTCTTTTGAGACACATCTCCGATATCTTTAACGATCTTGCGAAGATGTTCGGGCGGCATATCAGCCTTCTGAGTCTGGACGAAGCCGGCCTTTCGCTTCTCTCCAAATCTGTTTCGGCGATCCCTAAGCCATTCTTTCTTCTTTTGTGCAAACTTGGCGATCTGAGGGTAGGACGGAGGGTGATAGCCAGGGGGCGGAGGAGCTGGCGGCGCGGGTGTATCAGGAGGAGGCGGCAACGATGATGGGGGAGGTGGTGGAGGAGGAGGGGGGGCTGCTCCCCAGCCTGGAGGCGGCGGCGGAGGGATGCCCGACATGATGAAATCGCGACGTGATGAGGTGATGTCGCTTCGTGAATATGCGATGGTGTGCCAGTCGAGGAGGCTGCACGCTGAGGCGCGTGTCTCGATACGCTTATTCTGTTTTCACCCCTATCTTCGAACAGAAACAATGAAAAACAGTACAGCTCGCGATTTCCTGTTCAAGAAATAGGATGCCGAATTCGCAAGATGGCACGTTGGCGACCAAAACGGCGTTCTCCAACGAGGTGAAAGATGTCGCCTCTGTCACGACAATTTTCTGCCGTCAAGCTCTTAGCTCCAGACCCATAAATTGGATCACGTGATTTTCGAGTGCATTATTGCTTTCATGAAAAACCACAAGTTTTGTGACGCTGTTTTAAAAAGAAGTCTCAGGTATATTGTCATAAATTGTGTGTGTTGTTTGTTTATTTATTTTTTTGTCCTTTCTGTACCCGATTCCAAAAATAAATAACTGGTTGAAATGTGACGCATTGTCCCTTGGGATTCTCGCACCGTCCGTTGAGTGCTTCTTACAATTGTTGCCTACTTTACAGTCATCATCAACACTAACTGAAGACACGGAATTTAATTTCAAACAACTAATACCAAAAGCAAAAAAAGCTTCCAGTGAATAATACAGTTAACCTCACCTCCCACTGCGACTAAGAGCTTGAAGAGCAGTGTACATTTTCCGAGTTCATCTCTTCAAGTGGCTAACCTCCAGGGTACTGGTACAACCATGTACCGACCATCAGCCAATCAAAACAAGCCTGATTATTACCTAACCCGCATCATCTTTGACCACCACAATCCTAGCAACCAACTTCAAGCACTCCGATCGCGACGACATTAGTTCCATCAATTCACCGCGAGAGACGCCACTCGGCCGGCCAGATAAGATGGCGCACCTCAGTAGGTCCAAACAAATTTAGATTGATTCCTATAATCCAGAAGCTAACTCGATGCGCGTGATAGACGTAAAGCCGGACCCGGCTTACCTCAAGCACCAGGGTGCGTGGGATCCCCGACTTCGAACGTTAGTATTTATGGGTTCTAACGAAGGTGAAATAGCTATGCAAAAGACTCGACACCACTTTTTCCGATGGACTCCGCGAACAGCTAGAATCACCTTTATGTATGTGGCTGTTGTGCCTGCCATATTCGGCTATGTCGCCTACAAGACCGACGTGAGTAGATAATTTGGTCGAGTTGATCCCACAGTAGGGTGTGAGAAGAAAAAGCTGATTTTGTTATAGGGTCTCTACAATTTTCGCGCAAAGAGACGGGGCGATACCATCTACGAGCGATAGATGGTCTGGGTCGCGATGAATGTATTAAAGGATGTACATAGTTGGTTCTGGGGCCGGAATAGACACTTCCGTTTGACGTGAAGTTTGAAGGGCTCGTTTGCAGTGACAATTGACTGTTGATTAGCCTTCATGCGTTGGGTATATTGAGTAATTACAAGGTCGCTCGTTAAACCAGACGGAGGGACTGGCCATGCTCCAAATTAACCGTTCACCATCGTCCACCGCCGCCGCCTCGTGGTCTGGAAGGAGGCATATCCGGCAATCTCTCCCCTCTCCTCCATTCTCCCATTGGCATGCTTGCTCCTGGCCCTCCACCTCCCCTTCTTCCTCCCCTGCCCTCACGGCTGCCTCGACCGAAACCATTCTCTCGATTGTGAAAACCTGGTCCTCCACTGCTTCTGCCCCCCCTGCTTTCTCTATGCCCTGCAGTTACGTCCCTCCTAGCAGCAGATGCCGGTGCCACAGATCCATCATCCAATGGGGGTAAGATAGCGCACGAAATGTAGTCCCCCACCACGAATCGGGCTTCTCCAAGCGTCTTATCCGGGTTTGACGCACCGCGGGAAGCACTTCCTCCGACTTCAGCCAACTCGGGGTCGGTGGTTCCAGGAGGGTTTTGTCCAATGACTATGCTGCCAAGATCTTTCACAGCGTAGCGTGGATGGGCATTGTTGACTGAGCCGATGCCACGTAAGTCAGGGCATACTAATTGGAAAGACAGTCTTGTTCCAATAGCTGGGTATGGGAGGGCTGATGGTTTGGCAGCCGCCAGCTCCAGAGCGAGCTCGTTTAAGGTGCAACTTGGCCAAGTGTAAACTGAAATGTGTGGTGGAAGTGAACGGGTTGCAAACTCATCCGCCCTAGTCAAAAGATATAAATCATCAAGATCCACCCCATCAAATAAAACATGAGCAGTTCGCGCTGTGCTTCTCACCTGTAAAAGCCTCCATTTCGATAAAAGAACTGAACAAGAAAAGGCGCAGGGGGGTCACGGTCCCCATCATCTGAAGCCACAGACATGACTAGATACGATAACCACCATGCGACAAAGAAAAAGAAACAGATTCTCCACGACTGATAATCATGTCCCCATTGTTCGCAGATGCGCATCGGGAGTTGAAAACGACGCAATTGTGCTACTGAGAACAGTGAGAAGATGGCAGATTATCCGGCAAATACCCGCAATCGATATGGAGAACTCACGACATTCGAGACAACTTCCATCACCTTCATGACCATGACAAAATCGCCCATCACATACATAAAACTCTACAAACAAGCAGAAGCTCCGCAGAATCAATCAATCTCTCAATTGAATCTTTCCACGACTCGATATACTTCTCCAAGCTTTGTAAATCGGGCTTTGCGGCCGCGCAACACTAAAAATGGACTTTGCGTCCCTCATGAACAAGGAGCTCTCCAAGGCCAAAACAACAAACGACTCGTCCAAAAAATACCTCAAACGATCTGAAATCGAAGAAGAGCGGAAACAGGCATACATAGCAGAGCAAAAGACCCTCGAGGAGGAGCGCGAAGCGAAAGCAGCAGCCAAGCGCAAACGAGAGGAAGAGCTGGCGACGGAGAATGCAGCCCGCGAAGAGAAGAGACGCAAACTAGCCGAAGAGTCGAGGAAACTAAAAGAAGAGAGGGAAGAGGAGGAAGAAAGAGCGAGGAGAAAGCGGCTAGGGCTTCCGGAACTCGTAAAGAAGAAGGAGGAAGACGAAGGCCAGGCCGTGCAAGATGATGTCCCGGAGGAAGAGCTGCGGGAGAAATTGAGAGAAATAGGACACCCGGTGATGCTTTTCGGGGAATCGCACGCTGCCAAGTTAAGGAGGTACAGGAAGTTGACGACGGTGATGAGCATGGGCCCCATACCGACGACGCTGGCGCTGGTGGAGGAAAAGGACATGAAGGTCGACGGGACGGTGCCCGCGGACAGAGACGGGAGGAAGTGGCTGTTCAGACAGCTCGCGAGCTACTTCACCATGGTGCTCACAGAGTACGAGAGGACCATGGAGGAGGAGAAGAGCGAAACGAGCGCCGGCAAGACGGCGTACAGCGCCATGGTGCAAACCAGAGAAAATATGAAGCCGGTAAGTAAAGAGACTGCCTTTGCTCTACTCAAAAGAAATAGAAAGAAAAAAAGAGGGACACCAAGCGAGTTGTAAAGTTTCCAATATGCTAAGCAGATGACAGCTCTTTCGCAAATTCGAATCCAACGACGTGGACGACTCCCTCCTCGTACCGGTGGTGCAAATCGTGCAGGCCCTTCAGGAAAGACGCTACGTCGACGCCAACGACGACTATCTCCGTTTGAGTATCGGCAAGGCCGCCTGGCCCATTGGCGTGACCATGGTTGGTATCCACGAGAGAAGCGCTCGCGAGAAGCTGCACAACGGCGAGAAGGGTCACGTCATGGGTGATGAGGTTACGCGCAAGATTTTGCAGAGCATCAAGCGCTGTCTTACCTTTGCCCAAGTGAGGTGGCCGCCGACGGATTTGAGACAGCTGATGGGCTGAGCGCCGCATGGGATGAAGGTGAACTGGAACAAGGTCCAAGAATCATCAGTGGGTGGGACGGTCCGGCGTCTACACGTGTGTGTTATGACTACACATGGGATGGATGGGCGGTATAGATGGAGTTGGACTTGGGAGTCGTAGTGTATGGGTGAACATGAAGTAAGCTAGATGACGGATATGGTAAACTGCAAAAACGCACATTGATACCCATAGAATTGATTATATTTTAGCAAACGTGTGCCATCTCTATTTAAGTATGAATGTGATGTCTTCGTCATCCACCAGCAAGCCATTCAGGCATGTTGGTCCGATAAGCAATACGTTGCTGCGTTGTTGATCTGCTGCAACAAAGGGAATGAGATCAAAAATTAATACGCAAATATCAAGTCACTGTTTTGTCATTATGCATCATCTCTCATGTATCAGTTATCGTGCCGTTATAGTCGCCCCTCCAGAACTGACACCATCAGTGCCCATATGCTGAGCGTAGCCACAAGAGGGGGCTATTTCAGGGTAAGATTACACCATCCTTACATCAATTGGGCGGGTATAGACCAGTCTCATTGTACGAGATTTCGGTGAGACAAGCTCTGGGGAGTAATATCAAACAGGAACTGGATTCCTGACGCTTGAATGGCTGCTTACGCTTATTTGGTTGCCTGCCTCAGCTTGCCGCTTCCAGTTCAGCCCCTTGGGGGGAAGATTGCTTATTCTCGTCATACCAAGCCTCATCCAAGCTTGAACTGGCAGCACCACCTGAGATTGCCTTCTTACCTCCCGATACATCTAGTTCAGCTGCTATCAGGCTAATACGGCGCAATCGTTCCTTGGCTTCCCGCTCGTAATTCCGGGCCACTAGTAGTGCTTCTTTCTGCATCACGAGCCGGGCGTCGGGCCGGACGGCAACAAGAAGCTAAAGGAGATGCTTAGTATTATTATAATATTTTTGGATCTGCATGTGGTGCCGTGGATCTCTCATACCTTGTTTTTCGCATCGATACGCGCCTTCAATGCGTCTTGACGGATCATTTTTACTAGCTCGGGACCAATAGATGTGCCTGGCTGCGCAAATGCTGCATCTAAACTTTCTAGCGTAACGCACGAAAATGGAACAAAGTACTGAACGATACACTTCGTGCGAATCTTGGAGTAGATGGCTGGGACGTGGCTCTGCAGATAAACATCCAGGAGATAATCTGCCCGGGAACCCTCTAATATAGAGAGACAGTTCGAATATCGACCATTCACAAATAGGCTGATGGCCTTTCGAATGTGCGGCTCATGCTCGAGAAATGTGCGAAAGTACAGGTTGTCCAATACTAGGTGCTGAAGTTCCTTCCGATCCATGGTAGCAAGGGCCAGAAGGCCACCATAGACGGCGACGTCGTTAGGACTGGCGATATGGCTATATTCCGTTGGAGGTACGGTAGAATCTGTTCTCAAGAAGGCCTTTGCAGCATCTTCAAAGCGATCCATGCCCAAAAGGGCAATTCCAGAGGCAATTCTTGTGTATGCCTGCGGTGCCCTTTCATCATCCTCGTTCTGCACAGCTGTGATTTTACCAACGTTGTTCAATACCATGGCATAATCGCGACGGTGGAGAGAGACGTTGGCGAGGTGCATGCCACAATCGACAATATGTTTGGTGGTGCTCACATCCTGACGCATCCTGGTATACGCCTCGGTGGCTTCATTGAGCCTTCCTATGCTTTCGAAATGTTTGCCAAGGTCCTCATTACCCATCTGAATAGTGATACCATGGTTAGCTCTATGAATGCCAGTAATTTCCAAATGCTTGCTTGTTTGGGGGTACATGGGATGCGAACCCGGATGCTCTCTTTGATAAGATTGTTTCTGTATCCTTTCAGCTCACCCTCGAGCCTTGCCGTCTCGGCCTTGTTCGCCATCTCCGTTCGTTCTATCCACGCATCGTCTCTCTGGGCTTCTGGATCATTTGGTGCCACTGTCCTTAAAGCATCCCACGCATCGCGATAACGGTTGACATCGTTTCCTGCCTTGGCCTCGACAACAGCAGCTTTCAGAGCCTCAACACAAAGCGCCGCGGAGCTCTGGCCGATTAGAAAGAGGCGATCGAAGCGAGTTCGGCCTAGCCAAGGTTAGCCCAGCACTGGTTGGGAGGCATGACCTTGAGGCACGGGATTGTTATGGTTGCTGTGCCCGGGCGCATCATACCGACATAATTTTGGATATAGAGTCCAAGGTCAAGCTTCGGCAAGTCTAGTAAGGAGAGTTGGAGGAGTTAGCGGCTTTAAGCACCAAGGATTTGGAAAGTCGAGGGAGCTCGAATACCAAGTACGACGACGCCACCCAAGTTGCTCTGCTTGGCAAGGTAGCCAAGAACTTCGTCAGAAGCTGCCATGACGACTGAGGAAGCCAATACCGCGCCAGCTTGGAGCGTTGTTGACTTTAACGGTGGCGAGGTTGACGATGACAGGGCTGAATGTCTAGACAATGGAGCATGAGCACGTGTGAGGCCTTGGAAATGTGTCGCACAGCTGTTCTGCAGCAGCACTCGAGGGGTCAAGTTCAAACGTCAGGTTGGCGTCAGCGTGCTTGGCGGAGAAACCCAAGCGCCCAAGCGCCCAAGCGCTCGCTGCCTGCAAGCACAGGCGCAGCACAGCTGTGGTCTGGTGGTGAATTGCTCGGCGGGCTCACTCGTTGTGCCCCCCCGCGATGTACTGTCTGGTATTTACTTCGCATACTATCCCCATATATAATTAAGTAATTTATACTAAAGTGAATGTCCCTATTATAATGTATACTCTAATATATTATATTTTATTGTATATCAAGCCTGATAGCTAGGTACCTGGTGCGGCGTGAGCGCACTATTCCCCATTGTGAGTTGTCAGCTCAGCACCGTCTTTCCAATGTGGGGCAATTCCATCAGTTGATCCCAGGCGCAGAGTCAAGCAGCTCGCTAAACCTTTGTGCTCCCGCGTTTGCCCGTTAGCATCATGTCCCTGGCCTCGATGTCGTTTCCGTACCGGCCACCCACTGAATTATACATAAATTTAGGCGTGAAATTACTGGTCCGACGCAAAGGTGCGGGCGGTGGCAAGCGGACTCTCAAAGCACGGGTTCGCTGCTACTCCAGCCCACCTGGGCATCCCTGCGATGCGTGTTATATTGGAGTAGGAATGTTGTACAAAGTTAGTTACTACTAGGCAGGTACTAGGGGTTTTGAGACTTGGTCAACAACCTCGCTTACCATAGTACAAGGAAACGCTTGACTTGAATGATATTAAATAAGAGCCTGCTTCTGCGCTCCAGCAAATGCACTCGCTAACTAACAATGCATACTGATATGGAACAGTAAATAGTGTTTGAGCTAACGCCCATCCACTAGAGCCGCTCCCTCACTTCGATTCCAAGTTCCCGGCGGCTTGCAACAAGGCGACAGGGATGTCTCCTCGCCTCCAACTGGTTCAGCTTGGCGATCTGTGGACATATCGAGTGCGTATGTACAGATGGGATAACGGCCATCCCGGGTTGACATGGCCGCTCCATGCGTTCAATGACTGGGTGGAACATGGAAAAGGCGGCTGATAGATAGAGGCGTCCTTTTTCTTTTTCTTTCCCGTCTAAATCTTCAAATTTCAGCTTCGGGACATCGGCCATGCTATCTCATTCCAGACAGGCGTGTATAAGACAGGAAATATGTAGCAACGCCCCTAGACATGCATGATGTGCAATGCCCGATCCCTCGTGCACACCCTTAAAGAGAGAAAAAACTCTTGGGCGAGTTCATGGCGCTTCCTGGCTATGGAAGACAGCGAGCCAGGAGGAGACGCGGCGCACAACGACGGGACGTCGACTATCGAACAGAATACGTCGCTTAAACAATTGTCGCGTCCTTTCAGTCGAACAGCACATGGCCGCCTCCTCATTTGGCTTTGGTACGGCAAGTGTGTGTATCCGCCATGTGTCCAAGTATTTGAGATGCCAGCGACATGCCATCCAGGCTGCCTGTTCTGGCAAGTGTTTCCCATCCGCCACCGTCGGCGATAGGAACCATCTGGGAGCGTCGTTGGACCAGATCCGTCTTCTCGGCTCATACGGCAACTCTAGCTCCCTTTATGATAGAAAAGGCAGCTCGTCGGAGGCGTGCGTTGCCAAGCGGGGCCAATCTGATACATCCGCTGCGCCCTTACGCAGTACGGAGTCGTTTTCCTCATAAGAATTCAAAGGTTAGATTTCGAGGGCGCGTCAATGAGGCAGTGCAAAAAAGTGAGACAAGAGAAAAAACGGCCAGTGAGAAGAAGGAAGAGCGTCGCACCTGGGACGGTGAGGCGCTGCGTGTATTGATCTTATGTTTGAACGATCGGGACGAAGGTGCCGCGCTGCGCTGGCCCGGCGCCAACAGACTCGGGATTGCTTCGAGTCGTATGAGCCAGACGAACAAATGGTTGGGAGAACCAGATGATGAAATTGCCAACACCCCTTCTTCTCCCTAACATGAGCCTCTAGAGCCCTGCCCTCGAAATCACAACGCTAGTATACGGGGAACGTGAGGGTTACGCAGTCTGCACTGCCAGACGCGGGACTGTATTGCAGCTTTGCAAGTGAGTATTTATTGATAATTAATGCCGGGAGTAGGGTCTTGGCGTGGACAAACCGTCATGTAATGATGCAACGAATCAGCAAAACACACTGTTGCATTCATGGTTCTCGTTCTCTTTGTTTCAGACCATGGGACCGATGAAAAAACATGTCTTGTTGGCGTCGTAGTGACTGCAATACTAATTCAGTCCATTTATAGAGTCAGCAATGCTGCAGTCTGATGTGTGGCGCAAAGGCTCCGGTTTGTGCTATCTAAACCTCAACCTTAACCCAAAACCCAAACAAACCCGAGCCTTCATTTATTGTAGTTGCTGTTTTGGCCTTGGTTTATTGGCTGCTTGGGATCCTGCGCCCGATCCAGCTCTGTCGACCAACAAGTCGGAAACCTAACAAACCTTGAGGCGGCTCCATCCCTGTGCGTTGCCTGGTCTCAGAATGATTTCTTGCATGATACCTGTCACCTGTTCATGCGTTTTTCGGTATAGAGCACGAATTTGGCAATGAGAAACTGGTTTTTCCACGTAAGCGAGGAAGGAGAATGGTGAGGAGACCTGGCGGCGTCGCCAACTTGGCCATAGCCTGGCATCTGTCGAGAATCTTCTCGGCCATATTTCTCTGTCGCTGGTGTCTTACTCTAGAAACCCTTTTGCCACTCGTAGCTGGATCCAAGCCCACTCTGGAGCCTCTTGCGACCCGTTATAGCCGATAAAGGGTTCCGTATTTTGGCATCGAGCAAAGCTAGCGGCCTGACGAAAGCTCTGGTGCTGGAGACTTTGACGCCACACAATCGACCAAGCCTGTTGATCTGTGCCATAGGCTAATCGCTCTCATGAGATAGCGCTATTTCTGTCGTATATCAATCCATATTCCTAACAGAATATCTATATCGGTGGAAGTGTAAACAATAGCCTACGGGAAAGGATACCTCGTCTTGCTTCATAAACAAGATTGTCCTAGTCCTCCCGGCTCGCTTTGTCAGTGGTCCCTCCGTTAAACGCTGTGACTTGTGTTCTAGAGACTCTTGGACGGCACACCACGATCTGTGAATTGATGCCCCAACGTCGAGTACAGCTAGTGGCTAAAGTAGTATGCATGTTGGTCTGAGCCGTTTCTACACCCATAATGCTCCGAACTTTGATTATTTCTATTTTTCTGGGTCGGCGTGGCACTGATCCATTCGCGATCGAATTCTGTGGCTGCCCGAACTCCACGGGCCGTGATGGTTCGGAGTTCGATTGCTGCGACAGTCGTGCTCGCCGTGGTCATTCTGCATCTTTTTCAGGAGCTATGCATCTAGATATTGCGATGATGAAGTAGTTCTCCAGAAAGCGTCACACGGATGCCGTCTTGCAAGTTAATAAATTTGACTCGTAAGCTCTGAAGAGGATCAACCACTCTCTTGGAGTTGTTCTAATGGTAGGAAGTTGTGTCAGTTGACAAAGGAGTCAAACGTCCGGCACTTCTGGCTTCGCGGTAACTGGACAGCTTCAAAGATTCATACTTGCTGGAACATGCAGCTCAATTCTATTAGCTTGATCAGAGTTTGTTGCCTCTTGTATAAGCAAATTGGCATGTCAGGGCACAAAGTACCCAGGTGTATATATGGTATCTTGGGCGGTTTCATTTCTCGAGTTAGGAGATGTTTGCGATGACCGAGTTGTTAGCGATTGACATGTCGGTCCATACATACATGTATTTCCTTTATTGAACATTGTAGCTCGGCATCTTTTCGCATGTGGAGCATCGTGCCGGATTGCAGAAGGCGGACCAGGCCAACCAGCCCAAACGCTATAGTGTGGTATTCCCATATTCCCGACATATCGTTTGTGTGATCCAAGGGGCCAGCAAACGTAGGAGCACGTCGGTACCGAACCGGGCAAGCCAGGTTTGCGTACGCGGTGGCGCCATTTGCTTCACCACCACGTCGCCCCTCGCACGAACACTTGACGTCTGATGTTGCGCACGGTCACCTTCCACACGGTGGAAAGCCGAATTCTAGTCTTGGATAGCCGGCTAGAGAGATATGTTTGCTCGTCGCCAAATACACACTGATATACTGTAGTATGTTGTAGTATCGCGCGATGCCCACTACCTCGTTTGGTCCTTTGGGCCCTGGCGCCCAGAGGGGATAGATTCCGCTACTGAGGGCCAACGCCTAAATGTAAATTTGTGGTCATTAATAACTGACACAGGGCCCGGCCCCGGCTACTGATAGATGCAGAACGTTCGTTGGGAGCCTCACTTTCTTAATGCCGGCCTCTGCGAATGCCTGATCGGAGTAGTTTATCGGGAGTGGGCATTTGATTCCATACCGTGCGCCAACCGGAGTCCACCAACTTCACCACTGGAGATCCAAATGGTATTGCGGCATGGACACGGGGGGACGGAGTACACTAACCGTCTGTGGCTCCAGCATGCTCCATTTTCAGGCCAATCAATGTCCAACATTGCGGTTGACGATGTCCACTTGTCCAGGTACGGTGACTTATTCCGATATTCAGTTTGTTCAGCAGGAAATACCTGACCAATGCTGCAGCTTGCTTATTGACGCTCGGTTCCTTTGTAGTCACCTGTGATGGATGGGACGAGAAGGGATAGCCTAACACGTTTCATTGTTAGCTAAGTAGCTGTCAATATCGATCCAAACATCTACGGAGTGGCAAGCTCCGTGGTCTTCGGTGCTGAGCCTTTTAAGTCGTAAACTTAGCCCTAGATCGTAACCCATTGCTTATCGCCGTCTATGCCAACTTGCGAGGATTTTTGTGCCCGTATTGTATTGTATTGCCAGCGAGTTGGTCAAAAGGCTGCTCCAGGTGGTTCCTTGAACTTCGCAAGCTGCGTGATTGCTCATTTATTGCCATAGGCATCTCTGCTAGTACTACGATGGATCTTGGTCAAAACCCCTCCCACTTCACGGTGGCCCCGCTTGGTTCCGTTATTCCCACCAGGCACTGGGGTTTTCTGGGTGGTGTTCGGATGTGTATGGATGCTCCGTTGTGGATTTGTTGGCACTGAGGACCCCGTTTTTTCGCAGGAACCAGTCGATGTCTTCTTGTACGAACCTGGGCCGCCGTGGAGTGGTCTCGGAGGCCACAGAGTATGTACGGAGTAGTGGTGGTAGGCTGGTGGCAGAAAGAAGTACATAATAATGCCTTTGGCCCTGTTGTCGAGACCCAATTTGGCCTTCAAGGCCAACTACGGGCCCGAAACAGTACGCGTAGAACTATCCACTTTTGAGAAATGTTGCTGCCGCAGCGTCAGCTCGTGTCCGTGAGCTGCGCGAGGGAGTTAAGCCATGCGGAGTCAACGCACCTCCAGATCAATGGTACCATCCTCTCGTAGCGCTTCTGAAAACCCGCAATGGTGTGGTCTGTGATTAGTGACTAACTAATGACTAGGTGCAACGCCATCACCCGTGGATGTCAAGCAACCGTCCGGTCAACGGCTCATATTTGAGAGTAAATACCTGGACGTCTGTGTCAACCGGGCCTGTAATTTCGTAGAAAGGCGCGGAGTACAGTGGACGTACGTCGTATCGACAGAGGATCCGGCGTTATTCCCGCAGCCGCTCTCGAGGGCCTACAAAGTAGTACGTATGCAGGTTCAGGACGGCTGTCAGATCGATGCTTGCTTGCGTAAGTCGATGGTGAGCATTTGACTCGTCGCTGGCTGCTCTGTGCTGGGGAACTGAGAGGCCGGGACTGGCTGAAGCTGATCGCTGCTGCCGTCGATTGCTCCTTCCCTCGCTCGCTCTCGGCCGCTCCCTCGGCCACTCACTCACCCACACTCAATCACTCCAGGCCCAGACAGACTCCCAGACACCACCATCCGCCCCCGAGTCGACCACTCGCGCACCCACGCTCCCTCCCAGGGCCCGCCTTCCGCAGTCCTCAGTCGCCAACCCGCCGCTGCACCCTCAATTCTCTTACGTCCTGTGCCGCCGAATCTGCTCGTTCTGCTCGCCTTGCCTACGCCTTAACCTTCGTTATCCTTCGCGTCGCCGGCTGCGAACATTGAGCATCGAGGCTCACTGCGCCCATCTGATGGCCTAGATTGCCAGACACCGGGGCAATTGGGACATGCGCTGCCTTTGGCTTCGCACCCCCGGATCTGCATCTTGGTCGCTCACCATCTTCACCCCTCCCAAAAGGGAGCACCATCGCCGACTGCCCTCTCCTAGCTCTAATTTGCGAACGGCGTCAACTTTGTCACTCTGTGATAGCCATACTTGCGGCCGTGCCACGCTCAACGCTTTGCGTCTTTGCATTGGGGGACGTTTCGTTGGTTTATTTGTCCCAGACTCTAGCGCATGATCCTTTCTTCCGAACCTCTCACATCCCGTCCGACGGCGACTCGTCTCAACACCCACGACCCGATATCCGCTACCGTCCTCTCGAGTGATCACGACGCACATCATGGCGACGGAAATGGCTGAGGACGACGCCGGGGCGTTGTCTGTCGGTGACTGGCAAATTTCTGATGTCCCTTCCCCGGCCGACAGCTCCAAGTCCGACACCGAAGTGGATGAAAAGGCCGGTTCCGACCCAAATGCGCCTTCACAACCAATACAAAAGCGCCGGCGAGTTACTCGCGCTTGCGACGAATGCCGCCGTAAGAAGATTAAGTGTGACGGGAAACAACCATGCACCCACTGCTCCGTGTATAGCTACGGTAAGATGCGATAATATCCTCCCGATATGTAGTGGGCGAGTATAGAGGGCCACTTGGCATGTATCGCACCAGATTTATTGGATTCGCTTTGCTAACAATGAGTTATTTTGTTGCCCCCGAAAAGAATGTACTTACGACAAGCCGTCAAACCGTCGAAGGAATCCTGCGCCACAATACATCGAAGCGTTGGAAAGCAGACTACAACGGGCGGAGACTCTACTACGAAAGTTTATGCCCGATGTCGATTTAGCCGACCCAAATCTGGACCCAGCCATTCAACAAGAGTTTCACAATCGTGAACAGGCACGCGCAGGGGCTGGCAAAATGCGATCCGCGGCCGCTGCCGCACCCGACGCCGGAGATGCTAAGCTCATGACCATGATTGATTCAATAGGCCAGCTTGATTTGGATGACAAAGGTGGATGGGATTTTCATGGTACCTCCTCAGGTGCTGTCTTTTTGAAGAGAATGAAGGAACAGTTCCGCGGGCTTCTGGGTCCAGTTAGCAAGGCACCTTTCTTACCACGGGCCGAACGTGCGTCAGGCCTCAGTGCACTTGATACGCCTTCTCCGGCAGCTGGCGCATCTCCATTTTCGTCAATCTCTGCGTATCCTGAACTTCCGCCAAAGGATGTCGCCAGGAAGCTTTGCTATTACTCTTTGAGCTGCGCAACGTGTCTCGTTCGAATCATCCATATACCGACGTTTTATGAAAAATTCGAGCAGATCTATGACAGGCCAATCGAGAGTCTCAACCAGGAAGAAACTCATTTCTTGGGACTTGTTCATGCTGTCATTGCCTTGGGCTGCATGTACAACAACCTCGAGGACTCCAACCCAACCGCTGGAGGTTACAAGACGGCAATTGAAGAAGGGTAAGCTGAAATATATGTCTCTTTTATATATACCTGCGCTTTAGACTTCGCAAAGCAAAAAGCTAATATTAATTGCTGTAGTCTCAAATATTATCGTGCTGCCAAAAGCCTGCTACAAGATCTTGCCGACTGCCGCGATATTGTTTCGCTTCAAGCCTTACTTTTTATGACTCTGTTTCTCCAAGCCACCTCTAATCTTAGTGCATGCTACTCTTTTGTGGGCATTGCTTTACGCTCAGCATTGCGTATAGGCTTGCATCGGCACCTGGAGCACGAAAAGATTGGAGTGATTGAACAAGAAGTTCGCAAGCGAGTATTTTACGTCATTCGGCAGATGGACATCTACGTATCTACCATGCTTGGCTTCCCGCTCCTTCTTAATATCGACGATGTCGACCAGCCATTCCCGACCGAGGTTGATGACGAGTTCATCACAGATACGGGCATCATGCCACCTCCTCTTGGCACACCTTCCTTCTTTGAAGCGTTCAATGCCCACACTCGCTTGATGGAGGTGCTTGGCAAGATTACCAAGTTTGTGTATCCCATGCATATGCAAGGCCAACCGGCTGGAAAAGGGGATAGCGGCACCACATCCTGTCTCATTAGTTACGGCCGCATCAAGGAAATTGAGGCCGATTTGCAAACCTGGTATGATAGACTGCCGGAGATGTGGCGACCGAGCCCAGATGGGCCGATAGAGGTTGTCCGGTGAGGAACATTCCTGTTTAAATTCTATGAAGAGAAGAGACTTGGTCATACTAACTGGATTTTTGCAGTGTGAGGCATCTCTTACGTTTTGCCTATGCTCACGTTCAGCTCGTCTTATATCGACCTTTTCTTCATTATATTTCTCCTCGGCACAGTCACGGAACAAAAGTCGATGAATTATCATATGCATGCGCGGCTGCCGCCGTAAGCGTGTCACGCAATATCGTACATATTGGGCTAGAGATTCGGAAGCAGCGCGTCCTCAGTGGGCCTTACTGGTTCATGCTTTACACCGAATTCTACGCCGTACTCTCTCTGGTATTTTACGCTATTGAGAATCCCGACAAGCCTGGTTCTCAAGAAGTCTTGGCCGATGCTCATGCCGGGCGTCAAATGATCGCTGACCTGGCAGACAAAAGTCTCTCAGCTGATAGAGTGACCAAAGCATTAAAAGTTGGTAGAAACTGAATGAGCATGCGTATCGTATGGCATAGGTTACTGACAGAACTCTTCTAGGTACTTTTTGACCAACTTCCTGAAAGGCTGGAGCAAGCCCGTTTAGCAAGGCCTGCAGGCAATTCCAGGAAACGATCTGCTGCAGGATCCAAGTCTGGGTCGATATCAACAACACACGCAGGCGCCAGCCGGACTATACCAGTGGCCAGAGCCGAAGATTTCATCCGAAGCCGCAGCGGCGGCCTCCCAGGGCCCTTTGGAGCACCAAACTCTCGAGGCTCTGTTGATGGCAGTATGGGCCAATCATCGGACCCAAGCTTCCATGACATTCCCTTTTCAGGCAGTATGCATGATATTCTTCCTATGGACTTATCATCCCGGACAACCCCGGACTCCACCAGCAATGCAAGCAGCACTCACCGACACAGGTTTCCATCGCAACCACTGAATGCCCATTCTATACACAACCCTGTGAACAAACTGGACTCTCTCATGTTTCCGTCCGAGGACCCCTTCGCTTACCCCAACCAGCCCATGATGGAGCTTGGCTTTCAACCAAAGGCAGATGCACCGGGAATCACCATGGCCGCCCCGAATGCATCATTCTTCTTCACTGGCTCCTTCGAGGAAATGGGTGATCAGATTCTGGGACAACCTCCGCCGTACATGACTCCCCAACAACAGCACCATCCTATGGGAATGGCAGCGTCCATGTACGATCCGCACAATATGATGGCACTGCACTCTACTCAGCAGCAACAACAACACAATAGGCAAATGCAACAACAAGCCATGCATCAACAGCAGCACCAGCAACAACAAGGCGGGGGGATATTCGCCAGCTTCCGCCGTGCCAGAGCGGACCGGCAACAAGAGAGACAGATCGAGCAAATGTTCACACAACAGGGTATGCAGGCAGATTGGGGGAGCTTTTTTGGTTCTGGGAGAGGTGGCTTCCAAGGAATGTGATTGACTACCACCACATGATACCCATTTTCCTTTGATTTCGTGGTGTAAGGGCATGGAGCGACTGAGGCTCCCTTTTTTTTCTTTTGTGCGGAAAATCTGTGCCTCATTTTTCTTTGCCTTTTTTTTTGGTCCTGATTGTTGTCTCTTTTCTACAGCGTGGCCATCTGTGTGGCGTAACGAGATCTGATTTTACATCTTATTCCCTTTTTGTTTTGTAATGTTGATTCTTGTGATGGCTTCATGGGAGTCGGCTTGAAGCCGCGGGACATGACCAAGTTCGGAAGCATTCACTATAACGGCAGAATTGGACTGGCGCGTATGGGACATGCAAAGTGAGCGCATACATGAATTACACAGACTCAGACGGGACAGGGCGATTAAAACAATACATGTAGCTTGGGGTTGGGTTGGGCCCGTCGTTGGCGGTGGATAGATGAATGTCGTTAGTTGTTTGGGCGAAACTCTGGTTGGCGAGCGGGAGTATCTGGAGTAGAGGTTGACTTGTATATACATACTTACCTGGCGAAGCAAACAATTTACGGGGCACATGGAAGCTGCCAAGGCACTCCTTGTTTCTGTTATGATATAACGCGAGATGTGTTTTTTTTTGTCTCCTTGCGCACCTTGGCCCTGACGCAGCCACTGCACCACCGTGAGGCGAGAATCGCATCCGGTCCCCATATGGGACTGAAAGACGGAACAAAGCACCCTGGTTCAAGGACCAAGGCCACCTATGATGGTGGTGGCAAAGAGGTACAGGTTCATTGTGCCTCGTCAACGCCGAGCTCAGTCTCGCAAGGCGGACAGGCCGGGTGCCTGCAGAGATGGCAAGCTGGCCGAACAAGAGCAAAAGCAAAAGAGTAGCATTACAGTGGATGGGATTCGTTCTTGTGCATCATCCAAAGTTCCCGTGGGTGGCAAGTTCGGAGTAGTTTGGCTGATATCCTGGGCGAATGCTGGTGCGATCGGCAAAGGTACACGGCCGAACCTTGGGGCACGTCGGAGCCGACCTGACATTGGATATCAGATGATGAGCACATGCTATTGTGGCGTCGACTATATTTTGCCCCAGTATGTACATGTACCAATGGATCGGGCCAGTCGACGTGTGGTTGTTACCTACTAAGTACTGAGATGGCCTTGAATATACCGGGTTGAATGCTTGTGTTCTTGCTTGGTGTGCTCACCGTATGGAAGTGTCTCTGGTGGAATGCGAAACTGCGGAACATTGAAATGCCCACATGTAGAGTTAATTACGCAGGCCTTGGCTAACTGACCAACCCTAAAGCAGCGAGGCGTTCCGGGCTGAACGTAATGTTCGGCGGACAACCCCAGACCATCTCCCTTCATCACCTTCCATTCCAGGCAGACATCGAACCTGGATCGTGCATTGTCAGCAACGGAGGCTGGAAGCGGACTAGCAACCGGCTGCACGATAGACCGCCACAAAGGAGCTTCGAGCCAGCGTCGCACGCGGGGGCAAGGAGGAGAAGAAGCAAGCACTGAGTCGACCGACAGGTGTCCTGGGGCCTTGTTGGAACAGCATTACCTGATGGAAATGGACTACGACCTGGTTATGGAGGACGAGTTTGACGCCCTGTGAGTTTGCCCAGTCCGACGGCCGTGTAACCGCTGGTTGAGACAGTCTGCTAATTTGTACGCCATGCAGCTGTTTGGATGTCAGGCGGCATCGTGACTCGGCTTCAAAGACCAAATATCCTGGTAAGACGAGCAACCCAGTCGCCCAACAGCTCCTGGCAAGCTTCCTCTCCAGCATTGAGCACGATGAGGACGGCGCTAATTGGGGGAAACAGCCAAACTCCACGCCCGCAAAGTGGTGAGGGAGCTCGGCGTCGATGATGGCCTCATTTACCTCCCTGGCCAACCCGAGATCTCGCTGGAGGATTCCGACCAGCCGCGACTCTTCCGTCAGCGACGATAGTATGTCCAGGAAACTTTTTGTTGCTCCCAATTCTGCCTCCCTCTGCTCCCCACGAGGCTAACACTGGAAACCCTCCCCCCCGAAGCTTCTTTTACATAACGGGTGCCAACTTTGAGGACTGCACCGCGACATACGAAGTCAAACACGACAAGCTCACACTATGGATCCCGTATGTCGAGCCTCGCCAGGTCCTCTGGTTCGGCTCCAAACCGTCGGCTGCCGAGTGCAAGCGCCGCTACGATGTCGATGAGGTGAGGTACACGACACAGCTGAGCGGCTTTTTGCGCAGTTTTGCAGCGCAGCCTTCGCCGCCAGTCACGTACATTCTTCATCCGAAGCAGGCGCCGGACCTGGGCCATGGAAGCCAGTCCCAGCTGTGTCTCGACTCCTCCCTCCTGCTGCCGGCCATGGACCGCGCCCGTGTCGTCAAGTCCGACTACGAGGTCGCCATGGTGCGCCGCGCCAACAATATCTCGAGCGCCGCCCATCGCAAGGTCGCCGAGCGCATCTTGCGCCTCACCAACGAGCGGGAGATCGAGGCCATTATCCAGGCGGTGTGCATCGCCAGCGGCTCCCGTTCCCAGGCGTATCCCATCATTGCTGGGTCGGGAGCCAACGGCGCGACTCTGCACTACGGCTCCAACAACGCCTCCCTCGGCGGCAAGCAGTGCGTCGTCATCGACGCCGGCTGCGAGTGGAACTGCTACGCGAGCGACATAACGCGCACGCTGCCGCTCTCGGGCGCGTGGACGCCGAAAGGGGCGGCCATCCACGCCATTGTCCAGCGCATGCAGGACGAGTGCATCGCCAAGGTTGGGCCGGGAGCGGCCTGGCGCGAGATTCACCTTCACGCGGCTTCGGTTGGCATGGAGGGCCTGCTCGGGCTCGGCATTCTAAAGGGCCGTCGTGAGGACGTTGCTCGCGCCGGCACCGTCGCTGCCTTCTTCCCGCACGGCCTCGGCCACCACGTTGGGCTGGACGTCCACGACGTCTCTGGCACGCTGGCCCTTTCCGCTGCCGAGGGACGCGGCCAGCAGCTCGACTTTGGGAAGAGGGCCATGGTGACGCCCTCGATGCTCGCGGACATGACCTGTGCGAGTTCATCCCAAGACGCTGTGGGTGGTGGGCGGAGCAAGACGCAGCTCCTGCTGCCAAACATGATTGTGACTGTTGAACCTGGAATGTAAGTGTCTTGCGCCCCTTGGCTCAGGGTCGTCTGATTTGCTGACTTGCGCGAACCCAGCTATTTCTGCCGCGAATACCTAGAGGGTTACTTCCGCAGTGACCCTGCCCATGCCGACTTTATTGACTGGGATCTGCTCGAGGAGTACTATGACGTTGGTGGTGTTCGTATCGAGGATTGCATCCTTGTCACGGAGGATGGATATGAGAACCTGACAGTTGCGCCCAAGGGTGACGAACTACTGGATGTTATTAATAAAGGGAAGAAATAGATGGAATGCGCCATACAATCAATAGGGCTTCAGGATATCAAAACATGTGTGTTCACAAGTCAGACCTTCTCGTCAATACGAGCAGTTCGTTGTTTAAATTTTAATCTTAATTTTTTTTCCCAGTGTAATATCTGCATATGCATGGATTTCACGCTGCATTGTCTCGCTCGCCCACCTCCTCTTCCAGCAATGTCCAAAAATACGCCTTGTTGTTACGACCGTAATCACCCAAAACCTTCTAGAGTATACATAATGAGACTCGCCAATTCCCTCGCCAATCACCCCGCAGCAAATACGTCTATTTGCTGTCCTTGGCACGGAGTGTCAACAGCCCATGGTGCTCCTTACAAATACTTCTTGGGGCTACTCGCTCTACGGCGTTTATACACCACATACCCAGCCACAAGAACAATTTGCGTACCCACAAAGAACACCATCAATTTACCATGGCCGGGAATGCTGTCACTTAAAGCCGCAGAGAGAGATCGGTGGTGGTTGCGCAGGTTGGTTTCAAAGGATTCGCCGTGAGCCTCCAGCTTCTGCCTCATATCGTGGTGCATGCTGTGGATTTCGGACTCTAATTCCCTGATCTTGGATTGCAGATCACCGATTTGTCGAAGAGCTGCGAGCTCGTGACGAAGAGAGTCAAATGCCTTCTTCATTTCCTCGTGCCGGACCTCGTCCATTTGGTGGTGTTTAGAAACGGCGTTATACACTCCGCTTATCTGGTGAGTAGCAGCTTGGAGACGGTTATGAAGGTCTGCGAACTGCTCCTTGGACGTCTGGAAGATGTCAGCAGATTGGTCGGGGATTGCGTTGCCAAAGTCATCGTTCTTGTTCTCCTGTGCTTTCTGTCCTTGGTTGTTGTCAGGTTGATGCTGTCGAGAATTGTACTGGAATTGATTGTTGTCCCCAGACACAGTCGAATCAGACATGACAACGAGCTTGAAGATTTCGAAAGAGTCAGGTGTTTCGGGCGTAGCTGCAGTGATACCAAAGTAGTACCCAGGAGGCAGTGAAACCTTGTCCGTCTCGAAGCAGGTGCGGCCATCAATTTCGACTTTGAAACTAGAAGCCGTCTGCCGGAGCTTGATTTGTGATGGTCGGCCAAGATTTCGGTAGAAATAGTTGCACTGTCCGAATGCAAGCCTGTCCACATTGGGCTGTGACACGTAGTCGACGGTACCGTCGTTCAAGAAACCACGGATCATGCCACCGGAACCACCATGTGTGTCAATAACCAGTGCCAGACCGTCGAATTTACCCGCCGTATAGACGCTATTAGTACCAACTTCCTCCTTGCCTCGCCTTGCAAACCAAATGTTCAGGTTACCACCTGCTCGGTCCGGTCCGCTTGCACGGAAGTCTACGTCAGCCACCCAAGTTGAGCGCGTGAGAGGTGAATCTGACCAAATCGACGATCGCTGGTTGCCCGGATCCATCGGCGTGAGGATAATTTTGTTGGAAAGGAGCTGCGGCTGCTGAGGCTGACCCGTGATTGTGAAATGTGGGATCTTTCCGTCGTCGGCACCCAGACTACGGTCAAAGTCCTTGTTAGTCGGTGCTGGCCATTCGTGTTCTTAAAGTAGGCTCGGAATCAACTCACCGTCCGGAATGACCAAAGCTAAGCTCGCTGATCAAGACCTGTGCCTGCGAGGGGCCAGCAGCGACCAGAGTAGCGAGGGCTACAAGATGACGGGGGAATAGCATGATGTCGAGGTTGGGACAATGATGCCGCCCACAAATGTAATGTATATTATACAATTAGGAGCCTGTGACTCGGGTCGCAAAATTGGATCGTGTATCAAAGTCGTCGGCCAGTCCAGCTGGTTATGCTGTGCCGAACACTTTGTTTGACGGCGCACGAATCGCTTGCCCCACGAAGATAACCAGACGGATTGACGTTTGACAGCGTGGTCCTACTGATCATAAGAACAATCAATTAAATAAACTGCATATGAGGAAAGAAATAGGTGTGCTGGTTCACCAAAAAACCCATATATGGTATCTTGACGAGTGACAAAAAGTGCAAGGCGTGGACAAATACAACCAAGTCGGCTTGCAACGGCCAGATATCATTGATGTGGACAGATGGCGTTGATCCGTGTCTACGGAGTACAACTTCAGCAACCTGCAGGGTGAGCTTCCCCAATGTCGCAGGTTCAGGGGGTTGCGAGAGCTGATTGGTGCTGACACCTCCTCTTACCGTGTCAAGAGGCAGGGATTGCTGTCCAATAACTGAGGAGAGTCCAAGAGTACGTACCCGGGTTGGTGGGGCTGCTAATCAGCTTCTAAGCTGTACCTGTGGCCTCACGACTTCGCTCCGTTGCTGATCGCGACGTGAAAAGCAGTGATCTCGACATTTCTGGTCGCATCACCGTCGCCCACTCGCCAACCCGTACAGGACGAGCTGATGGTAAAGAAGTTTATTCTACTAGCCAATAATTTACTTGGGACCTTGCCATGAGGGTGTCCTCAGGAGCACTATTAGTAGCCCTTTGTCTCTGAGCATCATCTACGCCATGTCGGAATCATATCCCAGTTTAACGCAGTGTGCGGTTGTGGCCGCTGCGTTCAAAGTCCTTCTGTTTCCTGCCTAGTATGTTTAAATCCCTACTGTTTAGTTACTATCGTTTTCATAGCAGGTTTTATAACACCAAAGACGCCTACAATTCTCGCAGTCCGATTCCGTCGAACAGTTTTGTCTAACATGCCCACAGCAAATCCACAGATTTCGAGGTACATCGCAACTGGCTTGCCATTACCAATAGCCTTTCTTTATCCGAATGGTATTATGAGAAGACGTCAGAATGGACTCTCGACTATCCTCCCTTCTTCGCTTACTTCGAGTGGGTTCTCGCGCATTTGGCTCGACTGGTCGACCCCGCGATGGTGAAGGTCTACAATTTGAATCACGAAAGCTGGCAAACCGTATACTTTCAACGCGCAACTGTTATCGCTACCGAGCTACTACTCGTTTACGCGCTTCAGCTTTTTATAGACTCGACACTTCTACCATCGAGGCGAGCTGCTCAGGTTGCTGCATTGTCTGTCATGCTCTCCCCCGGCCTGCTGCTTATCGACCACATTCACTTCCAATACAACGGTTTCATGTACGGCATTCTTCTGTGGTCGTTGGTTCTCGCTAGGTCCAAGTCCACACTTTTGCAGAGCGGACTTGTTTTTGCCGCACTTTTATGCTTCAAGCATATTTACCTCTATCTGGCCCCTGCGTACTTTGTGTTCCTCCTGCGGACATACTGTCTTTCGACCAAGTCATACTTCCAGATCAAATTCCTAAATTGCATCAAGCTTGGATTGGGCATCCTGTCTATTTTCGCCGCGGCATTCGGTCCCTTTGCTCTTATGGGACAGATTCCACAACTACTTAGCAGGCTCTTCCCTTTTTCCCGTGGACTCTGCCACGCTTACTGGGCTCCCAATGTGTGGGCACTCTACTCCTTGGCGGACCGCGTTTTGATTCATCGTAAGTGCATCATGTGGAAGAGGCACAGGCCTTCATTTTTCGTATTTCGATCGTCTCCTGACATTTGCATCAGTTGCCCCAAGATTGGGCCTTGACGTAAAATCAGAGGCTTTGCAGAGCGTCACTAGAGGGCTAGTTGGCGATACCGCCTTCGCCGTTTTGCCCGAGATCTCACCTAGAGTGTGCTTTGTTTTAACACTGCTCTTCCAAGGTCTTCCCCTCCTCAAGCTCTTTCTTACGTCTAATCCGTCATGGGAGTCATTTGTCGGTGCTGTCACTCTTTGCGGGTATGCATCGTTTCTCTTTGGGTGGCACGTTCACGAAAAGGCCATTTTGCTGGTCATCATCCCCTTTAGCCTCATCGCGCTCCGGGACAGAAGACATCTCGGTGCCTTTCGCCCATTGGCGGTTGCTGGTCATGTTTCACTATTTCCATTACTGTTTACGCCCGCGGAATTTCCTGTCAAGACCATATACACCGTCTTCTGGCTGGTTCTATTCTTGATGTCGTTTGACCGGCTGGCACCAGCATCGAGTAAGCCCAGAGTGTTTCTGCTGGATCGCTTCAGCACATTGTACATTGCGGTGAGCATTCCATTAATCGCATATACATCTTTGTTGCACCATGTTATTTTCGGAAAGAGCTATGAGTTTCTACCACTCATGTTCACCAGCTCGTATGCCGCGATAGGGGTCGTCGGTAGTTGGGTCGGATACATGGTGGTATACTTTACCTCGTGAGAAATAAAGAACATGAGCCATAAAATCCGATATCAGTTAGACCTGAATGTTTGGAGATACCCTTAGCTGCGAAATTAAATTCAAGACAATGATATACAGCATGTTGTCTGTCCCTAAACTGAGGCTGAGTAAGCCGTCAACTTCCAGGAATCGACTAGAGGCAATGCAAGTGGGGCAGCAGGTCAACTAGTACTCCACGTGCGACTCAAAGGCTCTGGCCAATGTGTAGTGACGTGGAGCCAAATGTCAAGAGGTGAATTGCTCGGCGGGCTTACTCTTTTTGCTAGGTGTGCTTACTCTCTTAGTATTTATATAAATAGGTAAGTATTTATTATATTTAAACTTTTCTTATATATTTTTAAGAAATAATTTATAATAAAATGTATTTACTTCTTATAAAATATATAGTAATATATTATAATATACTTACGTGGAGCCTAATATCCAGGTACCTACCTGGTGGCGCGTGAGCCCGCCGAGCAATTCATGTCAAGAACCCCAGAGCTTCGGACCTGCGTCGTTATCCCGGGGGTCATGAAGTAGAAGTCACCGCAGAACAAAGATCAAAACAGCCCAACAAGAGCGTGCACAGCGCGTCAATCATCCTTATTCATGTGTTCTTGTCGAAAACAATTGACTCCCGTGAATTAAAGAGTCGGCCAAGCGCAGATCCGCAAGGCCCGGCGTTCAGGCAAAAGTGCCGGCTTCCGATCCGGAGGTCCTGAAGAGACGGAAACAATCAAAATACGATGGAGTGGAGGGACACTTGAGAAAGAAGATTGACGAGAGTGGAATCGGCTTCCCACGCGGAGTGATTTGGCGCTGTGCGCTGTGATGCAGGCACAGAATGCGGCATCAAGATGTAATTTCGAACAGAGTCAGGGTCCAGATGTCCTTGATGCAAGGGTTCACTGACGATGTGCTATAACAGCAGGCTATTTTACGAAACAAGAGCGAGAATGCATGTTTCATGGGCCCAATCGATTCGTACGCGAACGACGAACAAAACGAGCCCAAGAACGTGGGTGAAATGTCAAAATGCACAGCCTTGGTTGCAGAATAAGATGGTTTGGGCAGACGAGTGGTTTTGTGGAGGACATGGTTAAGGCGGTCGGTCGTGGGGAGGAGAAGGCGGAAGCAGACGGGCGGCCGTGTGCCGGGGGTTGTGTGGCTGTCTGGTGTGTCTGGTGTGGGCTTTGTGTCATCTGAGTGGCCACGACGGGCAAGGGCAACATTTGAAGTCAGGGCCGTGGTCTGCTCCAACTGTGGCGGGCACCAGCTGCACAATTGGCCTGGTGAACGTGGTGAACATTGGTGCTTTTTCTTCCTATTCGTCTTTTCACTCCCAGTTTTTTTGTGCTCGAGCAACTTCGGTGAACCGTGGTTCTCAACGCGCTCTGTACTTTGGTGCGTGTCACGAGCCAGTGGGCCCTCGGAGCAGATGCTCGAGTGTCAAAGACGCACTCTGACATGGGAAAGGGAGACAAGGAGACGGCGCAGCTAACTAGCAGTTAAAGGTTTCCGAGTCTGGTTTGTGAGTTTCGACCGAGCGAAGTGTTTGTTTGGTCTAGTACGCCCTAAGACTGTCTCTTTTGCCCAGGTTCAGCCGTAAACTGACGGTCCAACGTCACAAAGTCTTTCTTGACAACGCGACAAGTACCTACTAGGTACTTTAGGTACCTGGGTCCATGTCCCAGAAATCCGGCTAGTCCACTTGGTGTTCTAGAGTTAACTCAGACGGGGAGGGGAGTGGGAGGTTCGCGGCTCACATGTACCCCGCCGACGCGCCCCAATCCACGTCGAGGTACCTTTTCGCTGCGCATGACCCGTTAAGGAACCTTATCCACATGGGTGCCCTCGCTGGCGGCTACTTGCACGCGACGTCACTGGCCTGCCGCTGTTGTCCGAACGGTTCTACTTTTCTGTGTCCTGGGTTCCTCCTGCCTTTCTTCAAATCACTTCTCCGTCCTTGTCTTCCTTGCTCCTCGAGTCTCATTAGCTCTTTCCTTCCAGATTTAAGTGATCCAATCCCAGACAAATGGTCAACCGGCCTTCTTCCTCTTCCACACAACCCCACAGTTTTTTTGATGCTTGCTCCTGCTTGGCTGGGTTCCCTTCACCTCCCGCTTGGCTCACCTAATTCTTTTTCTCCTTCTACGTTGCACGTCAACAAGACTCGCGCGTTTTCTTCTTTGCAGCTTTTTCCATCTTCCGGATCGTCGCACGCCGCCAACCCTGTTGGATGCGCATAGCAACGCTATTCAACCTACTTTTACTTGATATATATACCTTGAGACTCGGACATATTGACTCGCGCGTCACGGCACCTGCGTGTAAGTCTACATCGGCAAATCCCCTCCGGAACTAACGACGCCAAAAACTACTCAATCTCAATTCCCTCGCTCTTCTGCTCTCAAACAGACTTACGCGCCCGCAACATCACCCCGCCTGCCTTCGAATGCTCCTTTGGCTCTTGTTTCGTATCTTGCATAGTTGTTAGCAAGGGGTATCTGCTTGTATAACTTCTCGTCCTGGAGTAGCATTCGTCTCTGCTCCGCCACGCGGAGCTTCACTTTTCCTTGTCACCATGGTAATGACCAGCCCTACGAGAGACATCAAGTGTCTTTATATCTCCCAGAAATTCCAACCACCACTGACACACCCTCACAGGTTCTCTATAAACGTAAGCCGGTGCAGTTCCTGCCACCGGCAGATATCCAAGATGAAAATGCAGAAGTATGTACTGGGTTTGAATTTCATCGCCAATAGGCTCGAACTAATAGGAAAGCTTACATAACTGACTGACCCAGGTATGGCACATTCCCCAGACCGGAGAGCTCTTCCAGAACTATGAGGACTACCTAAGCCGGTAAGTTTGGCCTCGCGCATATGGTTTGCTGCGCTGGCATGGGCTCCTTTGCTGGTATCTCATAACATGGGAAGTATTTGTGTGCTGATAATTCGTCGCCGTCAGTATGGACTTTTACAAACAGGTATTATATATTCAGTATCCAACGTTTTAAATGAATGCGCTGTGTCGTTTCTTACACCAGTCCTTAGCGTCGATTCAACGACCAAATAACAGGCCACTCTGGCCTCACCTTTTTTGAGGCTTTCAACAGTGAGGTTCGATTTTACCCATTCTCCAGCACATACTGTCAAAAGAAAGTGCTGCTTACTTTTTTTCTCTGATCGCGCAGCTTACCGGCGGTCGCGAAGTCGAAGCTTCGTTTCCCGAAGCACTTAAAGGCCCAATTCTCCGCAAAGTCCAGTTCCAAACCATTTCTCGTCTGGACAACCTTGTTGATTTAATCTACGAAGAATTTAAGCACGATTATTACCCGGGGGAGGAGGTGACGGTAACCTTGGACGGCGGTGACAGGATTCACGGCCTCGTGAGGGATAAGACCACGTACGGCCCAAGAATATTACCTGACGGCTCCCGGACACTACCTGTGACACGCTACCTGGTCAACATCAAAGACTCCGACGAAGAAACCAACGTTACCAATGAGCACATTTGTCGCGATCGTGGTGTTTTCACCAAGGCTATGCTACGTTCGTTCATTAAGAAGACGGTTATCAGAGAAGCATGGACGGGGGCGCCATGGTTAGTCAAGCATGACTACGCTAACATGTATCACATTGATACCAGAGTCCCCCCTCAGCTTCGACACGATACAAAGCTGCTAGAGCGGAAGCAACTGCAGGCCCAAAAACGGGGGATTACCAACGAATTGAACGGTGTTTCAAATGCCGGACCAATGCGACTCCCGGAATTGAAGCCTGCTACAAAGCATCAGAAGGGGAAGCAAAGTCAATTCGGTATCAAGGGGCTTAAGTGGCCTCTCAATGAGCCTGTCAATGGCGTTGACGGGCTAATACAACATGAGCAACCAAGGGCTCCGATACGTGAACCCACCCCGCCTCCTCCGCCCCCCCCTACCAAGTATCCTATTGAAGACCTATCACTACCGCCCAAAGAAGGCAGCGTTCGTCCCCGTCTCAAATTCATGTGTCATGATCCTCCCGTCAAGATTGAGCCCGAGATTGATGAATCTAGGCCATTTTTTGACAAAATCGACATGGCCACAGTTGGTGCATTCTTAGAGACCTGGGACACCCTGAATGTATATTGCGAGATCTTCAAGCTTGACTCTTTTACATTTGACGACTTCGTCGAGACTATGTCTGTGGCTTCCGAACAACTTAAGGTTCAGTTATTTGACGAGATTCACTGCTCTGTGCTGAAAGTACTAGTCGACTCGGAGCGCGAAGGAGGCAAAGTTCGCATCAACCTACCGGAACTAGAAGACGAGTACAGCGACGAAGAAGAAGGCGAGGAAGAAGATGATGAAGCAGACGAAGGGCAGGAGGCAGCCGCTGAGCCTGAGGAGAAGCCAAAGGGTCGCGCCACTCGCAGCAGTCTCGCCAAACTAGAGGCCGAAAGGTTAGCGGCAGAAGCTGCTGCCGCCGAGAAGGAAGAAATTCGAGCAGAGCAGGAATCGCGCAATCGAGCCGAAGAATTGATGAGGGAATTTGATTGGATAGATCACCTTCGGAAGCGCAACTTCTCCAACGGCGGATGGGAGAGGATCATGGTTGGACTGTTGCATCAGTTATCTAAAGACGATCGCTACAAGGAATCTTGTGAGGAATTGCTCGAGCAGCTAGTTCCGGCTGACTCAAATCCTACACAAGAAGCCATTCGACAGAGTTATGCTGAACTCGACGTCAACTGTCGCGTCAAGGCCTTGCAGATAATATGTCTGCTTACGATGCAGACAAAAGCTGTCCGTGGTTATATGGAAGACTGCAGTGAGACCATGACCAAGTATCGCAAGGACAGAATCGAATGGCAACGACAGAAGAAGCAAGCGTAAGTTCTTGTGAATTTTGCACACGATGCGAAGCATACCTCTTGACCAGAGGCTGACTTGGCTGTTCTATAGTATCGAAGATGTTCGCCAACTGCACGAACAACGCAGAGAGCTTGTACCCGACCCGGATCCATATGAACAAGTTGATGCCAATGTCGTGAAGGAAGAAGAGGATGCCAAGATGGCTGACGCTGACGAGTCCCAGATCGACAAAGAAAATGCAGAAGAAGGTAACGACGAGCCTAGCCAGCCAAAGGGTAAACGACGGGGTCGTGCACCAGCGGACAAGAAGAAGAAGAAAGATGCAGAACTCGAAAAGGAGAAGAAGGAAAAAGAAAAAGCGAAGGAGAAGGAAAAGGAAAAGGGGGCGGAGAAAGAAAAAGAAAAGACGCGGAAAGAGATGATCAAGCTGACTTCTCAACAACAGAAGCAGTACAACAAGATTCTGAAGGAGATACAAAAGAAGGAGGACATCATCAAAGAATGCGAAGATGAGGTGGCAGTTATCGAAAACGATCTGCGTGAAGCGGACTGCCCACGTACAAGGGTTCTGGGCAAGGACCGCTTCTGGAACCGATATTACTGGTTTGAAAGAAACGGAATGCCTTATGGCGGGTTGCCTACAAGCTCCACAGCAGCAGCCGAATATGCCAACGGGTGCATTTGGGTCCAGGGACCCGATGACATGGAACGCGAGGGGTACATCGACGGATCTCCAGACCTGCCAGACGAATGCAAGGCCAAGTTCAGAATGACGGTGTCGGAGCGCAAAACTAGGGAGGAGAATGGAACCAGCGTTTTCACAGCCAGACAATGGGGCTACATCTCAGAGCCTGAAGATTTGCACGCATTGATTAAATGGCTAGACCCTCGGGGCTTCAATGAGCTGAAGCTACGCAAGGAACTCGTCAACTACAAGGAAAAAATTGCCAAGCATATGGAAAACAGGAAGAAGTACCTGGCAGGTGAGGAGGATAAGGACAAAAAAGACGAGGCCGTGACGAAGAGAAGCAGTTCACGCATCCGGGATAAGACCCCAGAACCGCCGACCTACCGTTGCTTGCAGTGGGAAAACACAATGGCGCTTGAGGAGCTAGGTCACATCCATTCAGACCCTCCGCCGCCCCCAAGAGCTAGGAAGCAAACTAAGAAGAGGGAGGCACAAACCGAGGCGGCAGGCCGAGGTGCGGCCAAGTCTCGGCGGCGAGGCTAGGTGGCTATAAAGCACTTGGATTGACCAGTATGGTAAACCGGAGCTTTGATTTTCCTCCAGAGGTTGGTTGACAGCTCGGAGGTGAATCACAGACGAAAATTGGAGGGTACTCTTTTTTGGAAACGGGAGCACTAAATGTCGCTTGTGTACTCTTTGCTCTTTTTTTTTTTTTTTATTAAACAGCGATGTTATTTTTATGATTGGAAGGTTTCGTTCCTTGGATAAGAAGTGGTCGATGTTTTGGTATAGACGAACATAGATGCCTTTGGTCGGGGCCGGTAGGCGGGCATAGAAGTGTTTTTCAGGAGCGCATTCGGTCAGGCTAGGACAGATAGACGATAGGGACATCAAGTCATGAATGAATGTGCGAAGACGAATTAGAGTTTGCCTGCGGTACATATAGTGTTGTGTAGACTACAGTGTATCATGTTGTACATTGGGCTTGGGTGATGGGAGGCATCGGGCGCATTGACAGGCCGGCGGCTTACTTGATGCTGACGATGGTATTTATTAGAAGTTGCCAATGTATGTACTGCGTTCAAATAGTAGCAGCGGGTCGGGGTAAACAGTGGGATGAAATGGGAAGGCAATGATGTTTAGACGAGGCTGAGGATAGTCGGTCGGTCGGTCGGTCGGTCGGTCGGAAACGGGTGCGAGTGCGAAAGCGATGATGATAACGGGTGACGCCGCAGCCCCCAACTGAAGACGTGCGGCACTGCAGCCGTGCCTGGACGACTTGCAATGGTTGCATGTGAAGTCCCCAAGCGGCATGGATTGACTGACCACATGTGCGACATGACCGTGAGTGCTCGTTGGAACGTCTGCCATGCGCCACCATGGGCCGAGGCTGCAGCGCGCATCCTGGACGCCTGGGCATGGCGGCATTCCTGGGACTTGACAGGCTGATGGGGTCAATCAAATGCCGTGTCTGAGCTGGGCTAGGCACTCCGTACGTACATGGGAAGTGCATCATCGATGACGGGGTGGAGAGTTGGCATCGGCCATTATATCTGAGCGCCTTCGCATAATGCTTTTTGTTGACGCCGGATTAATCGAACCATGCTTCAGTGATTTACCATCATCATGGCCGACAATTCCCCCAAGATTACGCTGTACTGGTATGATTATGCTGCCCAAACACGGACACATTTGTCTGGTCACCACGCTCTTCTCCCCATCCACCCAAATCTTGCCGAGACTGATGAACCACATGCTCACTCGACTGACCCAAAACAAAGGCTCAACCATTCGCGCTCGCAGCGCATCATATGGCTCCTCGAGGAACTCAAAGTCCCCTATGAAATCGAAGTCTTCCACCGCGACAAGGAAACACTCCTCGCGCCCAAGGAGCTCGAACAGATTCACCCACTGGGTAAATCGCCCGTGATTGCAATCGTGCCCCCCGGCGGCGATGCAAGCAAGCCCATTGTTCTGGCCGAGAGCGGATTCATGACGCAGTATCTCGTGGACCATGCGCCCGAGGGAAAGAATCTGATGCCCACGAAGTGGCAGGACGGCAAGGAGGGCGTCATTGGCGGCGAGACGGAGGAGTGGTTGCGCTATGGCTATTACATGCATTATGCAGAGGGGAGTTTGATGCCGTACTTGGTCCTTGCGCTGGTGCTGTCTCGTGAGTGTTTCTTCTTCTTTTTTTTTTATTTTCTTGCCCATGATAATACGCCAGCCGATGGCGCGGGATTGTTCACGATTCAATCCGCGGCTAACTGGGTCTCGGAACAGGCCTCAAGTCTCCTCAGGTCCCTTTCCTCGTCCGCCCCATCACGTCCATCATTGCCAACCGCATCATCTCCATGTTTGTCTTCCCGAATGTCAGCAAACACCTTGCCTTTCTCGACCAGCAGCTCGCGACGTCGGGCGGCAAGTACCTCTGCGGCGATAAGCTGACCGCCGCCGATATACTCATGAGCTTCCCTGTTATCGCTGGGTCTGGCCGGTTTGATGAGCTGGGCTACTTTGAGGGCGGGTCGTGGGAGAAGGCGTATCCCAGGGTTGCAGAGTATGTCAAGGTGTTGGAGTCAGAGGAGGGGTACAAGAGGAGCGTGGAGAAGATTGAGGCTATTGATGGCAAGTTTGAGGCCTCGTTGTAGGGGCGGGACGATGTGCTGGTGTTATGTCATGTGGTTGACGGACGTAATACTTGCGGCTGCCAGGGAGGCTATGATAACCTAGAGGTGTACTTTGCATGTCAGGTAGTTGGTACATGCGCGTCCACCGGAACGGAAACTTCTCTTGTGATGATGAATCAATTTTAATTATGTATGTATCGGCACCGAGATCAAATGCCATGTACTTGAAATAGTAGCATTGCAGTATTGTAAAGACAATTGACCTTGGTAGCTAACATTTGTTGAAGCTTTGTGAAACGCAGTCTCCATTCATTGGCTAAGTGGGTCCGCATCCCTGTCGCCAACCACACCCCTCGAAAAAGTTCCCACAAAGAGCCGTCGACCTTGAACATCTTCTATGCCAGGCGACAATTCGTGGCAACTCGCGCGCGCGCATTCGCCATGTACGCATCAAGAACTGTATGTTCACGATGCGCCTCTAGTGTGCGTGCCGCTGTGCCACCGACGTATAGATCGGCGCCTGGAGCTGGGTCTGGATCTGTCGCGTGGTTCTCATCAACGGCCCCCGCGGCTTCACAACAGGCTTCGAGCTCGAGCTCAACTCCCCATAGCTTCAGACAAACCGGTGAAGGAACCATTTCCAAGAATGGCAATCCTCAGCCTCGACAGCCCCCATTCTCTCAGAAAGCGGGTGCATCTTCAAAGAGGCAGCCTAGACGGAACAAGGACGCCTCTGCGGCTGTAGCTCTGTTCAACGATGTGGTTCAAAAATCCGAGGTCGCTGCTCCCAGAGAGTTCCCTGCCCGACCTACTTCTCGCCAGTCTGCTGCTTCTACTGTGCTTGGAGAATGGGAGATTGCCGCCAAAATGAAGGAGCTGGAGGAAAAGGATGTCGAACCCCTCGAGAGATTGCGTCTCTTCCAGAACGACATATGGCCACATGTTAAGGAACTTCGTGGTCAGATCCCCAAGCACCTCTATCTTGCAACCACCATGTTCTTGGCGCGCACATTTGACACGGTTGCTCAACAAGGTCTCACTGGCGCCAGCGTCGCTCTTTCGAAAATGTGCGCCACAATTGGGAAGTGGGATCTAGACATGCGGAACCAGCTCGTTTTGAATCTGTGCCACACATTAATCAGCAAGAAGCATACTTCGGCGGAGCGGAATGCCCTCGTTGAGGAGCTCTTGGACATGTGGAAGCATATTTCGCAATTACGGAGGATGAGCCAGTTGCACAATGGCAGGCTCTGTTTCGTTTTGCCGTCCGAGGATGAGATCATCGAGGATATTTCAAGCTCTTCAACATCTTTGACAAAGCAGACCGAACCAGGCGAGGTCAAGTCCTCAAACATGGCACCTACGACAAAAGCCCTGGCGAGTATTTTTATTCAATTCCGATTCGAGCAAGCTCGTGAACTCGTGTCTGGTCTATTGGCCACCCTTGCTATACTTTCGGATCCGCGTTTGGCGAGAGATGGAAGCCAAATCAAGGCAGCACCACTGTTGAATCTCGTTTCCATCGTATTGGACCACCAGCCCGCAGACACCGCCTATGTCAATGACATCTTTGCCGGCAAAATAAGATTTCCGTCTTCAAAACTGGCCGATTTGCAGTCCTACGTGCTAGCACAGTGGCCGCAGGCTAGAGACATGGTTATGAGGCACGACTCGGAATGGCGAAAAAGCACTACATCGTCTCACAAGCCATCTCGCTCGTCGAGTGAGTCGTCCTGCCTATCAGGTTTCCACAAGCAGCTCCGTGCCGCCTATCGATCTCGCAACACCGGCGCTATTGTATCTATCTGGCAGGATCTCAATGCCACTTTAGCTCAAGATCAAGAGCTGCGCCGGCAAATGAGCGAGGACCAAGACTTTCTGGATTTTTGGATTTTTGTCTGGTGTGCCGTAAGACGACCCAAGAAGTTGCAAGAGACATTGGATCTCATGCGTGAAGTCGGCATCCAGCCTACGGTGCGATCATATACGAGCATGATGCACGGGTGGAAAATGTGCAAAGACGCAGACCGTATTGAAGCCCTTTGGAATAAGCTGGTTGAATCGGGACTGAGACTCGATGCCGTCATATGGACCGAGCGCATCTCTGGTCTGATTGAGGCCGGAAAGCCACAGTCGGGCATCCAGGCGCTCGCCGAGATGCAAGCTTTGTGGAAGAAAGCAGTTGCCAGTAGAGGCAGCGTCGAAAGCGCGGCCAATGTTGCCGTCCAGCCCAGCACAGAAGTCGTCAATGCCGCCTTCAAGGGCCTCATTGGCCTGGATCGACGGGCAGCAAACGAGGTGCTCTACTGGGCTGGGAGGGAAGGCATCGAGCCCAACATCCGGACATACAACATTCTTCTGAGGGAGAGTCTCCGCAACAGCGCCCCCGAGGATGTGCAGAGTCTGCTGAAGGCCATGAAGAAACGGGGCGTCGAGCCCGACGCGGCCACATTTACGATTATCCTCGAGGGACTGCTCGGTTCCATGGAGAACGCATCCGCAGCCGAGCAAGTCCATGTCGTGAGCCAGATCCTCGGAGACATTGAAGCAGCGGGACTGAGGGCAAATCACGAAACGTACGGCAAGATGCTGTATGCCGTCGCGTCGCTTGCCAACGGCGGTGCGGACGAAGCCATTGCCGCCGTGCAGGACCACATGAAAGCCGCCGGGCTGTCGGCCACGCCGCACATGGTGACGATTCTCATCGAGCGGGCCCTTTCTCGAGATCCCCTGCCTGCTGATGCGGGCGCAACCGTCCGCGCCCTCCTCAAGGAACACGGCCTGTCTAATGTCGCGCAGGGCGACCAGACGCTGTGGGAGCGGGTGATGAGCGCCCACGCCGTCACGGGGGACAGGGCCTCTGCCATGGCGGTGTTTGACGACCTTGCGCGTGCAGGACGGCCCGTCACCTCGCTGCCCTGCTTGACCGACCTGCTCAAGGCCCTTCTAGCTTCGGAGGATGCCCAGGCCACACAGGACGCGAGGCAAGTCGTGGGTGTGGTGCTGAATCATAAGAAAGCGGCGGCAGAGGGCTCGTTTGGCAGAGACACGCGGTATTGGAGGCACCATTTTTGGTACTTGGCAAGGGAAAACGGGTTGATCGACTGGCAGGAAGTGCCGGCTCTTCTGGAGAGCAAGCTGCGCGGATGAAGCTTTGTAGCACACCGTCTGAGAAGGTAGTCCTGGCCATGTGTGATGTGTGATGTTTGGTGTGTGCAATATCATGTACGATAGATGTATAAACACTTGTAAATAAAGATGTATATTACCTCGCTTTCCTCCCCTTCAAGGGAACCTCGTTGACGACCGCTCATCCCGGCACCCAAGACCCCCATCATAACTCACCAGTCTCTTGGTAAAGAAGGGAAAAACAGCAACACAGCAACAGCATCAAGACTCATCCACGGTCTTGTCGTCCCCTTTCGACCCTCCCCCCTCATTTGCCAACAGGGAGGCAATATTCTCCAAACCCTCCACCTCGCCTCTCGCCAACGACCTCCCCCCGCCGTGCCACTCCCCGTCGCGCACCTCCCCGTGCGGGCCGAGTTCCAACGCCCCCGATCGTTCGAGATACTTGCGCGACGCGCCCTCGATGTACTCTGCCCGCTCGCGGCGCCACGACTTGCCGTCCGCTTCTGCTTCCTCCCCGGTCTGCGCACCTAGTTCCGGCAGCAGCCGCCTTAGAGATTCCGACAGCGACCGCAGAGAGTTCAACTGCGACAGCGTGAATTCTGTAGTCGTAGTAATCGGTTTATTTGTCCCGCCCTGCTCGAGCGCCGCCTTTTCGCGCAGGAACCCGAGCTGTTTGTCGTCCCCCTCGGAGGTACTCCCTTCCTTTTCTGCTTCTTCCTCCTCCTTAACCGCGTCCTGCGCGGTGGAGGCGCCCAGTACGCGCTTCAACTTTCGTAGTAGTGCGTCGTTTCTCGCCCTCTCCGCCTCGAGAGACATGTGCAGTTTCTGGCTGGCGTGCAGCCTGCGTCTTAGGGCGTTGACGCTCTCCACTGTTGGTTTGTCGGGGCTGCTTGACAGGTCGAGGCCGTCGTAGTGCGATAGGCGCATGAATGGCTGGTCTTGGGGCTTGACCGTCAGGATGTTTTGCATGGTGTAGAGCTCGAAAATGTCAAAGTTTTTGTCGATGGCGGCGTTGAGGAGGGTTTCGAGCTGGTGGGTGCCGTTTTCGATCTCGAGCTTGGCTGCGTCGAGGGCGGTTTGGGCGGCATCGGGGTCTGTCGCTTTGGGCTTGGGCGCCTTGAAGCCTAGGTTTTGGGGGGGGATGGTGAGGAGGAGGCGTTCGACCGAGTCGAGGGCGCGGTCGGCGAGCACGTTGATGGTGTTGATGATGTCGTCGAGGAGGGCCTGGGCGGACTGGGTGAGTGGGTGAGCTGGGGTTTGGGAGGACAGGTGTACGCACCGCTGGCGGGTAGCTAAAGTGCTCTGTGAGGAGCTCGTAATCTGACCCGTTGGTGGCCATGATGGTTGGAGTCGAGCGGCACGCACCCTTCAACGCGTCCTGCACTGCGGCGCCGGTCGAGGGCGCGGGGATGAGCGGTGTCTCAAGGCAACGTCAAGGCACTGGTTAGGAGGCAATCATATTTCGTATTGTACCTGGAAGAACAAAGAGAGAGAAAAATCCAGCAATGGCATGTGGTGTTGCGGTTGCATAGAACCAACCTCTGGCATGCGGCACGACGAGGTGCATCGACCGACATGGACGAACATCTATCTGGACCCACACACCGACTTGTCGGAAAGACCCCACGCACGCGGCCTCGAACCCCTACGTCACCCCGCTTCGCACACAAGCTCGTGTCAAGTACTTTAGGATCTGAGGTTGGCACCAACAGCTCGTTGCGCCATCGCCGTCAACGCCTCCCCTCATGGGCTCATCTCACACTCTCTCCTTCATTGCAATGTCCCTAAGTTCATGCAGCATTTCACGCCGCCAAATAATAGAAATCAAAATTTCCACCTAGAGCGCACTCGCATAGGCCCCCAAACATGTCCCAGTTCAAGGACATCATGAAGAAAGGGTGGCATCCGGAGAAGTCGGGAACCGGAATCAGGGGCTCAGTGGTGCGTACTTGGCCTTGGCCTACCCCTACGACAACCTCCTCGCATAGATACCCATCTAAGCACCTATGTACTGACAAGATCTGTTGCTGCCGACCAGTCTGGCCTCATGGGCCGCAACAAGGATAACAAAGACGACAGCAGCTTGAACCACGTTGCACGTCCACTGACCGACCTCAAGGACCCGGCGTCCTTTGCACCGCCGCCCAGACGAACAGGCTCTGGCCTTGCACGCGCTCCAAGCCCAGTCTCGACAAAGCGCAACGTTGTTGCGGCTCCATCGAAATACGCCGATCCCAGAGCTCGGCCGGCTGAGCTTCCACCGCGGAGGACTGGGTCAGGCGTTGAGAGTGACGAGGCCTCGCCGACGCGGGACGCTGCCGACAGGAGGAGTCCGCCGTCGTACGACGAAGCTACTTCAGGGGGGGTCGTCTCAAAGGCACCGCCGCGTAGTTTGCCGCCTCGACTGCCTCCGAGAGGTGCCGCCGGAGGGGGCGAGAAGAGCGGCCATCTCAACGAGGGAGCTGTGAGCCGGCTCGGCGCAGCGGGCGTGTCTGTTCCGGCGCTGGGAATTGGCCGTGGCGGCGCCGCCCATTCAACCTCACCAAGTCCCCCGCCCGCCTCGTCACGGGCTTCACCTTCGGCCGAAGCATCAGGGGCCGGGAAATGGGGCGCCCAGGTCAACCAGCTCCAAGGCCGCTTCGGCAAAATGGCCACCCCTTCAGCGGCGTCCTCTGCCCAGGAGCAGCAGCCCAGCCAAGGCACCTCGTGGGCTCAGAAGCAAGCAGCTTTCAAGACGGCGTCGGCCTTCCAAAAGGATCCCTCGTCCGTCTCCTTCTCCGATGCCAAGGCCGCGGCCAGCACGGCCAACAACTTTCGACAGCGCCACGGGGAACAAGTTGCCGCAGGCGCCAAGGCCGCCAACAAGTTCAGTCAAAAATACGGCATCGCGGACAAGCTTGGTGCGTACGCAGGCTCGCAATCTACACAGCCGACCCAGAACAAGTCCGAGCCGCCGCCGCTACCTGGTCCAAGTCAGCCATATACAGGTGCCACGAATGATGCTGCTCAAGCGGCGGTCTCAGGATTGGCTGGCAAGAAGAAGCCGCCGCCGCCGCCACCTAAAAAGAAACCAGGTCTCGCTGCTGCTGCTGCTCCGGACCCTGCCTCTGCTGCACAGGGAGATATGCCTCCTCCCATCCCAATGTCTACGAGGCCACAATTCTAGGGATTTTGCCATCTTTGAGAGGCTAGTCGTGTTAACCAAAAATTTCTGTATACAGAGCATCGCATATCGGCGTTCCTCCCCAAGGCTTTTTCGTGGGTGTGCATTTTGAGTCATGGCCAGGTTCGACTTAAGGGGCTCGGGGGTCTCAAAGCAACATGTCGGGTGAACAGAATTGAATGTTCCGCAAGAATATGCTACACTAGCATCTTCTTCAGAGTCACTTGGCCCAAGCAAAAGAACGGGTTCTAGCGATTCCTCATCTGTGTTGTTTTTTCATATTCCTGCTATAAATGCGGCGACATACGCCAGGCGCTGAAAAAGACGCACTACAATAGCTTTTGTTTTTCTAAATCATAGCCCTCATACATCAAACTTCATATGCAGATCATCATCAGATTAAAAATCGCTTAGACCTTCATCTCAGTGAGACCGTGCTTCCAGACAACGACGTAGGGAGTAACACCGTCCTCACGGTAGTTGAGGAGGACCACACTGGCATAATGATTAGCAAATTTTGGCTTTTCTATCCAAGCACGACCGAGTAGGAAGCCACGCAGCGAGATCAGTAAGGCCAGCTAGTACTTACAGGCCATCGGGGTTCATGGACTCGCCAGTGTAGAACTCAAAATCCTTGAAGTTGGGCAGGAGCTTCTCCTTGACATAGGCCTGGGCCCCCTTCTCGAAGGCGGCGATCTCATCAGCAGAAGCATTGCGCTCCTGAAGGCCAGCCTTGACAGCCTTCATGAAGCCTGTGGGGTGAATCATCAGCATCATTCCTTGCGACTCTTAATAGCGGCATGTCGAGGGGAGTTCTGTAAACATCAAGTCGCATGTACTTACCCTTAAGATAGGCGAGGTAGCCCTTCTTGTCGAAGGAGGTGCTTTGGAGACGGAAAGAGTGGACGATGTTGTTGACCTTGACGGCAGTGTCCTCAAGAGCCTCATCAGCCTCCTCAGCGGAAGCATTGGCACCAGTGTCTATCAAGTGGGAGTTGTTAGCATCAAGACGCGCTTCCTATGAAGATGAATCAAGGAACATAGAGTAAAGCACGGAGAGTGAATGGCACAGCTCGAGCTGGCAATTGAACAAGACGGAGCCAAGGCAGCATATGCCGACAGCTGATGTTGCATAGGAGGCGCGGGGGTTGTATGCAGCTACATGTATCGTCGCAGGTGACGAGGCCACTGGAGGATTGACAGTGGTGGTGGTTGTTTTGGCCGAAAGACGAGGGGCAGGCGGTAGCGGTAGGCGGCTGGCGGCGGGGTTGAAAAAAGTACATCAGACATACCGACAGTGACAGCCTCCTCAGTAATCATGGCACAGTCGGCCTCGTAGACGATGCCGTCAACCAACTTGAGGTTATACGAGTCGGAGATGATCTCGTCACCGGTGATGAGGTCCTATCGAGATTGCGCCGTCAGCATGGTGAATGGTAATGTTTCGCAACTCCAAGGACAGTGTGGGCAGAGTGGCGGGGTAGCCGCAGCAAAGGACGTCTGCTCTTGTTGCTGGTGGATTTTTTGCTCGCTTCTGGCCATGGGTTTTCAGACGCGACGAGATTATTGGCTCGAGCGACGTACCTTGTAAATAATCATGATGGCGGTTTGGTAGACTCGAGGCCGTAATTGCTATGAGATACTGGATGAGGAGGTGGTGCAAGGAGAAGAAGAACGGGAAAAAAAACCAAGTGGAGATGGTGTATGTAGAAGATGGGAGTGGCCAGGAGGGGAGGATGTGGATCGCCAACTGGTGTTCTTGAGAGGACCTCACACTGACTTGGGGAAGAGGAGTAAGTTGTCGAGTGGTGGGGTTAGTTTTTGATTTTTTTGATTGATTTTTTTTAAAAAAAAAAAAAAAACATGTCCCCTTCTCACAGCCTAGATGCTGCCCCTCTCCTGCACGCACTGAGTTTTATGCCAAACATACCTAGGTACTTAGCAGACGAGACACAGCACAGGCACACGTGTAGACAGGCACAGGAGACTACATATGTAGTACTTGCCCAGCATCAGCCTGGGACTCAGCCCGGCGCAGACAGACGAGCACTTGGTAGCGCAACCCTAATGTGATGGTGGAAAACGTGCATCCCAAGATGGCTTTACTTGGGACCACCGCCGCCGCCGCCGCCAAAGCAAAGAAAAAAAAAGGTGCTGGGTGTGAGGCAACCATGTTTTATCCCATTGGGGCCATTATCTAGCACATGCTGAAGACTTGCCCGAGCGTCAACATGCAGGGTTGCCCAACGGATATCTGGTTGGACTCGGACATCCGGCCGTTAGAGGCACAAGGGAGCTCTCTGAATACGTGCAATAGTACTTGGCCCGGCCACGGTACCTCGCGTGGGATTACACGCCGCAGTCATCAATGATTGATGATTGTCTGGGAGAGCAGCTCAACGTCAGGGTCCTTGACATCCGGGTGGGCTGATATCCTGATTCGACGCGTGACGTCGGCTGGCTTTTGACCGCGGCGACCGAGATTGGCCAAGCATTAGCCACAGACGATTGACAGCCAGGTCTGGCTTCAAGCGCTCATGTATGTACGGAGTATCATGTATCATGTATCATGTGTCATGTATCATGTATCCTGTTGGGTGAGGCTCTGTCAGTTTGGAACAAAATGATCGCTCATGCCCCATCCTTTTGAGCACTGCAACATGTTTCCGAGCCTCCGAGCCGCGAGCCGCGACCGCGACGCCACGATGTTCCTTGGGCTCTTCTTGCCTTTCCTCTGTTGCGCCCTGCGTACGGAGTGCCACTTGTTGGAACACCTCAATAGAATAACCCACCCTTGCCGTCCCATCATCCCATCAGCTCTCTCATCATCCCATTGTTTCGCTTTGGCACCTTCGCTCCTTTTCGCCACGCTGTCTTCCACATAACTGAGCCTTTTGTTATCTCTTTTTCTTTTCTTTTTTGTTTTTGGTCTTGCCGTTGTGAGCAACGCATTTTTCACACCATCTTAATCGCCCTCATCGCCATCGACTCGGTACACTAGTGCCCTCTCCTTTTCACCACCGTCCGCCGACGTCGCCCAACCTCACCCTTGCCGCAGAAACCGCCTGTCGCGGCATTTGCTCCTCGACGTCACTCGACCAGCGCCTCGGACGAACATCATATTCATTGCGGACAGTACCCATCAAGCAGAGATTTGCGGAACCTACTGTCAGCAGTACAGACCATGGTCAACGGCACCAAGGGTTCACCCGTACTGTTCGCCATGGCAAACACCACCTTGTTCGATTCGGCTTTGCCGCCGCTGCCCTCGTATACCCTCGAGCCCAGAGGCGACTTCTTTTCATGGATTTCTGACTTTTGGCTCTCGCTCATCCTGCCCGTCTTCGTCTACTGGGTAATGTCGCTATTCTTCCACGTCATTGATGTCCTCGATCTCTTTCCGCAATACCGCCTTCACACCCCCGAAGAGATCTTGCGCCGCAACCACGCCTCCCGATACGAGGTGGCGCGCGACGTCGTTATCCAGCAGATTATTCAGGTTGCCACGGGTACTGTCTTGGCCCTGTCCGAGCCTCCCGAGGTGATTGGAAAGGCAGATTATGACGTTGCCGTCTGGGCTACTAGACTTCGACTTGCCCAACGAGCCCTGCCTGGTTTTCTGAGTCTTCTCGGTGTCAATGCCACCGCCATCTCCAAGAGCATGTCGGCAACGCATCCTTTGCTAGCTGGTGCTCTTGCTGGCGGTTACTACCCGTTTCTCTCATCGGCTGAGTCTACTGCGCCTGCTTTTGCTCCCTGGGAGATGGCTGTTGCTAAAGTCCTCTATCATTTCATCATTCCAGCCATTCAATTTTTTGTGGCCGTCTTCTTACTTGATTCATGGCAGTACTTCCTGCACCGACTGATGCATGTGAATCGATGGATGTACAGTGAGTCTCGATCCTGCTGTCCACTGTCCGGCTCTATCCTCGCAAGTCAAATCGTGAGCAAACAGCTGACATCTTCTCCATAGCTACTTTTCACTCCAGACACCACCGACTCTATGTTCCGTACGCATACGGCGCCTTGTACAACCACCCACTGGAAGGTTTCTTGCTGGATACACTCGGTGCCGGTATTGCGTTCAAGCTGACCGGCATGACGGTTCGCCAAGGCACTTGCTTCTTTGCCTTCTCGACAATCAAGACTGTCGATGACCACTGTGGATACGCCTTTCCCTGGGACCCTCTGCAGCTCATCACTTCTAATAACGCCGCCTATCACGACATTCACCACCAGACCTGGGGAATCAAGACCAACTTCTCCCAGCCATTCTTCACCTTCTGGGACGGCCTATTGGGTACCAAGTACAAGGGCCCTCGAGCCGACAGACTTGCCGATAAGAAGCGAACCGAGAAAACGAAATAGACGATGTTCATGCCGCTATTTTCAACGTAATAATTAGTCTTTGCTTCGATCTCATGTTTGATGCACAACTGCTCTGGGAGCCTTTACAATCATACGTGTTTTACCTGTTGTTCTAATCGACTTATAACAACTTTTATTCCTCAATGAGACATTTGGGGCAAAACCGTTTTGTATGATGACGCGAACGCCTCAGCGCCGCATTTATAATTTTTAATCTTTGTCTTCTATGGTCGATCAATGGTGGACATATTCTGTCATTAGCTCGTTACTCATATGCCTCCCAAGATCGCTATGCCGAATTGGTAAGGTGACAACGTGTGGTGGAATCGAGAACAACTGCCAATTGTACAAAACTTGCCGGCCCTCTTATTTTATCCTTCAAAGAACGAAAGAAGAGCAAAAAACACATAGCAGCAGCGATGGATCATGCAGACAACATCGATAGGCTGGCATTCTGCGTCACGGACATGTTGGTAGTTATTGGGTGGAACTGGGCCCTTTGGGTGACGAAGAGGATGATATTGTCGTTTCTTGCAAAATTGGGGGGGGGGGCATTATTCTCATGTAACATCTATAATGTTCGGTTGGTAGGGCACAAGTTGGAAACAAAGAATAAAACGTTTCTTCATCATGCCAGGGACGACGTGACAAAAGTACGTAACGCGAGTTGGTGTAGCACGGTAATTGGTAGTCGTATCGGGCGCGTTAGTCCAGCTGTTGGAGAGACCCTTGAGGGTTGCTTTGACAGGACCCTTCGTGCTCTACATGACAGTGCCGGTAGGGAGGCGATTGGCAGGAAGAATAAACAATTATGACATTCAAAGGACGAATTCTTGGGTTTTTTTCTGTTTTTTTTTTTTTTGGCTGCAGAACCCTCTCAGCACGGGACGCCTACCGCCGAGGAACATCGAGACATGCTTGGCGGACTTCAATCCGGAGATGTCATGATTTGAATCGATTGCTCTCCATATTAAAGTGTGTCTGGATTCTAGTGTTGTTATCAAGTGGCATTGTTTTCAAAAGCTGACATTATCGGTCACTAGCGCATCAACGAAACTGAGCCCAGCAACGGGAGACGAGACCAATGGCGTCAGTTCAGCTCGGCTAGGTCCGTACTTTGGGCTCTTGGACATTGTTGGACATTTATAGTTTGCAATGTAGCAGTACTTCCGTCCACCCGTTCAACTTTGCGTTGAATGGTGTGGATCCTGAGATCGGCGACTCCCATTTCTCCCATTTCCACGAGGTAGCACAGGTCGTCCCGACTGGCTTCGCTGCGCTCCAGGCTTGTCCATCCGTGTGGCCAAAGACGGGTGCTGCCGAGTACGTATCGCCAGCGGACTGGCGTTGCGGAGAGCTTTGGCTGGCCTGTAACGATACACAAGCCAGGCTGGCGTTAATGCCAGACATGCTGCACGCACAATAAGCGCACCCAAACTATCATGCATGTCCGGGGAACGAAATATATCAAAGCCGGCCTGTCAGGTGTGAGGTCCCTCGATTGTGGGCGTGCGTCTCGACCAGGTTGGAAGCAAATTGTGCCGCCTGAGCCAGTGTGGACTGGTCTGGAATACTACCAAAGGCCTATCGGATTTTGCATCACCCTGACATAATCAATTCATCAAGTCGTTTGTGGCACAGCGACTACCGTCAGACAGAGACCAACTAAGTAGTGAGTAGCTGTTGATGCGAGACACATCTGGGGGCGTGCAACACCGCATGCAACGCTACAGATATGCGTGCAACATGACGCATAAAGTGGCACAAGAATGCGTAACATGTCTCAGCGTCATGATTGTCACTTGGAATCCATTACTCGATATCATGGCATAGCATCATTTAAGTTATTTACTGACTGGAAAACGATGGATCATTATGTTCGGTACGGAGTCTGTGCTGTCGGCACCGTGCCTTTCCACGGGGGGCCCTGCAATGCAGTACGAAGTCAATCGTACGTAGTATTTTGGCGACAAGGCGAGTCAGCAGGCAATTATTTTATGGGAATATTCCTTCCGTTCTGGAATTAGCCACAAGTGGTTCCACAAGCCGCTGGTCCTTCCATATTACACGAAGCACTCCGTATCGTGTCTCAAGATACTAAGCTTTCCCGTAACGATGGGGCTGTATTATACCAGCTCAATCCTCCGTATTAGTTTGTGTATGTACTTGCCTTTTCTCGGCCTGGCACCAGTCACTTATGGAAGTCCAGAGGAGACCATTTGGGATGAGGAGACAAGAACCTATGCATACATACTGTGCCGAGTACTACTCTGTAGGCGTTCCAAAATTAGAGATCTTGACAACTTGTTGGCTGGGCAGACCGGGAGATTTCTCGAACCCGTGCACAGGTGGCCGGGCGCAACAAGGATGGAGTTAGAAGACCTGGCCATAATTTAAACGAGGATGGTCCTTTGTCCCCCCTCAATTCTAATAGCTCAAACGGCATATGAGATCAGCGCTGGGAGCTCGCAGCTCGCAGCTGGCAGCTGGCAGCTGGCAACGATCACATTGGAGCCAGAAACTGGCAGCGGGCACACAGCTGGGCCCCTGCTGGGCCCCTTGGCCCCTCTTTCCTGCGTCATGCTTCAGGGCCGCTCCTTCCTTTCTTCGTTCGGACGATGCTAGACTCCATCGTGTTCAGCCCATGTTTCCCCACGGTTGTCTCAAGCACGCTTCATGTCAACCTTTATTACCCAACTTCGTTTGTTGGTCTCCATGTATTATTGGCCTCGGCGTCTGGTGTGCATTCTCAGTCTTCCAGGCAGCTTGGCCTGGTCCAGTGGGCAACTCTGATCTCGGCCAAGACGCAACGCAACCCTCGAGGTCCAAGTCGTGGTCTAATCTCCATCCGCCGTTGCAGCGCATGCTGCGTGCCGTGTGCGATTGCGATGACGAAAGCTCGACTTCAGGGACCTGCCGCAATAATCAAATCAAATTATGCTTTCGCAGTGCTACAATAGGCATGCGCTATTAGACTTTCGAGTATCAGCTGAAGTGTCCGCCGCTCCCGTACGCGGGGCCATATTCGTCTGCTCACCTCTTGACGCTACACCAGTTTTGTGTGCCCGGGCAAGCCACTCAACCCACTTGGCACTCCAGCAATCTCCATCTCCACAACGAACCGCCGGAACCGTTGGCCAGCGTCGCTCGTCAAGCGGCCTGCTCAAACACTTGGACATAGGGCGGACGGGTACCGGTACAAGTGCTCAGCGGCCAAGCCGGCCCTCGTCTCATGTTGGTCTTCTCGTCGACGCTCGAATTGACCCTATTTCACTTATTTGGTCTGCGGCACCCGGCCTCCTGACTCTGCTGTTGTTATTCTCCTCCCTTCTCCTCCGTATTCATGCGAAGAGAAGGCGGTTTCCCAACCGCCCAGCAGCCGAATCGTTACGGACCCCGTTTTCCGACCTTCTCATGCGCCCAGCATGCCTCGGGAGCACTGATCATTTAACGGCTCTGATACTCCGTATTCCTGGGCTGACTTCAACGTCCGCGGCGCCGTCTCCTCACCCGTGCGGTGCTCATTGCGGACATCTGGATACGCAATACGCTCAGAAACTCGTGCCAACAAAGCCCGACTTGCTCCGTAGGCCCTTCGCTTAGTTGCTGTACTTGGCCGCATTCGACAAAATCAAATTACTACCACCCGGTGGCTCTTTCGCATAGCCGTTTTGCCCAGTCTCCGGGGCTCGCGTTCTCTGCTTGCACATCAGCTTCAGCCTCAGCGTTCTCCAGGGCCTCGTGGCCAGCCTGGGACCAAACAACCCCTAGCATCTCACACGCATAAGCCAAGGAATATCATATCCACAGCACCCTTGCCGAGCAGCCTGTCAAGTCTAGCCTTTCGGGCGTCCAATATTTTACACTGCTAAGCGCTCATCCTCGTCTCAGCAGCAGCCTTTCACAGCCTTCACTCAGCCAGCAATTGCTCCATTTCGGCGCTTCCGCCAGCGCTCCCACGCCATCATTGGCCAATTGGCTCGGGTCGGTGATCTCGGGTTCCTGCGTTGTTCCAATGTGCAACGGTCACTCCGTGTTTCAGCACCACCGTCCCATTCATGATTGAGCGTGAGAGACACGCAACAGCGGAAGTGATTTACAGGGCCCTGGTATCCAAGCAGCATTAGGCGCCGGCACATGTAGTTGCCTGCAGCGACGGTGCTTCACCTGCATATAATATTTGAGGCCTTGGACTCTGGCATGTTCTTATCTTCGCCATGGATCCTGCAACCACTCTCTTCACATTTTTACTGTGAGTTTAATTGCTGTCGTCTGCTGCACCTTAATAATATTTGTTCCTTTTTGATTATTTTGGTTTTTTGTGGAATTTCGTCTCTCATGCGAAAGGGGTCGACCCTTTTTAGTCTTTCTCGAGACACCTCGTGCTGTTGTTTCGCTCTCATCTTGCAACATTCCAAACAAATAGCATCCCTCCCTTGAATCATTTACGCCACAACTTCGTCTACATTTTGCGGCATACCAGATCTCCACTTCTTTGAATCTTTTGCCTCTTTCCATACTTCGTACGCTTCACTCTGTCGCAGGTATATTAGCTCCATAGTCCTTTCTCTATCCTTCGCGCGTTTTCGTGTCTCAGTCCTAGACACCTCATTGTTTGCAGTCGCGTCAGAGTCATTGTCTGCTGAATCTCGCACTCATTCCGAACATGCCAGTCTAGTGACTTGTCGTGTGAAAGACTAATTAGACCCGACGCAACTTTGCGTGCAACCCTTCGCGAGAGTAATGTGCTAACACAAGTGCTTATTACAGTCAGACGGATCCGTCCGTGAAATCAATCCATCTTATTGGCTCTTGGGACAACTTTTCCACGTGGTACGCAATGAAGCAAGACGTGCGACGCGGCCGTGGCCAATGGAGAGGGTGCTATTCATTTAAAGATACAATTTCCCACGATGAGTCCTCCAGTCACTCATTGACGAGGAATGGGGGACTGAAAATGGGCGACACATATTACTACTACGTAAGTCATTCTCATTTCACCACCCATAACGCGTTTTAAGTAAGTCACTTTCTCACATGAATGCCTATCTGTCAGTACGAAGTAGATGGCTCTACTGAAATACACGACCCAGCCCAACCGTCGACGACTTCTTGTCCTTACCTGCCAGGCCAAACGGTCAACACTCTTCACGTTCCCATTGAACAAACTTTGAGGCACCGCAGCGCTTCGGTTAATTCGCTTCGTCAAGAATCATACATGACGATGAATCCTGAGGCTCGATATATCACCCCAGTCCCAGCTCCAGCAGCTGTAGCTAATCCTGTGATCCGTCGTCTCGGCTCGGCTTCGTCATTACTGGGTAATCATACCTCAAGCCGTTCTAAATCACCTGGCCCTCCCTGGAAGCGAATTTTTAGTCGAAAATCAGCGAATGCTGATGTAGAGAGACCCGGTACACCTAGCCTCAGCCGCGATGGTGCCATGACACCATCTCTCTGGCCGCTGCCTGACAGTAGGCCAACATCGTCCTCGGACGGACGAAGGACCAGAGACATCTCACCCGAGTCGCTCCGACGGTTCCTAATAGAAGACCCTCCTTTACCACCAGCCACAGCTCTCAGCAATCCGCCGCCACGAGCCTTGAATATTCCAAGCGAGGTTGCCGAAGATATAGACGATGACGATGACAACTTTGCCACGTCTGCTATACCAGAGACGCCAGTCTTCGCGACAAGATTATCCCCTCCTCCTTTTCAGCGGTGTGTCTCCTCAGACTCCAAACCTCGAACAATCACGAGCTCGAGCTCTCCGACGCTAGCTATTCGACCAGCAAGCAGTCAGCAGGGCAAAGAGTCGAAGAAGTCTAGTGTAGTAGAGGAAGGGTCACCGCAACTGCCGAAGCTTGATACCACCGAAGCTGGCCAATGCGGCCGCTCTCCTTCGGTTTCGTCAACTGCCTTTGATACGCCAATGTCTCCACAGTCCTTGGCAGAGGAGCTTTCACCCTTTTACGATTCAAACGATGATGACGATGTCTTGTCAAGCAATGACGGCGATTGTTCAGCCTATAGACCACATGCAGGACCTTCAACCAAAGCATCTTTCAAAGGATATAGTCTGCCGAGACATGCTGAAGAGCATAAGTCCGCAGACGGCTCTTGCCCTGGAATGATGGGCTTCCATACGGAAACTGCCTTTTCCAAGGCACATGAATCGACCGTGCCGATCAGTGGCCCAAATTTCCTAAATGTACCTATGGATACTGGCCTAGGTCTGGATGACTTTGTCAACGAACTCGGCTTGTTGGTCGGTGGCATTGGCAATAAGAACACTTGAGTCGAGGTGTCACTACAGTTTGGAGTGATTTGTATTTGCTGTAGCAGAGACAGACTCACCCGATTATTCGCGTGAGACTACATAATAACCATTGCGACAATGAACATTATGATCGAAAAACCAACAACGCACGGATTCGACCAACGCATAAAATGCCTTGCATTATGGGTCAATTTTTTTTCTTAAAAATTTTTTTAGATTATGCCTTGTGCATCATAAATCTCTTCGGCGTTGGAATCAGGATTAGAAACGGCAGGCATATCAAAAACTTCTGATACCCCATATTTCTGGCAGCAGGTTTGAGCAGAATTTAGAGGAAGGGGATCACATGATTTGGAGGTAGGCATACACATTTGGCCTCTCCTGGCGAGAGGGAATATGGCGTGTTTGTTCTTTTTTTTTTTTTCAGCAGCCCTGGACTCAGGGGACTGTGCGATGTACTATAAGGGAGGCAGGTAGATGGAAGGGTAGGAAGACAGGAGGCAGTTGTACACTTAGATGATGGCTTACCTGGCTATGGCGAGCAAGACTTTCGCACTTTACAATCAAAAGCGAGCTTCTACACAAAGCTTCAACGTTGCCACATTGTTTCGCATACACCGTTTCTGCCCTTGCCGCAGGTGCGCGGACTTCATTTCTATTTGAAATTTAGAGAGTAAGCCATGTAGTTTATTATACAAGAGTATTGTGTCCAGAACATTTACGGATATAGTAAATACAGATGTATTTTCTATTAGATTTTGTCTCTCCGCGATAAGGATTATCTAGTATGTAGTGGTATTATTTCTTTCTAACTAGTTTCTTAATACCTACTACCTCAGCTAGTGTATTTAACATATCGCGACGCGTTCTGTGTTTGCCTTAAGGCACGTTACAGTCTTGTAACCTGGTACAGCGCAATTATAGTATTACTACTAGTAGTCTTATATAACTATCTAGGTTATATTTTTATTTATTTTATATACTAAAACATAGTAAAGTAAACTTAAATATAATAAAGTATACTTATATATAACAGAGTATACTTAAATATAGCAGAGTATACTTAAATATAATAAAGTATACTTAAATATAGCAGAGTATACTTAAATATAGCAGAGTATACTTAAATATAGCAGAGTATACTTAAATATTTAAAGAGTATAATATACTATATTACTATTTATTCCCAGTCTTATTGATTCGCTACGTTACGACATGTATATCTTGTGCAGTCTGCCCAGGGCCACCACTTTGCTCAGTCTTCATAGCAGCATTATTACCAGCCGCAGCTACATGTATTTCTTGCCCCTCCTCCTTGTTTTTCTCAGGTCGTTCCCGTTGCTTGATTTTAGAGTCTTCGTGTCTTTCCGGGGTCTTTAGTTTCCCGCTACTACCAGGATTGAGGAAGCGTTCAGGGACACCACGTGCTGCGTGCTTTGGGTTTCCCACCCATGCACCGAGGATGCGACTCCATTGGTAGTCGCCGTTGCTAAGCCGCTGGATCTCTTTGTATGCGAACATGTTGTAGAACGGGAGATTGGTTTTGGGATCCCGATAGCGTGCTGGGTTATTTGTGATGACACAGATTGGTGCAGGTGTAGGCTCTGTTGAAGTAGTCTGTTAGTTGTCTGGTCTCAAAACGCTAGGTCAACTGGACGTTGCGTGTGTAACTCAACGGGGCTGTCTTACTGGCGAGTTTGGTCATTTTGCGGCCAAACAGAATCTGGGTCTGAATATTCTTATCACGTATGGCATTCCCATCAAAATTTTGGTAGATGATGCCGTTTCTTGTTGCGTTCATATCGCGAGGGACCTCAGGTACGTCTGGGGCCTCGGACTCTATTGGACTTCCCGACTTCCCTTTATGCGCTGCTTGATTTCGGGCAGGTTGAAGGTCTGAGTCAGCCGGCATTGTTGGCTTTGCATCAACCTCCTTGGCTGTTGCGGTTGCGGTTGCTGAAGATGCGGATGGTCCTGCCACCGTCGTTGATTCCACGGCCTGGACGAACGGCGGTGTGAATGTGGACTGGATTGTATTAGGGAGTGCTAGCACGTTCGATTTGGATGCAGCATGGACTGGCGAGGGTACGTTCACGTCGATTCCTGGCGGCGGGACGAGCATTGGAGCGGCCAGCACGCTCGATGGCCTGGCTTCTGGAGGGCGCGTTGGACCAGCCGTAGCAGCCAAGGAGCTTGCGAGTGGAGGAGGCGGAGGCGCCGCCAGTCCGCTTGGGCGATTTGATGACGGCGCTGTAGAAATTTGAATGGAGGCAGGAGAGTAAGAGGGGGTTGGAGCAGGAGCAGAAGCCGGAGGTTGTGGCACAGTTGAATCTGTCGAAGCGACGGTCTCTTCCTTGAGAATAGGTGTTGAAGCTGTAGGGGATTCCCTCGAGGATTTGGTTGATCCCCCAACGATAATGACTTTTTCCTGTGCATTTAAAGCTGCATCGTCTGTGATTTCGGGCTTTGCGTCCATAGGCTCATTGTTTGGCTCTTTGCCTGATACCTCCCTGCTTGCCGATGCATCGTCCGCAGCTGGGGCCGGCGATGCTTCTGTAGGCGTCGGCAGATTCACAGCCTCTATTGTACCTGCATCGGCCTTTGGTGGTACGCAAGGCTTGTTATCTTTGGCTATTGCGCTGCCGCTTTCCATGTTCCTGTCGTCGCTCATTGCTGGTTTGTCTATCGTGGAATTCCCGACAGCCTTGGGTGTCTCTGAATTTTGATCTTCAGCTCTGATAGCGCCTTGGAGATTGCCTGTATCTGTCGATTTGGAGACTTTCTTCTCGTCAGTCTTCCCACCATCCTTGTCCTTTCCCTTTCCCTTTGCGGTCTTGTCCACCCTTTCTCTCTTCTTTTTGGGCTTCTCTTCCACCTCAGTTACATATGGACGCAGCGACCGCAATTCGACATCATCCCATTGGCCTCTTCCGCTCCAGAATGTAATGACTGGCCCCTTGAGCGTGCGCTGGTTCAGAGCAGCCAGTTTAGCCTTTCGCTCTTCCTCGCGCTGCTTCTCTGCCTCCTCCCAGCGATTGAGACTCTTGCTGTTGCGCTTCTCTACAATCGCAGCTTCCGCTAGTCTCTCCTCCTGCGTCATGGGAGGTTTTTTCAGGGCCTCGAGTCGAGCAGCCTTCTTTTCCATTTGTGCGAGCTGCTTGAGTCTCCTCGCCTCACGTTCTGCCATTTGCTGGTGCAGCTGCTCTTTGGATATACGAGTTGTCTGTCGGGATGAGGCACGGGTAGGCAGATCCGCAGGCGACGGCAGCCATGAGGCTCGTTCTGACTTTTTTTTCGGTCGTGGCGCGGGAGCTGGGACAGATGCCCTGGTGGTAGGGTCGATGCGAACCTTCTTTCTAAACTTGGCCGGGATTGCTTCTTGTGCTCTTCGTTTTCGTTGGGCAGCGCGCTTTTCTTTTGCCTGGCGCTCTAGCTCCTTTTCGCCTTCCAAGCCATCGTCGTTGGCGTTGTTGTCATCTTCGTCGTCAGATGAGGAGTCCATGTGTACGTCGGAGCCATCCTCGCCAACGTCGGAGAAGCCCTGGTCATTCTCGTCTTCGGCGAATAAAAGTTCCAGGTCTGAGTCTGGCTCTTCATTAGCAAGCATTGACTTCATACGATTTCCGGCCGTGGACCGGCGTTTTCGCGTTGTCGCAAGCCATTCTGTCTGCTGGGCCGGGGTGTCGGGGGTGTCTCTGTCCGAGCTATCGAGATCGCTGGGCGGATCGGACAGCTGCGATGTGTCCCTGTCAGATGTTCTTGATTCTGTATCCATCATAGACGGATCCTCCATGTCACCAAGGGGAGAATCATCCGTGACTAGCTGGCTGGTGGTCGAGCCACATGCGCGTGGTGGCAACCATGTGTGGATGTTGAGTTGCAATTGAAAATGTGCAAAAAGCGACGCGTTTGAGGGGTGACAATAAATTTATCGAGGCGGCGTTCCACCACCGCTGACATCATGGCCCACACATTATGCCCGGCTGCCTGCTCAGCGCAATCAAGGAAAGTGCAACAGCAATATCTCTTGCTTTGATAGGTTTATTTTTATTGGGACTTCCCATCATGTATTTGTCGCCTTCACAAAAACCAACATCACGGAAGGAGTGGAATTCGCTAATTTGATCATAGAACTGGCGGTCTATCCGGTGCGGCCTACAGATGGAGTGCGCCGTCTTTGTTGCCTTCTAACTACAGGGCTAGCGCTGACTTCTATCGATGTCCACGATGATCCAATATATGCCAAGTATTCAAACGCCTCTCGCTAGACAAGGAAACACTCAAACGAACCAAAAAAAAACCCCCCCTCTGCCACGCCAAGCCAGCATGGCCAAAAACAGAACAAACTCTAAAAAAATGACAAGACTGAAATCTGCAGTGCAAGACTAAGCCATCCTGCGAAACGCTGCGTGTATGTGTGTATAATGTGTATGTGTGAATGCTCCTCTTGCTTAATCAAGGAAATCAGGTGGCTCCATAACATGTTGAATTTGCAACCAGAAATCGCGGAACTCGTAGAGAGGGGAATATATGGTGATAATGATCTCATCAATTTCCCATCTACGCATCCAAAATTCGAGTCCCAGGTATATCAGTCCCGGAAGAAAACACTACATCTCATCTGGGAAAAAGGCGTCTACCCCTTTGCCGCCGTCCCATTCTTTGCAGAATCCTATCCAGTTTCGACGGAGACACTTTTCCGTAGATGGAGCACTACTGGTTGGTGCAGCTGTCCATGTTGTCGATGTCGGACCCTTGGTAATGGGCGGCTGTGTACGTGTGCCTGGTAGAGGGGTTGTGGTTGTGCTAGTCTCATCCTTATCCCAACAACCCCACCACTTTCCCGGTGTTTCGCACGTGGTTGTTGGCGTATGGGTTGTTGTAGTGACATCTGAGGTTGTAGTGATAGGGTTTGTGGTGGTTGTTTTATCCTTGCACCCAAACCAGCCCGGCGTCTTGCAAGTTGATGTCGAGGACGTAGTCTTGGTACTCGTAGCCGTGACTCCTGTAGTCGTTGTATCGAGGCAACCCCACCAGCCTGGGGTCTTGCAGGTTGAAGTTCGTGTTCGCGTACGAGTCGTCGTTGTTGACGTCGATGTTGTCGTCGTCTCTGTGCCGTTGCTCTCGTACATTTTCCACTGGGCGCAATCTCGACATTCGGGGGTCATGGAACACTCGGGAACATCGTCATATTTCAAAATGACGTCAGAGATGACTGCTCGAATCTTGTGGGTTCCAATCCCTACACGCCATCCTTTGTCGGCAACAACATCGTAGACACACTCGCTTCCAGTGTGGCAAGTCGTCTCCAGCGCGTAACCGGCGAAGGAGCAAGACGCAGTAGCACCGTTGCAGGTGCCAATGTAGATGGGATCGGCCGTGTGACCAAAGTGATACGCGCCAGTGTTTTCCCTTGTTTGAGGAGCTTTGGGATCAGAGCCCGGAGGGATGGGTAAACCAAGGCGAGTCGCAGCAACAGCCTCGGGAACAGCCTCGAACGTGACGACGGGCAAACCATACGTCAGACCTAGCAAGGAGCTGACAGCTCCACCCAATGAGTGGCCTACTACCCAAATTGTAGAATGGGGATAACGCTCAGTAACATTGGAGTAAAGTTCGCGGGCAGCGGCGTAGTACCGGCTTTCTTCGTGCAGAGATTTGGTAACACAGGTGTTGTTGCAAGAGTACGTGCTCGTGGCGCAGTCGCAAACCTGATGCCAAGTCCACTGTCCCTGCTGCGCGCAGCAACAACTAAAGAACAAGTTATCATTAATTTTGTCATTGGTCGTGGTACCATCTCCATCAAAGACGGCAGGGGTTGTTCCCTTGAGACCGATAACAATTGTTGAGTTGTCGTCGTCAGCCCAGATATGTCCACGCAGCCCATCGCTTTGCCAGCCAAAGTCTGCACTGCGGTTGAAAGGTTCACCGATGTCTAACCAATCGGCAGCGTCTTCTGTCTCGACATAGGCGTTGGCGGCCATGTAAGCTAAGCTAAGCACAGTGCCTTTATCTGTAACATCTGGCGAGGGAACATCATCAACTGTCCATGCTGAAGCATCAAGCACAGCAACATATCCCTCTTGGCGTGCGTGGGCAACCATGGGGTCTACAACAGAAGGGCGTCTATCAACGAGACGCTGTATGGTGTTGCCACGACTCCTGGCACTGAGATGAGGTAGGTCATGTTCAGCATGGCCGTCTTCAGCGGCGAGAAAGACGCGTGACGACGAAAGATCGTGAGTTACATCCATGCTGCGATGGAGTCGCGGATGCCGATCGGTACCATGATGATAGATGTGACGCAGTGTAAATGTATGGTCGGCTGGTCGGGGAGATTCCGGGTTCGATGGCGTGACGATGGCTGGAGGAAGAAAGACATCTTGACCTACGACAGCATCTCGATCGATGGGTGAAAGGTGCGAAGCAGCCGTCGGAGAAGAAACTGCCAATAAAGATAGCAGGAAGACTGCGGTAACTCTGCCGGCAGAGGTGCACCGCGCCAGCACCTGAGACGGCTCGAAATTCGATAACATGGTCAACGGCTGCCGAATCCAGCCCTGGAGGGAATCGATACCATGAGCGTATGCAAGGCCTCTCTGCAGACAAAGTTATGCATAAGATGCCACAGAGAGAAGAAAGGAGCAAGGTTGAAATTGCGGAGTCCTGCTCTGGAAAACTGGCAGAGGAAACAGGAGCGCGAGGTGGGGGAAGTGAGGTTGTAACAGGAGGATGCAAACGAGTGACATTCAAAGAGCGAGCGGAGTGGCGGCGATGTTGTCATGGCCCGCCGTCCAAGGTCTCGGACTTGGAAGCATGCGCAAGCGAGAGCCCGTCGGCGGGGACGGGTCCGATGCAAGGGTCAACATTGAATGGTATTGTTGGGGCGGGGATGACTAACTGCGTGTCATGATGTGACCTCGGGAGAGGCGAAGTACCGCCAGAAGGCGCTGTTCAGGGCCACTGATTCAGCATTAGCATCGCACCAACCAGCACATGTGACCGCTATTGCGCTAGGTTGGCCACCGGGCCCTTCCCAGATGACCACTTTGACCACTTGACTGTCTGGGCAACTGCCAATAGCAACCACGAGTGTATTACCTAAGCACATCAATTAAACAAGTGCCTCGCGACGCGCCGACCAGCGCGTGTCTCCAGATTTCCCCACGACGCAGCCAATCCGAGGCTGGTGCGCCAACATTTTGATCTCGAAGTACCGGCGAGAGTTTGACAGCTTTGGCCGCAACGCATTTCATCCCGTCTTACTGCCATCTCTCCTTTGTGTCGAGCCAGCGTCTCTGTGCACATCGCCCAAGATGACTGCAATGTGAGTAGCTCTACACCTGTTCAATTCTCAGTTCTTTCCTTGTGGGCTAGCGATCGGACCGCCTCTGCATCATGGCAGCGATACCTCGCGCGCCGTGTTTGTAGCTCGAGCTCGTGAACTCGCACTGGCGACGCACTGCTGTCACGGCAAACCGCGCAGACATGTCTCAACTAACATTCGCTTTCTTTAGCGAGAGCTTCGACAGCATCTACCTCGACCTTTCCAGGGAGAGCGGCAAATGCAGATTTGCCGAGACGGGCTTTGGATGGAAGCCGTCCAATGGAGGTGACACCTTCACCCTAGACCAGACAAACATTGGTGGTGCGCAATGGAGCCGGGCAGCCAAGGGGTATGAAATTCGGATTTTGCAACGGAATTCCGGCATCATTCAGCTCGATGGCTTTCAACAGGAGGATTACGACCGGCTTAGCAAGGTCTTCAAGAACTGGTACAGCACCGTTCTCGAAAACAAAGAGCATGCGCTCCGTGGCTGGAATTGGGGCAAGGCCGAGTTCGCCAAGGCTGAATTGACCTTTAGTGTGCAAAACAAGCCGGCCTTTGAGCTTCCTTACTCGGAGATTGGCAATACCAACTTGGCTGGTCGCAACGAGGTCGCCGTCGAAATGTCCCTGCCCCAAGACTCAAATGACACAGGCACCAATGGTCAGCTTGGTGGCGCTCGCGGCAAAGGCAAAAAGGCCGGTGGTGGCAGGGACCAGCTCGTGGAAATGCGGTTTTATATTCCTGGTACTACCACTGCCAAGAAGGAAGCTGATGGTGACGACGCCGAGGAGGAGGAAGCTGAGGAGAAGAATGCCGCCACCCTCTTCTACGACACCCTCATCGAGAAGGCTGAGATTGGAGAGACTGCTGGTGATACTATCGCCACTTTCCTCGACGTGCTTCATCTTACTCCGAGGTATGATGTCATGAGCCCCCAGCACCCTAAGAGGCGTCTACCTGTCTTGACCCTGATTTGCTAACATGTCCTTCGGCAGAGGTCGTTTCGATATCGACATGTATGAAGCTTCATTCCGACTCCGCGGAAAGACGTACGATTATAAGATCCAATACGAGGCTATCAAGAAATTCATGGTTCTTCCCAAGCCTGACGAGATGCACTGCATGCTGTGTATTGGCCTAGACCCTCCACTACGTCAGGGTCAGACACGATACCCATTTGTTGTCATGCAATTCAAGAAGGACGAGGAGGTTACCATTGACTTGAACCTCGAGGAGTCAGAATTGCAATCCAAGTACAAAGACAAGCTGGAGCCGCACTACGAGGAGCCATTGCACCACGTTGTTGCCAAGATCTTCCGTGGTCTGGCCAATAAGAAGATTTCATCACCAGCCAAAGACTTCATTACGTACGTACCTTGGATTATTATTCAAGCCTCACATGTACCCGGCCATTTTTTGATCTTTTTTTTCTCTTTCTTTTGGACTGTCGCTCACTAATCATGTTTGTTACCCGTCTCTAGTCACCGAAGTCAGTACGGTATCAAGTGCTCCATTAAAGCCAGCGAGGGATTCCTGTATTGCCTGGAAAAGGCCTTCATGTTCGTGCCCAAACCGGCCACGTACATTGCCTACGAACAAACACAATCCGTTACGTTCTCCCGAGTGGGTGGTGCCGTCTCCACCCTATCTACCTTTGATATCACCGTTGTGATGAAGAATGGCGCCGGGTCGTCGCAGTTCAGCAACATTAACAGAGAAGACCTCAAGGCTCTGGAGACATTCTTCAAGCTCAAGGGTCTGCGTGTCAAGAATGAAATCGATGAAGATGCCAACATGCTTGCCGCCGCCCTCCGCGAACAGGACATGGACGACTCAGACGATGAAGTTGTCGCCAACAAGGCGGACCGTGGCTCAGCCGATGAGGATGAAGAAAGCGTGGATGAAGATTTCCAGGCTGACAGTGATAGTGATGTGGCTGAGGAGTATGATAGTGCACATGAGAGCTCAGGCTCTGGTAGTGCCGAGAGCGACGTTGATGCCGATGAAGCGGATGAAATCGAGGACAAGGAAGCCGAGGCGGAACGCCCCAAAAAGAAGAAGAAGACTGGTTAGAATGACCACGAAATCGTAGGAGTTTATGAACGTAGGGGCTAAGACACCAGGGCATCGGGAGGGAACACATACTGGTGCAAGAGAAAAGCCTTCAAAACTGGGCAGTTGTGTTGCTGTGAGGAGTGGCGTTGTCTCATATCGGCTTCCTTCACTTCAATCCGGCTTCGGCTCTTGATGGTAGGTACCTAGGTAATTGTTAGATGACAGGGGGGAGGTGACATTGTGTACAAGTACTATTTCGAGAGGACGGTTGGGCGGCGTCAACAACCCGACTAGCGGGTTCACTGGAGAGATGATTTACAACGGATCCATCATTTCATAACCATCTTTTTTTGTGATGGCATAAACTGCCTTTCATGATGAGACCACCTGCTTTCTCCTGGAAGTATTGATTTTGAGATTATGCCGTAAAACATTCTGCATGTTTTATTTCCTAACGAATACCTACCTACCTACCTAGGTAGGTACCTTGGGTAGGTCGGTAGGTACTAGTAGACTTAGCTAAATGTGCTTAAACACTGGTCACTTCAGTGAAAAAAATGGTTGGATTTTTTTTTATTGAACAAGGTCATTCCTTCCATCGCAATTTTTGCCCAGAAAGTCTAGTATCATCTTTCCAGCTATATTCCACACTCGCCCAGAAACAGCTAATATTTACCTGCTACTTAGACCTAGCAGGTAGGAGGTAGTTGCCTATCGGCAAGCCAAGAAATTCTCCAGTCAGTTCTCGAAACAAACCCAGTCCCAGATCCAGTAACACACACACACACACAAGGGAAATTTGTTTTGTATAGTCCAACTTTTCGATACCGCCATTCCTTGTCAAGAAAATCTTTCCCGCATACATCGAACCGTGTCTCGCGGAGACAAATTTTGATATTCTAAAAAAAATGAAATGAGTCGTAACCGTTGAGGAACCTAGCCTCAGAGAGCCCATGCGTATATGGTAGAACACACAAGATAAACAAACAAAATATGAAATCATGCGCCTCTAGTAAATTCTCAGCTCCAAACAACGAAAGTAAGTCTAATGAGCAGACTGGAAAAATGACGCTAGTGAGAGACAAAAAAGTATACATGATGAAACAAACAACACAACTGTTGCCACACATCTACCACGGTGAAGCAAAGAAATTGTCATAAGGGTTGCACTGCCCTAAAGCAAGACAGAGTTCCACACGTTCATGGGTGAACTAATTCATATGTGTTCGCCTGTGGCTTTCATATATGTTCGTGGGAACAGTGCGTACTGTCCCACCGGGGGAGGAGATTGGACGGGCAAACTTGTGGTCTTGGCTCTCGGACGTCTCGGCTTAACACTCTCTTCCAGCGGAGGTGCATCGTCGCGAACCTGAGACTCGCTAGCATGGCTCTTGTGATAATATTTCTTGAGCCCATTAGACGGAGGAAATGAAATCATGTCAGGGACATGGTCTTGAGTAGCTGGATATGTGCCAGCCCACTCTGGTCCATCCTGATCGTGGTCTGGGGGTTGAGCAGAAGGGAGTGGTTCAGAGTCATCAGTCAGTGATCCCGCCATCTTATTGAGCGAGGTGGTACTGGCGGTACGCCGAGCAAGCGTAGTCCAAGACGAGTTTGTCGATCTATATTGTCTTCCGGTAGAGTTTGAGCGGGATGTAGAATTGGTCGAGGTGCTGGAACGTTGATCAAGCAATGGAGATGATCCGTTAACTCCTACCGATGAGTTCGTATCTTCATGCAAGGCCGACTGTTCAAAGTGTCCGCCAACAAGATCACAATCGGAGTAGGCTTGTTTTTCGGTGTCGTCACTTAGAAGCATGGGTTGTTGATAATCCACAGGGATGAGGAATGAAGGAGACAGCGTAAATGTCTGAGATTCCCTAAATGTGGCAGGGCCAGAGCTGTGTCGGGGTTCCTTCATATTGAGGGGACGAATACTCTTTTTGTCACCCCTCGGTAAAGAAAAGTTGTTTGTAACAGCGGGATTTGGTGTGACTACCTCATGCTCCACGGGAGTTGATGTATGGCTAGCTGGGCTGAGAGATGGTGCTTCTTGCCATACGAGGGATAGAGAACCATGACTTTCGGCAGACAACCCTCCGTTAGATGCAGGCTCAATCCCGTTGTCATCCAGTGCCACTAGCTTTGCGGGAGGCGTCAAGCTGTCTCTGGCAGTATCCAGTGACGGACGATCCCATTGGTAGTCACAGTTGGCTTCTGCCTCATGTTCATAGCAATAGTCTATGATATCCTCCCAGCTCTCTCTTGTTGGTGTCCTTAGCTGGACCAGACTTTGGTGATCATCGTCATCAACGATATGATCCAGGCCCATGATACCCAGGCCACCGAGGGTTTCTGAAACTACACTTGTTGGCCTTCGAGATTCGGCAAGCGATCGCAACATTGGAACAGATTGGCTGCCGCGGAGAGAAGAATTATTGCTTGCAAGGCTAAGCCTTGATCGTCTTGACATGCCGTGCTGCTCTTCTTCCTCGGGGACATCAGGGAGCGTTTCGTACGATGCTGGCGTTGAAATTGCCAGAGGCCAAGTAGAATCCCGAGCACCCAGCATAACACGAGAGTATCGCGTTTCGTCAGGTGGGGATTGTTCTTGCGTCTGACTATAGCTGTGCTCATAAGAGTTTAAATCGTCGATTATGCATTCAGGAGAAGTCGCATAACCGAAAGGAAATGGTTGGCAGAATTCGTTACTTGTCTGAGCCCGGGCAGCTGCATTCATGTTGATGACGTCTGTGATATCTTGGTAGCTGGATTGTCGGCTGGAACCCCGGGGAGGTGGCAGGGACCCAAGCGTACAGAAGCCATTGGCTTGTATTGGGGATCTAGGGGGTCGAGGAGGGGGTTGTGACGGAGTTTTTCGAAGCCGTTCTTGTGATCGAATATGCTGTAGAAGCCGTCGAGGCCCGGAGGCCGGGGCAGTATGGCGAGGTACCAGGGGCGGACGAGAGACAGCGCTAGAGGTTTGCTCTTGGTACACTTCACCAATAGACTCCCACGACATATTTCGTGAATAGGAGCTTGTCTCGAATCCGCCGGTAAAGGCGTCGTTCAACGTCTCCGGACCGTTGACATGATGATCGTCGTTGACGACATTATCCCGCTGTGTGTGGGCGACGTGCTGAAAATTGAACGGCCCTGAAATATATGGTCGTCTCTGCGCGGTTTCATCCCGCGATGCCTTCCTTCTGGAAAAAATGGACGGGATGAGTCCCTCTCGTCCTCCATGACCAATGTTTTCAGAGGGCATATCTCCGGAATATATTGAGCTGGCGGAGGAGTTCTGGGTGCTGCTTTCGCGCTTGGATTTTCCTCGGCGATGAAAAAAGCTCCTTCCAAAATTGTGTATGCTTTCGGGCCGATCTCGAGATGGGGCATTGCTATCGTTGGACCTAATCGATGATCTTCGAACGAGGGACAAGTTGTCCAGTGACAATTCCCAAGGTAGTCGCTCAGCCGTATTCATAGAAGATAAGGATGATGACTCGGAAGAAGCAGTCCTGTGCCCATGGTGCCTTTGTAAATGGGATGCTCGCTTCATTTGCTTGTTGAGGAGCCGCAACTTCTGGGGAGAAGGAGGGCTTTCGAGAGCAGGACCAAGGAAGTCGGCAACACTTGCGCTTGACAGCTGCTCCATGGGTGACGAATCGAATGGTGTGTGAAGTTGTGAAGACGAAGTGAAAGGTCGCGGCATCTTTGGTAGTTTTGGGTCCCTTTTCGGCTCCTGGGTGGGTACCGCATCGTGGTGCCCAGAGTGCAGGGACATTGCTCCAATACCAAACATCTTTACTTAGTGCAAGGGGTAGGAGGGTGACGATAAGATTCGTGCCTCCGAAGCTTGACAACGTGTTTGGCCCACCGTGACAAGCAGAGCCTTTGCTCAGAACCGGAACTGCGATGTGATCGGCATACCACCATGGGATGGGCGTGTTACCAGGGCAGTCCGTTGTGTGAGACTATCAACGGTCAACAGCAGGCAGGGGACCTGAAGAAGTTGTGGGGTTAAGTGACTAGCCGGAGCTAATAAGGAAGACGACTGTACATGAGAGAGATAGATTGAATTTTTGGGCTGCAAATGCCACCAAAACAGGGGTATCCCAAAGGCCCAGACGGAAGCCAGCAACAAACAAAGTGTCTGGGGTGGATGGGGGCCTTGAATGGGGGCTTTGAAAACAGAGGTTGCGACTAGATGCGGTACCTCGGACCCGGGTCCGTGTTGGTCACCTCGAAGCCTGTGATATAGACGTAAGAACGGGCAATTGGACCCGGCGGTATGACCGACTGAGTTCTGATACGGCCTCGATACGCCAGATATCAAAATAGAAATACACCAGGTTGAACTAAAAGTCTCCCTGTCGTGGCTGATTCCTCTTGACAGGGCAGGAAAACTCCTTGTCTGTTGGCGGATGGAGCTGTCTCCGTCGAGTTTCCCTGTTACAAGCCCCTCAAAAGCAAATCCTGAAGAAGTTTGACTTTCTGTCCCATGTGCAAATACCGAGCCAAGAGCGTCGTCGCCGACGCGTGCAATGGTCTGAGATGATAACCGTGGCGCTAGTAGTGTCTCTCAACGGCAAATCCAGTCAGATCTTGCATCGACAGAATGGCGGTTTCGTCAGTCGATCTCCAGTGGACCACAGACTTTGTCGGAATCCACTGCTACAGCAGCTCGGTCAACGGAAGGGGGGACACCCGGTGGTAGATGGGTAGGAAGGTGTTTGTGAAGGTGGTTGAGTGCTTAAGGCATCTTGCGAAGCTGCGGCAGCATTCCTTAAGTTCTTTCCAGCGCCGGCGTCGTTATATTCAGCACTGTTGGTTCTCAAGCCACAAACGCTTCTTGTTATCAATTGAGCAAGATCTCATTTTAGCGAGCTTCCTGAACAGAACAGCGGAAGTGCCACAAGTTGGTTCGGAGGGTGCATGTTACCAACACAACAAGCTAAGCAGCGAGGATTATGGCCAAAGAGAGAGGCTTACCCTACCCGAAGCGTCGGGTCGAGGCAAAGTTACGTTGTACTCCACCCGAGCTCTCGTGGCTTGGTTTGAAGAGAAGTGGTTCCTGGCTTGCAGCTCCATGCAGGTACGACATGGTCGCTTGAATGGCCTGAGAAGTCGAACCCCATAGTTGCGTGCACCACGGAGTACTCCGTGAGGCATTGTGTAAGTCCGTATTCTGTCGTCCACAATGCTTCCCCTGCCACTGGCGGACATCACGTACATGCCCTCTCCCAGTCAGCCAAGCAATAGAAAAGAGACAATTCCTAGACGACCAAAGCTGAGGTGAGTATTACGAAATACATATACCGTAGGGCTTGACAATTGCTGGGGCAGAACTTGCATTACATGATGGGGGATGGGCCATCCCAAAAAGAACCAACAGACAAGGAGATGTCCTTGACCGTCTTGGCTCCTTTTGCTAGGGGTCTGTTGGGGGCAGACGAGGTAAGCCGCAGGGATTGAGTTTCCACCAGACCTCATCTCCACTGTGAGTTATCGCTCATACACGACGACTTGGACAAGGATCTCGCGGGCCAAAAAGAGCCCAAGGAGTACTCCGTAGCACGCGTTTGGGTGTTTGTTGTGGCTGGCCCTTGTGCTATTGTACAGTGGTGGTCGCCATGGGGCATCGCGTTCAGGGTTGTGATCCGAACTTGACGGGTCAACGCCGTGGAGAGGGATTTTTTTTTAGGCGGGCGGGCTGTACTCCGTTCTTCGTAGCTGGTGATTGTACAAGACGGTCGGATCTGTACGCATTGTACTCCGTATTGTACAATTGCATGACAACCTGATGCTTTCGAATAGTGAGCCATGATTCAGGGAACTCGTGGCGGAAGCCCACAATGGCCCTTCCTTTCTTCCAAGGATCAATATCGCGTTCTGCAAAGGAGGTTGTGGGATTTTGGACCTCCGCCATGGGCAGCACCTCCGAGGCCAGGGCCTGGTGAATGAGAAAAAAACGATCTATTGAAGCGTGTCTGTTCTTACCAAAACACGGACAACCACAGTCTACTAGGAGGCAGCTAGACTCGAGCGTTGCAGGTGGGAAAGCTAGTAGATGTCAACGGGTGGTTTCGAGTGATGATCCATGCGAACTATGCTTCGGTTCCTGCCTGGGGTCGGGCTGTTGGACGTGGTTGGTGGTGGTCATCCGCCGAGCATGTACTCCTACGACCTCCTCTAAGCGCACGGAGTCTATTGTACTGAGCGTACCCACAGTGGCCACCTAGGCACCGAGGTATCTGGGTACTTGGAGAATGGCACTTTGTATCGTTCTGGTCGACGTAATCATGTACAATCAATGTGATATGCACGCGTGCATGGCACCCCGGTTGTTCCTGCCGCATGCCTGTTGCATGCCTGTTGCATGCCTGTTGGTACCTTGGGAGCTGGACAAAGACGCGAATTTTTCTTGAACAGGACAGATCATGCAGTTCTCCGTAATACAGAGAGAGTCTTGCACCGACCAAGGTAGTACACCGCTCCGGGCAGTGAACGCAAACTCCTGCACGCCATCTACTCCGTAACCATCTCGGCATCATCAGCTCCGTACAATCCAATGCCTGATTCGTCAATGACGGCGGACGCGCAACGCGGCAATGACATCGGCACGCAATGCGTAACTTGCTCTATGTACTGTACGGAGCATGTTCAATGTGCAATACACATTGTATCATGCATCATGATAGGCAACTGGTGGATAGTGAGATACATATTCCCACCAGACGCTCTTCCCAAAGCGTTCGAGTAGTATCAACCAACCTACCTACTTAGGTAGTTGGTAATTCTCCACTCACAAAATCACGATCCGCATCACGTCGGTCGTCTTTGCAGCACACGCGTACCACAATCAGCTCAATCTTGGAGAGTGCAGCTGCCCGGATGTGCCGTGGTCAGAATTGATTGCACCAGAAACAATGGCAATCTCCATCATGGCGGACCCAGGGGTTCATACTCTGCCAGGCTGCTGTCAATGTTCTAGTAGCTTCCGCCTGGAATGCGAGCAAGATGGGGAACTTTCGTTTTCCAACTCCCATGCGCGAAAGACGAAAACAGGGTCAGTTGAGGAAAGTGGCTGGCTGGTTTGCCTTGACTATAACAAGCCAGCCTTATTGTCGGCTCGTGATGGTCTTGCTTGATCTGTAGTTATGTATGTACATAACTACATAAAGTACATAAAAGGTATATGTGGACCACCTGGGTAGGCTGGCTCGTGGACCAGCCACTGGCTTCGTCATGAACTGGCTGTGCAAAAACTGCTATTTCTGGCTTGAAAGCATGGCGTAGTTGAGGGGTTTGTAGGACGACATGGCGACATGGAGAATTCCACAGCCGCGCTGGCAGGAACATGACTCTGGGCTGTTTCTGGTACAAACAAGTACCTCGTAAATGGATTTGACGAGACTCCCAGTGTGTGTACAGGGTGACTACTGCATACTACTACTTGCGAAGCTATCGGCCCAGACGGAAACGAAGCGTATATGTACATATTACGCAAGAGATTGTATGAGGCAAATGGCAGGCTCCATCCAGCACCGAAGCCGTTCCCCATATCCATACGAAATCTAGAATGACTTACAGTGCGGTGTGTTACGATATGGGAAAACCCAAATCGAAGGACACGGAGAACTCTTTTGCTGCACAGACAGGTACCCGCCAAAAGAGCTTTGAACTCGAACAATAGATCAGAGTCGAGACACTAGCGTTGAATCTTGTCTTGAGAAGCAACAGAGTTTGACAATAAAAAAAAAACGGGAGCGGTGAATGGCCCCCCCAAAGCCACCATCGCCATTCATTGTCTGAGTGAGCACTCACTTTGGAGCTATACATGAGTGATGAGATTTGTTTCTTTCTTTCGTGTGCGTGCGTGTGTGTGCGTGCGTGCGGGCGCGAGTGTGTACATACACAGTCCCTCTTTTGTTGGTTCAAGGTTATTCTTTGTAAATTCCCGCACAAGGTAGGCATGCCCATGGCTGATGCTGCGTGATGCCGACTTGGGGTGATTCCTTCAAGAATGGTGGTCGGCTCGGGAGACATCGATGCTTGGACCAAGGTCCAACCACACGCTGTTGGCGCAGCCTGCATCGTGCTCTTGAACATGCAAACCCTCAATGCCAAAAACACAGCTCCATGGAATAGGGGCTTGTTCGCTGAGTCCAGAAACGCGCCGACACCGAACGACATCTGCAGCACTAGGGCGAGCACCTCGGCCGCCCATGTGGTGTCAAATGCACTGTCAAGGTACATACATACATGCTTACGTACTACATGCCTTCTTGCTCATCACTTTCCGGTCGGCGTCAATCTACTCCTGCTTTGGAGTCCGGCTGGTGTTTCTTCTCCGGACTCTTGGAGCAGGCATGTTCTTGAACTGTACCCTGCTTCAGTCGCTCGTCCACTCGGTCCCTAGTGGCTAGTTCCTGAAGTCCAGTGTGCAGTTGCAAATTTTCCATCCTCCCACGCTGGTGATGCCAGCCCTTCCCCTCAGTTTGTGCTGGGTTGCTGACGCCACTCTCGGGGCTCCCCTGTCCATGGCTGGCCTGCACCCAGTTCTCTGGGACTTTGCTTTCGTGTCCTGGAAGATTGTTGGTGCCTGGATGCCGTTCCGGATCTCTTGATCCATCCCGCACCCGCAAGCTTGCCCAAGTAAAGCAAACCGCTCCGCTTCATTGTGAATATCGAGACAATGACTGACTGCCTTACAGAAATGCGGAGAAGCTTCAAAGCTCCGAGTCCACCACTATTAGCTCCGTTTCATCAAGAGCGAAAAACCTCTGCGTCTTACCGCGGCTTACGGGGGTGTTCCTGACAACAGGCACCGTCAAGCGTACTGGGTACTGGATCCGTTTGACAGAAGAAGACAAACAGAGAAACAAATGGAACGGGGACTCAACTCTGGTTCCTTGGCTCTTGCGGGCGTGCAGGGTTCTCACATGGACAGGGATCACCAGTCTGCGAAAGGTCTGGTACAGTATTGGGGGCGCCGTCTTCAGCGCGCCCTCAGTCAACACGGACATGTCACCAGCAAACCAGGACGCGTGACATGGTGTGATGGTAAAGCTTTCGCAAACGGAACATGCAGGATATCTCTTTGTTTGTTGTGAGAGACAGCTCGCTTGCTTATATCGCGTCGTTCTCCGGTTGACCCAATCCAGCTCATCAGCATATCCCTGGAGCAAGAACGCTGTCTGCTTTTAGCAAAACACAGTCAGCAATGCAGAATCTCGACCTTGTCGCCAATTGCCTCCCTGGCTGGCAGGACGTCCGTATTGTATGTACATTACTAGTATATCGGAACCAGCCTGGATAGTTCGTCGCAGCTACTCTGTACAACCGGCCATCATGCACAAACGCGCTCCGTGAGACAGGTTCCCCTGGTGGCTCTCGGAGCGATAAGCTTTTGCCGATGTAACAGCTTAAACGTAAGCGGAGACGCGCGCGATGGAATCGGAGGAGTTGGCCTACTACTACATTGTAAACCTCCGTCAGTTTGCCGAAAATCATAACATGGACCAATATAGGCCACGCGTGTACGGAGAACTACTCCATGCAGTCAGTACCAAAACGGCGGAGTCGGTTGGGCTCTCCGGTGATACTGCTCGGAGCTTCAGCGCGCATCGAATGTATCAGACACGGCAACAACGTCTTCCTTTTCTCCATGCCCGGAGTACTTACTCTGTGGTACTAGCACGGAGTAGAAGATGCAAAATTCATCGTCCCTGGCTAACAACGCCGTGCCACGGCGCCGCGTCAGAATACATAGACATTGTGTCCAACAACAAGAGCCTCGAGAGGGACCGTCTCCATCTGTGCTGGACATCTGGAGCCTCTCTGGTGCAAGCATTCAAAAAAAGACTAACCTTCTCCGGATATCTATGATTACTACTGTTAGTCTCAAACCGGTACCCATCGTTGCCATGTCTTACTCTGTACGTCCATCTTTCTTCCATCCCGTCTTCCGCGGCGACACCATGGCCAATAACGACCAGCATAGTACGAGAGGTGCCATCCACTTTTTGACAACGGCTTGACGCGACGGTGGCATGTCAACATGTGTCCGGTTTTGTCCACTGCGGGTCCGATAAATATGCGGGCCAACCTCAGAAATGTCTCTATACGGAGCCTTGCCGTGTGTTTGTGGTTGCAGCGGAGTCTTTTGACGGTCGCTTCACCAAGCACCTCCATTCTTTCAGATGCTGACAAGTACCGACTGCCGAGGATCTGGGCTGATGGTGAGACAGATCATGTCCAGCAGACTTTGGGGAAGGGGGTTGTGACTTGTTGATGACTTCACGACTCCTCGTCTCTGTTGTACTAGTAGTATCAGGGGAAAAAGGACAAATGGGCGGGTGGACTGACTCGCATCGCAAGGCCCCTTCCCCGGACGGCACAGACTGCCGTACGTTGCGATTCTTCGTTTGTCACCTCTCACTTTCTCGGCGCAGTGGCTCGTCCATCCAACGCAAAGTTTTTTTGCCATCCACTTTACCCGGACAGTGCTTTTTTTAAGCTCAGATGCCGTGTCTCGGGGCAGCGGGATGGAGGCAAGAGGAGAGGACCGTGTGCTCAGTCGCTCGCCATTAGCCATTAGCCATTAGCCTTTGCAAGTGAAACATCCATCCAACGCTTGTCACAAGCAGATTCGGAAGCCCATCGAGACCTTTTTGTCCTTTGGAGCATGTGCATTTCGCTTTTGGGGAGGCCGTCGCTCGATTCCTCCCACCGACCGCCTCGTCTTTCCCCCTTTGGCCGCTTCCCCTTCCCAGAGAACATGCAAAACCTCGCCCCCCCAGCCACTTTACATTCATGCAAACATCGTGTTCGACCTTGATCCATCCCCCCGGATAGTAATAAGAGAATGAACAAAGTTAAACGCGCACATGGAGTCCTCTGCCCTCATCCCGGTCCGACAAGGCACCATCAGGCATGACGAGGCGGATATTCCATCCCCCCGGGTTTTGATTGCATAACATTGCGGCTGGGGCCTTGTTTGCTATTCCCATGGCCTCGGGAGGGCTGGCTGCTATTATGGACAGGGGAAAGAACGAAGAAAAATATGCCATTTCCTCGTATCTATGCTAACGCGCAGCAAGAAACAGCCTCATCATGTGATTGGGCGGTGCCCTGCGATATGGCTGTCTCTTCAACCAGGAACAAAACAGCAAACATCTGCATTGCCACCGTTTTTCGTTTTCTAGCCGAGCATGCTGCTCATCTTGGGAGAGACATTAATGCGTGTGTTACTGAGAGCTCATGCGTGTGATTCAATGGACTGCATACTCCGTACGAGAATCAACAAGTGAAGGGCCCCCTTGTCCGTGTGTGTGACGAGAGCTGCATGAAGAACACATCTGATGATGTGTACGTATGCGTGTGTCGGCATTCATCCGATTCATACGACGATGCAAGGTTCTCCTCATTTCTTTTCCCGGTGATTCTTCTTTTAAATAGGAGTGAGTGTCTCGGCCGAAGGGAGCATAACCCTACTTTTGTCATTGAGACAACATCAGATCATAGATGCCGTTGCCCCGACCAAAATCGGCCTCTGGCAGACTTGGACACTCAGCCCTGCCGTGTAACATGGTCACGTAAGAAATGACATCCAATTCGCAAACAGAGTACTACTATCGCCGAATACAGGGCAAGAAACACGTCAAGCCCTGCGTCGTATTCCGTACGTAGTGCCATCAGTACTAAATGAGATATCAGTGTGGTCATGCAGTTACCAATTTCATCTACTCCGTATTGTATGTACATTGAATCAAGGAATCCTCTGCCCAGTTTGCCACAAAATGACTGCAGTCGGTAAGGTTCCCCGTGTCGATTTCAGGGGGGAAAGAAAGGACAACGCTAGCTCTTCTAGATGAGGAATGCATGAGATGTGAGAAATCCAATTTATGCACAGATAGATACTCGCCACACACGCCAAATACCGAAAACAGCTCCCTTGCCGTAACTCGCGGCCAAACGTATCGCGTAAAACAGAACGAGAAATCACTGTAGTATGCCAACAGGAAATGAAGAAAACGAATCGCGGAGTAGGAAAAAGAAGAAGCCTGGGAAGAAGCCCGTCTTTCCACAGGCTTTTTGGACTGCGCTGAAACTATGGGGTATGAAGCTTATTATCTAGATTGCAAGTGACTGGTGTAATGCTACTCAGAATTATGAGACGGTCCAGACTCCACGTCACCGCTTGGGGTATCATTCTTGCTCTTTTTCTTAGGACGGAAGAAATCTCCTATTACGTCACTGACGCTTCGCGACCGCCTTCGCGATGGGTCATCTGTCTCGCTATGCTCATCTTCAGAAGGCTCTAGGGGACTTGGCAAAGGAAGATCCGATGTTGTTATATTCTGCTCATCTTCGTCAAAGTTGAAGAACAGACCCGCACGGATGCTAGACCGAATTCTTCTCAGTGATGATGTGTTTGCCAAAGATGCGTCATATCCTCGTAGGAATGCGTCCTTTACAACAGTCGTGACTGTAGAAGAAAGCGGCGATGGCGATATGAAAGTCTTGGAGCGATGATGGCTCGGAACCCGGGAGAGTCCTCCCGAACTCTGACGAGGAGTGAAGGGTCTGTCTGTAGGGTATGTATGGATGAAAGCTGAGTCTCGGATGGGAGTCGTGGCAGCTGAATTGCTTGGTGTTGAAATCACAGCAGATTCTGCCACCGCCGAGTCGGTAGAGAAGGTTCGTGTGCCACGAGGAAGGGACGCAGCGGACGACCAAGACTCTCGCCAAGGGTTATCGGATAAAACAGGAGGATCTGGTTCAATATCGATTAAGTTTGGCGCGCTGTCGGATGTGCCTTGACGGATTCGTGGTTTGTCGGACTTGTCTTGAGGAAATTGTGGTTTAGCTGTATCCGCAAAACTGACTCTCGACAATTTGCTAGATCTTTGAGACGGTGGTTTCGGTGATTCAACGTCTTGGACTAGTGGAGGGCCCGCCGTTGCTTCCCCGTGTCTTGTTAGGCCAATAGTCTCCTCGATCCCGTCGATATCAGACAATAGGTCCTCATCATCGGCCTCGTTTTGTTGCCGACCACTGGTGATAAGAAAAACTCCAAAAAAGGTGAGGAGGCAGCCGCCTACGAAGGTTACGGCTTGTTTTTCCGTCGTCTTTTCAAAGTCTCGGTAAAGAACAGCACTTCCCAGAATGACGCAAAGTGTGAAAAGAACGAACTGAATGGGGATGACTTGTGTGGAGTTAAAGCGCTGTAATGCTTTATTAACATATCGAATCTGCATGATTGCTGTGACGAGAAGAATGAGAAGCAGAGCATATGTCACTGGGGTCGTGAAGGCTCTCCAAAGAGTCGATGACAACATAGACGAAACGCCTTTGGTTGCTAACGCAGTATAACCACCTGAGATTCACGGTTAATATCATCGCAAGGGAATGGGTAAGGGAAAGGTGGGATTTGTCGCTTACCAAAAAGTCCCACAAGCCCGAGATCTATCAGACTAGTGCGCCTACCATATTTGCTGCTTGCCCACATCAACAAGACAATCAACGAGACTGTGACACCGAGATAGATTTCGAATTCCATGGTAGTGATTGCGCGCCAAACATCGTGAGGTTCCAGCTTGGTCTCCTCCTGATTTGCGCTGAAGACAACGGTAACAACTCCCCCAACAGCAATTACGACGCCCCAAAAATCCCTGGCGCGAAATCGCTCGTGGAACATTGCAGGCGCGATGATACAGTTGGATATCAATGCCACGACGCCTAAGGGTGACACAATCGAAGCAGGAGCAAATCCATAAGCCAAAAAATTACCCATTTCGCCCAGAGTTATGAGGATCTGTCCCAGCCACCAATATGGGGACTTGAGGTATGTTGATGTAGTTTTGTCATGTTCTCCATCAGCGCTGTCAACGTCGGTCGGGGCGATTGACTGGGAAGACTGAGATAGAGGATCAGTTTCGACTGATTCTGGCCCATCATGGACTCGACTGGCACTGTTGACAGAGCCATCATGACTGCGTCCGTTGCCGTTCCTATGCCCGTTAGGCTCTCCGGGCATGGTGCCATACGACGATGCACCATTGCTGCTACTCTGCGGCTGCTTCAAGGCAGCACGCGCCCGCTGCCGTACACGCACTCGTTCCTTATGTAGTCGCGTATGCGCATATCGCTGGACATTCAGAGCCAACGCTATGAGGACATTACCGACGATGGCTGTGACGATGCCAATGAGAGATGACCATTGCTGCAAAACCTCGCCGGGGTCGCCGGGGGACTGTGTAGCTGTAGCCGTAGCTGCCGTCGACGTTGTTATGCTCGCCGCGGGTCGCGTAGCCGCGGTCGTTAACGACCATGGAAAGGCCCCTGTCACAGTGTCCATCGAGGCAGCGCGAGCGTCGTGGCCGGCAGACGCAGTCGCGGGAAGCTTTCGAGGGCAAGCTGAAGATTGTTGAAGCGCTCGGCTCCCAGGACCATCAGGGTTGCAGGACAGGCAGATAGGAAATAAGATAGAAGCTTTCCGGATCAAGGGCCTAGTCGGATCATGGCTACTCTTGGATGTGGCGACATAAAGGGAAACTCAAGAAGAGCCCTGGGAGAAGTCGGTCGCTGCAGACTTCGGATGTGATGTGTCGTGACGTTTGTGCAAGCACTTGAGGTGAGTTGCGGAGCGGCGTTCGACATGGGTGGGGCTGTTAGTACGGAGGCTTGGCATACGTCGCATTCGTCCGTAGTACGTCAGAGTACGGAGTAGCTCGCAGGTGCTTACCCTACATACCTGCTTACTTAGGTACCTACCGTACTTAGTACTTAAGTAGGTAGGTACGGAGTACATGGAGTATTATTTAGGTTGCGATGTGAGCGCGACTATGAATAGCTAAAAAGCTCGGGTCAAGAGCTGCCTGGCTGCCACCCTGAAACCGGGGTTCTGGCTCCCATTGCTCCTTTTGACCATTAAAACATGCGTTTTATAGCTTCAATGTCTCGCCTGACACCAGAACAACAAGCGCAGGTTCCTCAGGTTCCATTGGCTTCGTACCTACCTCGAGTACGGGAGTATTGACCTGGCTCTAAGTACCCTAGAGGGCTCGCAGCCTGCAGCGGCGATGCTCGGACACTACGGCGTTGTTTTTCGGAAGCCGGGACCCACAAAAATCATTCAGATGTCAACCAGACTCGTGCAACTCGTGAGCTCATACAAGGCCACGACTTGTTCATGACCCTGAAGGCCAAATACCACTTCTTGAGCAACACGTCCAACAGCAACGTTTATTTGGATATCGCCTGACTCGGGGTCCTCCTGAACCATTTCTCATTGATGCATCTTTCTCTCGCGTAACATCTCACCTTCCTCGCCACAGACTCCCCGCAAAGCGTGCCACTCATTCCGCCCACCGCAACGTCTGTGCAGCTACGGCCTTACGGGTAACGCTGGAGATATCGAACCTGAGGAGGCGGGCTTCTCCCGTCAGTCGTATTCACCATAAGGACTATAACCATGGACATCCACGACAACAAAAGGCACACCACCATGGACGTCTTATCGCTGATCTCCTCCCCGACTTATGCCCCAACTACACTTCGCCACCTCCCTCAACCTGTTCCTAACCATCTGCCCACGGGAGTAGATGGCTCTATTTTCACATTTGAAGATGCCTTTGAGGATCTCCTTGCTGTCTCGCAAGGCCAGAGTCTCCCCGACATCACAACTCGCTATCAGCAAAGGCGACTGCTCCGGGATATGTTCCCCTCCGGAGAACCCACCTGGTTTTGGCTGCGACGCCTTGAATCCCAGGGCCTAGTCCAGGTTCCCAGTCGTGCTCAGTTCTTCAAAGCACACCAGCCAGACTGGACTAGCTTTCACGAAGAGCTGGACCGGCACGCGGCTGATGCTTGGCGAAGCGTCAGCAAGGGTTATGGCCATGATGCCCCTGGTTCTGGAAACTTCTTCGAAGACATAGGCAGAGCATTCAAACAACTGGAACGGGGTTTTGGGGAGGATAGCGCAAAGAACTCCTATACCGGCAGCGAGCAAAAGATGGAACTGGATAAAGGGCCCGATACCTTTGAGGAGCTCTTCTCTGAGATATCCTCGAAATTCAAGGAGAGCGCCTCATCGTGGGATACGTTCGTCAAGAGTATCTCGGAAGAAGCCAAGCTTCAGTCCCGAGAAGGGAAGCATGGGGCATACATTGATAGCCACGATAAGAACAAGGTTGTGACAAACGAAAATGAGCATGTGGATCGGTTTGGCTACTTGCACAAAACCGTCACCCGCAAAATGTTGGATGCAGATGGGAACGAGGTTGGCAGTGAAACCTATGTTACCATTCGCCCAGCTGATAAGCACCTGGACAACGAAAACAACATTGAAGCCGGAAACAACGAACCCCTTGAAATTGGGGCCGACTCTAAGAAATCAAGCTGGTTTTGGAAATAACGCTTCATACACCCAACCCGATTAGTGATTTTTTTTGCCTTGGGGGAAATCATCACTCCTCACCCAATTTACTACATCGTGGGAACGTAGTATTTCTTTTTTTTTTTGGATGGACTTGTCCCTCTCGGGATAGTTGATTACGTCTTTCTGATACCAATTGAGCCCCCTCTTCTTTGTGGAAAATATATAAATAGCTACATTGAGCCGTCTACTGCTTTTTTGCCTTCCCAAGCATGCAACTTGCTAAATGCTTACGTGAAATGCCGTTCAATGGCCGTGTCTCGAGAAAACCATCTTGCCGCCTGTATTAACTCTTACCCCGAGCCTTCGCCTTCTTTTTTCTCATCAACCTTGTACGAGCAATAAGTCTCTGCTGCATGTCCTCAGCCTTAGACGCTCCGTGATTCTGTTTGTCATCGCCATGGCTTCGTGTTTCTTCGCTTTCATGTTTCGCGCCCTTTCCGCGTCGTTCTAACTTCGGTGCCCTGCCCTTGCTAGTATCTGCCAATTCAGTTCGGGTGTTGCGTCCTTCTCGCTGTGATTCACCCGACTTCTCCTCCGCGGCACGCCGACGCTGAACAACGTTCGCATTTTCAATGGCGAATTCAACAATCAGTCGCTGCTTTTTTCCATTGTCGCCTTGAAGCTGGTGGCCATTGAGATAACGCAACCCCATAAGAGCCCAATGATGTGACGTGTATTCAATGAAACCATATCCACGACTCTTTCCAGCACCATTCATCTCATCAACCTTAGATCCCTGGTTGCTTTCAAAAACCACTTTAGCTTGTCGAACAATGCCCTTGCCCTTCAATTTTCGTTGGCGCTCCTTCTCTTTGGCATCTTTACCATCTCGGGCATTCTCTTCCTTGGATAAGGGTTGCCGAAGACCTTCTTTCACATCCACGGCAAAGCCCACAACAGCCTTTCTTGCGAGTTCCTTCAGCTCCTTCGAACCAATGTTTCGAGGGATATTCCGCAGAGACAGTCGTGTCAAACTGATATGGAGACTAGGGTTGCTTTGGACAAGTTTCTTCCGCTGCGCAGCGCTGGCCTGGCGCATTTGAATTTCAGAAGGACTGAGTAAATCGAACAGAGGAGATCCTCGTCCAATGGCTCCTTCAGAGAGCAAATATAGGCGGCGCTTGTCCTTCTCTCTGCGTTTCGCAAGCGAATTATCAGCTAGATTCGCTGCCTCCGCCTTGTTCACGGCCTGAGCAACTTGGAGAAGACGGCCGTCAAGAGTGTATTTACCACTAGGGTCAGCATTCTCGTCCAGCAGTAGTGACGGCTTCGACCCCGCGGCCGACGCGTTAGGTCGAGGTGCCTCTTTAATACACGATTTGGCATCGGATTGCTTCACGAAGCATACAAACCCAGTGCCCGCAGGCTTTTCTGTAATTTTGTCGATGACAACTCGGGCATAACGCACAGCACCGAAATGAGAAAAGAATCCTTTGAGTTGCTCATCCGTCGTTGTAAAAGGAAGGTTTCGAATGAAAACAGTGGAGGAATTATCGGTAGTTTTCTTCTCTGCACTTGACTTGCTATTGTCCACTTTGTCATCCTCCTCGTCATCTTCATCCTCGTCCTCCATGTTTTGCATGTGATTTTTCATAAAATTTTCTAAATCTGCGTCGAGTTCGTTGTTTTTATCAGGCTTAGAAGCGGTACCGTCATCGTCATTGTCGTTGTCATCCTTGTCGTCATCACTCGACAAAGCAGTTTCCGGAAGGGCTTTGTCATCCGTACAATTCTCTTCCTCACGGTTGGGAACTTCGTCTTCGGCCTCCAGATCCTGCTGTTTTTCCCAGGTCTCCTTGTCCACAGCCCAGTCAACTGCCAATGTCCGGCCATCGATTTCCTTGCCGTTCACGCCCTCCAAAGCCTTCTCCGCATTCTTCTTGCCCCGAATTGTGACAAACCCGAAGCCCCGGAGCTTCCCCTTCGACTGAGGCAAGTCGGAAAATTTGACTTTTCCATAACTTCTGAATAGATTGGAGAGCTGCTCAGAGGTCTTGATGCTCCAAGGCAGATTTCGCACAATGAGCTTCGGTGGCCTTTGACTTTCTTCTCTCCCAGGCCTTTTAGGGACGGTATCCTCTGAATTGGCGGCGTTTCGTTTCCTTGGCTCAGCTATGTCAATGCGAATACGCTTTCCTTCCCACTCTGCCTTGTCCAAAGTGGTCTTGGCCGCCAGAGCATCGTCCGAATCTGCCAGTGTGACAAAGCCGTAACCTCTAGACTCTTTGGTCTTTTGATCGACAACGACGACTGCATGCTTAACAGGAAAATGCTGGGAAAAAAAGTCTGCTAGGGTATCATTCGTGACGTTCGCAGGTAACGAGCGGACGAACAAGGATCTGCGTTCTTCTACTCGTGGACGCTTCGTACTTTGGCCTACTACAATTTGGGTATCCGCCGTTGATGGTAGTGGTTCTTCGACCTCGGATCGTTGTCTTTTACGGTCATTCTTCGAACTGGTAGCCATTGTGGCTAGGTGTATAGGCTTTCTCGAGCCTTTGACTGTTGGAAACTGAGTTGGAGGAAAGGTTTGCTGTTGCGGGCCGTAAAACCAATACTTCTACGGACGATGGCCAAAAAAAAAAAAACGGTCCTTGAGCTAAGGCGAGACCCATAGTTTTTATCTTATCGCGACTTTCAACACACCCTTGCGACGCGACCCATCAAATATCTAAACAACGGCTTCATCTGGGGCCCCTCAACAACAACTCTCATTTCTCAACCCACGAATATCGGTAGCAGGGAGCAGACTCTCCGCCGTCAATATACACGATGCCCGCACAGACTTTTAGTCGGTCGACGAGGAAGTCGACCACTGTTTCCCGAAAACAATCAACGGCGACTCTCAATTCCCGTGCTTCTGTCGCATCACGCGCCTCATTCGCTGCTATCGAGTATGTTGATACTCCAGACAACGCATTGCGGACAAAAATATGTGCAGTATTTCGCGATTCCCAGCGCACAACCGCAACGCATAGAAAACTTGCCGTGAATCTTCGTAAAATTCATGAGTCATGTTGCTACGAACCCGCCATGCCTACGAATGCGGCCTCCAACGAATTTGACGAAGCCGCTTTTAATAAAGAATTTGTTCGCTGTGTGCTGAGGATTATGCCGGTGAAGAAATCTGAGAATGTCGGAGAGAAGTGTGTTAGATTTGTCGGTTTCTATCTACGACATTCTAACGACAAGGACAACGAGATCTTGGGTGATGTTGAGGGAGACACCAGTTTAATGCCGGAAACGCCAAGCACAAGACTCACGTCAAAAATCCTTGAAGAGGTCCTGCCATTGATGACAGCTAAAGATAAATTCGTCCGGTATCGATCGACACAACTTATATCACATATTATCAACTCTTTAGATGCTATTGATGACGACCTGTTCCAGAAGCTCCGCCATGGCTTACTCAAACGGATTCGCGACAAAGAGGCCATGGTGCGGTCCCAAGCTGTGCTTGGTCTCGGCCGTCTTGCTGGCAATCAAGCCGAAGGCTGTACCAACTCGGAAGACAGTGATAACGACCAAGGAACGGATTTGCTGGGCAAGCTTCTCGAGGTCATGCAGAACGACCCTAGTGCTGATGTGCGACGGTCCTTGCTTGTAAATCTTCCAATTCTTCCCAACACTCTTCCATTTTTGCTCGAGAGGGCTCGAGATCAAGATGCTGCTACCCGAAGAGCAGTTTACTCCCGTCTTCTACCGGCTCTGGGTGATTTTCGACATCTCTCGCTCTCCATGAGAGAAAAGCTTCTTCGATGGGGTCTCCGGGATAGAGATGATAATGTTCGTAAGGCGGCTGGTCGGCTCTTCAGGGAACGATGGATCGCGGATTGCGCCGGAATTTCTCAGCAAGATGATGGCACTTCGGAAGAAGCTGTGCCCATTAGTTTTGATGGCTTGTTGGAATTATTAGAGCGCATCGATGTGATCAATTCTGGAGTCGAGAATGGTGTGGCCCTCGAGGCCATGAAAGGATTTTGGGAGGGCCGTCCGGACTATCGGGAGGCAGTCACGTTCGACGATAATTTTTGGGAAACACTTTCTGCTGAGTCTGTTTTCATGGCCAGGAGCTTCAACGACTTCTGTCGCAGCGAGGGTGGCGGACGATACGAGTCGCTGGTCGAAGAGAAGCTACCTGAAGTGACCAAACTCGCTTTCTACCTTGGGCGCTACATGGACGCTCTCATCGAGGCTCTTAAGAGGGCAAGCCAGCCTGCTGCAGATGAAGAGGAGGAGGAAGATACCGTCGAGCAGGAGTTCATTATTGAGCAAATGCTTCATATTGCCCTGACTCTTGATTACTCCGATGAAGTTGGTCGAAGAGAAATGTTTAGGCTGCTGCGGCAGTCCCTATCGATTCCGGAGCTCCCGGACGAAGTCACCAAACTTACCGTCGAAGTATTGCAGTATATCTGCGCTCCAGACGCCGCCGGTGAGCGTGAGTTCTGCAGCATTGTCCTCGAGTCTGTTGCAGATGTTCATGACACCATAGTCGATGATCCCCTTGCGGATGAACGTGACGATAGTTTCCACTCTGCGAAGTCAGAAGTGAGCCGTGGTAGCACACCTACCAATGACAAGAAGAGAGGCAATGATTCCGAGTTAAGTGAAGAAGATGCTCGAGAGAAGGCAGTTAGGGAAATTGTTGTCAATATGAAGTGCCTCCACATCGTTCAATGCATGTTGACCCATGTGGCTGGTAATCTGAAGGATAACGCCGATCTGGTTTCGATGTTGAACAATCTTGTGGTCCCAGCTGTGCGAAGTCATGAAGCGCCTGTACGAGAGAGAGGCTTGGTATGCTTGGGCTTGTGCGCACTGTTGGATAGATCCCTGGCTGAAGAGAATCTGGGATTGTTCATGCATTTCTTCAATAAGGGGCACCCAGCCTTGCAGATCACGGCTTTGCACATATTGACGGATATTTTAAACGTACACGGTGCTCAGCTGCTATCATCTACCCCTGGTTTACTCAAAGTCTACGTCAAAGCTGTCAAAGGCGGAGGCAAGGCACCAGAAGTCCAAGCCGCGGCAACTGTGGCCGCGTCAAAGTTGTTGCTCGGCAGAGTTGTGAGCGAGCAAGATGCATGCGAGGAGCTTTTGAAAGCACTTGTTGTTGCGTATTTCGATCCTTCTTCTGCGACCAACCATACTGTTAGGCAGGCATTGAATTATTTCCTTCCAGTATTCTGTTATTCGCGTACAGCCAACCAGGATCTGATGCAGGCCATTTCCTTGCAGGCGTTACATTCTCTGCTGAACTTGCGTGAAGGCCTAGAGGATGACGACGTTGACGTAGGAGAAGACATGCTTAGCATGACTACTATTGGTGCCTGCCTGGTAGACTGGACAGACCCAAGGAAATGTTACACTCCTGGGGCTGCCTTGGATACGGAGAAGAAGAATGTAAACGGCGATGTCCATCTCCGTCTTGGCCAGGATATTATGGAGAAATTGCGAAGCAATGTCAACAGTAAGTACATCAAATCATGTGTTTTTTGTTTTGTTACAAAGTCTTTCAAAAACTTACCAGATGAATAGAAGAAGAAAAGAAGCTGGTAGCTGGTCTTCTAGGCAAACTCTACATCTCACCAGGATCATCAGAGGCTATGATCCGAGACCTATATGCAGATGTAAGCGAGGCTGTTGAAGAAGGTCTGCTTAGTGATGCCACAAGCCGCAATGCGTTGTACAAGATCCACGTCAGCCTGGGCAAGATTGTCAATACACTCGACGAGCAGCAACCATCCAACAGGCGTACCAGCCGTAGTGTGTCTGTTGCAGCCACGGATAGACAGGCAGCAGAAGACAGGACAGTTTTGGAGGAGCCCAAGATCAAAGAGGAAGAGTTGAATGATAGTGACGAGGGCACCGTCGTGCTGAAGAAGGATGACAAGGAATCAGCGACAGACGATGCATCATCAGACGAGGAAGATACCAAGATGGAGACTGCTTAAGCTCCTTGAGACATAATGAATGAGATGCGAAGACGTAATGGAACAATGTATGGGTGGGAGTTATGCGAATAAGAAACCCCTTGCTTGCTTGGTACTTATATGATGTCTATCGATATTCGCGATCAAGAGATCTAGATGTCTGTATATTTTTTATATTTACCAAATTGAATCCACCTTCTTTTACGAATACGCGTTGTTGCTACCTCGCACCGAGAGAAAAGAGAAGGCTACCCAAGCCAACATTTATGGCCAGGTGCTGGGCCAAATTCCAAGCCATACAGTACAGATATTTGGGTGAGAAGACAGTCCAAATGAAGAGGTGTGTTCGCAAGGCCGTGCAAGCTGCCATGACAAAGGCAACACTAGCCGTCGCAAATAGGGTCAGGAGAACCAAGTGATGACGAAAGATGTGCCGCTGGCCCTGTCTGAATTTCTCCAGGAGTAGCAGATTGGTCGCTATGACCCAGAAGATGGGGCCTGCCCAGTTGCTGATGAATGTGAGGGCGCCGACGGCGACGACATTGAAGCCACTGATGCCGTTATAGGCGCTCGATAAATCGACTGACGAGATGGCATTTGATCCGCCAAAGGCAAAAAAGGATGCGTACTGGAACAGAATTGATGTAGTGGTTATTTCGGCCACTGTCAGTTCACTGAAGTCTAGCAAGTGTAGGAGTATGCTCGAGAGGAGGAGAAGCGGGATGTTTGTCGCCCGGGATTGAGTCATTGCCAGGAAGGCGTAGATGTGATGTATCAGTTTAGCTGTAATGCATAAATTAGCAAGTGATGAAAGCATATATACGAGAAGGTATTTAGGTTTTGCTATACCAGAGGATATGGCTTTCGAGCCTCCCTTTCGAGCCTGGTAGACTGCGAAACTGGAGAGTAGCAAGAGGACGGCAAAGACGACCCTGGCCCTTGAAAGCAAAGACTGCCCATGAAACGCATCGTTCATTTTCTTGGCAAAGGCTGTGACGAGTTCCGGCGAATCCTCGGCCGTAAAGGCGAGTTTGAAAGTGAAGGCGGAGGAGACCAGCACAGATGTGACTGATGTAACGGCAACGTATGGCAAGTCGTGAATGCTGGACATGAGCTGAAGAGATGCCACAAAATATGAGGCGATGATCAAAGCCCACAAAAGCGGCGGATTGGGTACAAGAAATAGTTTGACTAGGTCTGCTTCCCCTGCAAATTTTTGCCCTGTTTGGTTCCAGCTCCTTATCAGTCGAATGACGCCCAATGCCAGCAAATACCTTAGGCCGCTGGATGCAGCTCGAGTTCTGCAGGAAGGAAGGTGGGTTAGCCAGCCCGTAGTTGGAGAAAAATGTGAATCCTAAACAAGGGGCCTTATTTACCTTCGAATAGCGCCGAGGCCAAGGTGCCCAATCCAAATAGTAGAGGACCAGTACCAAAAATGTTGCTCCTCCTCGACGTAGCTGCTGGCAAACATCATCCCGCCGTACGATACAGTCACGACAACTAGGGGCAAGATGTTCCCGACACCGGCAGTTCCCAGGCGTGTCATTGCCAACACATTGCAAACGACGGCCACCAGAGCAAGTGTCTGGCCCAAGGCTAGTTTCGGGATGTCGTAGTTTGAGGCCATGCTGCTCATCAAATCCTGAGCTTTGCGAAGCCAATTGGCCATGCCAGAAAGCCAGATCGGGTCCAATGTCGAAGACCCAAGCAATGAATCAGCTTCTTTACTTAGCCTGTGCCAATCGCATGCCAAAGCGTTCATGTCGGTATCTTCGAGGGAACAAGGCTTGCTATTTGTTTTCGGGTCAAACAGCTCCTTGCCAGAAACGGCTGTCACGATACCAAGTATCTGTTTCGCGTTTCGGGTTAGAATCTGTATTTGATCCTTTGGCGAGGGCCAAAATGACAGAAAATCAGGTATGAATGCACCAAGATTGTTTTTGGAGATTGGAAAGCCGAGCAACGCAGCAATTGTGGGGGTAATGTCGGACTGTTCTACCATGGTGTAGTAGTCAAATTCATCCTTGGGTTGCGTTGGGGCCGCCAACTTGGGCAAAACACCTTTGAATTTTGGAGACATGAAGACAAGTGCTGGGGAAGTCTCGCCAGGAGATGACGCGCCGTGGTTCCCAGCATCATTCATTCCGTGATCACCGCAGAGTACAAACAGGGTTGACTTCAAGTGGTCTTTTGATTCCAAGCCCTCGTAAATCAGTTTTACGATACTATCCATTTCGCGTTGTTTTGGGGGCATGTTGTTACTGTTTCGCGCACAATTAGCTCGGGGTCCTGGAAAAGTAAAAAGAGCCATGGCCTCGAAAGACTACCTTCGCGGTCCGGACTTGTGGCCGATATGATCCAAGCCCAAGTAATGCAGTACCATGAGGCCCCAATCCTTATTCTCGAGCTCACCCGGAATGTTTCTGGTAACATTATTATCCACCTCTGTGAAATCCTAAACGTACTATCAGCCGCCCGTATCGTTGGATACGTTCAGGGAAAGGCGTACCGAAACAAAAAAGCTGGACGTGCCGTCATAGCGGTCGAAAGTTTCAGGAAATAGCTTGAGCCAAGTATCATCGCCAAACATCAACAGCTTGCCCTTGCCAGCGGCCCGAATTTGGGCAAGCCAGGTGTCTTGGGCAGCCAGAGTGGATGAGGTGTCGGCCTCATCAAAGTTGAGAATCAAGTCGACAAATGACGGGATTGACCCAGTGGTGATGGCCTTCAGTCTCGGCATGGTAACTGTTGGCGAGCGAGCGTTGGCAGTAAACGGCATGGCCACGCCCTTTCGAATGAGACTGGAGATTTTGGGGGATACGGTAAGCAAGGGGCCAATCACTCTTGATCTGAACTGGCAAGTCACCTTTGAGTATATTCAAACCCAGAGCCTTGGGAGAAGACGAAGTCACTGAAGAACAGAGCTGTTAGAGATGTGCATTTTCTCGGCATGGAGTCGTCACAAACATACCTTCTAAGCGCATCAACCACCATGAACACCAGCCGGTCAAATGGCGCGCGTGGTGGCTCACCAAACTCCAGTGGCTCATATTCCGCAAGGCCAGGAAGAACCGGTTTATAAGGGAAGAATCCGATTCCAAATGTAGCAATGGACAAGGGCACCAAAATATTGGCTATGGCTACAAGAACAGCACTCAGCCGCAGCCCAGCGTCGGTGGCCATGATGTCTCTGTCTCTGGTTGGCTCCAGTGACGAGGCAGGGACTGCAGGACGGTGCCGAGAGAAATACGCACACGTCAAACAAAGGACTCGTCCATCTGAGAGGTGCCTGAAGGGGACAAAGGCGAGAAAGCAAAAGCCGGCAATCGAGCACCAGCAGGGTACGATGTTCCCGTTTTGGAGGCGAGTGACTACTAGTACTAGACCTTTCGGTGGTGGTAGTATTGACTATCAAGGGAACGAACAGGCCAGGGGTCCAGAAGGGCCTGGGGGCTCCAGGGGTGACATCAGGGCCAATTGAAATTTGAGACCGCCGGCTTGACATGTCGACTGGTCAAGTCCAGGCTGCGCCACCGCATTCAGTCTAAATTCTACATCGAAGCCACACATGCTCTAACAAGAATGCCAGTTCAAGCGCGAGACAGTCTTGATAGAGCGTGCCAACGTGAGTGCTCACTCAGAGAAATACATGGACGGGGTTATTTGTTCGTCTTCATCCTCGTGTTTCCGAGACATCATAAATGCATCAACTCTTGCTGAAATGTACGCCATAAACCGTTCAACTCCAAACTGAAAAACTCAAATCATTTCGGCCGCTTATCGGCTGCCCTTCTGTTTCTTGGCCGCCTTGTCACTGTACTTGGCGAACACAATGCTTGACTTCTTCTGTTTCCTCTTGTCGATGCGCTTCTTCCCAATGCGCGACTTTGAAGGCTTAGAATCGATTTCCATGCCTGAGCGAACAATTAGTACATACCGACGACTTAGGTAGAGTATAGAGCAGAGTACATACCCGTATCATCACCAGCTTGGGCGCTGCCAACTTCTTCCGCCACGTCTTCGCTTGCGTTGGCTATAAATCCTTAGCATAATGTAGAAATGTGCCATTCGCCATTCCATCAAGTCGCCTACCGTCCATGTTCACATCCGAAGACTCGGGCTTAGGTTGTCTCGCCAACTCCAGCAGCTTCGCGGACAGACGCTCGTTTCGAGCAACCTCAGCTGGGCTGAAGACACTGGCGGCCTTGCGCCTGTTGTTCTCTTTCCTGGTACTTGACCTCGAACTCTTGGCCATTGTGTCTGTGAGTATGTGCACCAGGTGAAAATGGCGGCCAGGAGGAAGGCGTGTTCAATGGTGAGCCCTGGATATCGGGATGGTGTGAGGCGGAAAAAAAAGTCTTGATAAGATAAGACCAAGACCGTCACATCGTTCACAGTCGCAACTTGCACTCATTAGCGGGGCGCAAAAAACCCACAGCGTGAGATCTGGCATGGTGACGCCAGCAAAATCTGTGGCGCAAGGGCGCCAGGGTGCTGACTTCTGCTGCGTGGCTGGAAAGAGCCAACTGAGAAAAGCACTGATAACGCCTGGCAGTATTATAGACGGAGGCACCGGCAGCAAGTTCAAGATTGAAGCGTGCCTTCTCCCTCTGTAGGCACGAGTCAACATATTCTCGCCCTTCTCGCCGCGGTTAAGTGTCTGTCGGCCACTGTCACTCTCCGTCGCCAGCTGCCTGCCACTGTGACCGCCTTCCGGATCAATTCAATGTTCGTTTGATCAAAGGGAGCAAGCATCACGTTTCAACGCCAACAATTGAAGCCGGGTTTCGTCACGTTTTTCGCCAAGTTGGGTCAGGATGCATTACATGACCTTGTCACTGCGCCGGCAAAATCGATCCTTTTCGACTTAACAACCTCAAATACTCTGCTTACACCGACCGCGAACTCAGTCGGTACAAATCACAGTCTCCCCCGCCGGGCCAGGCGCAGGCGGCAAGTGAATGTCTGGTGGGCATCCTGACACCCGCGCGAACGACGACGTTTCGACCTGCGAGCAGTGTCTTGCGAGCCGTGGGCTGCTCGTCACCGAGGATCTAGCAGACTTCTGAAATCTAGGACTCGACGTTTCTCACAACCAGACACTTGAATAGCGGTCGGTCCCGGGGCCCGCGTGCCCAAGAGTGTTTAAGCCTCTGCTTTACCATATCGAGACGCCCCGGGTTGCTCTTGCCATTCATGCCGAGCTAGCCCTTGTCTTGCCGCTCTTTCCTCTCGCTCTGTCCCCTCCGCCTTCCCGTCGAAACGGCCGAAGCTGTCACACCCAGACCATATTGCGATGGCGACTTCCTTTTCCCCCATACAGAGACAGGACGTAACTACCCTGGTGCGGCTGGTCCAGGGCAACCAACTGTTGAACCGTCAACTTTCCTCCATTTGTCAAGTTAATGGTCTGAAAAGCACCGGTGTCAAGGCTGAACTCCAGCGCCGCATCGTTGACTGTAGGTTTTGCCCGGATGGAGCTGACTGCACATTTTATCTAACCATCATCCTCTCCATAGTGATACAAGACACTGTCAACTCTAATGATGCCTCACGTTTTCAACAAGTGCGGCAAAGCATCACCAATGCCGCCTCGCAACGACCGAGTCCATCGTCCAAGGCATGTACTCAACGAAGCACGATGACTACTGCCGCAGGGCTTCCTACCACGCAGTTTGCGCCTCCAATGACTTCCTACAACCAAGCCGCCAGCCCTTACCAGCAACGGGGCCTTCATGGATCTACCAGCGCCGTAAACGGTCGTACTTCAAACAATCCATTCACCTCGTCCACTGGCAATATAATATTCCACCCCAGTCCATTCTACAGCATAGAAACCGCTGTTAGCAACTTGCGGACATGTGAAAGTATGTTGTCTTCTTCCTTTTGCCATCAAACAGGAATGACTCGTCTAATGACCCCGGCCTGCAGCAATGGCACAGCATAGGAATTCGATCAACATACCAATCAAAGCCAGTGACCACCCAGCGCTCCTACAGTGTCTAACTGACGAGTCGTACCGAGTTATGATATTTTGTGCCGGCGACATATATGGGGTCCAAAATGTCGCATTCCCCCATCAGTCTGAGCTAAAGGTGAATAACCAGGAGATCAAGGCAAATTTGCGTGGCTTGAAGAATAAACCTGGGTCTACTAGACCAGTTGACATCACGGCTGCACTTCGCCTAAAACTACCCCTTTACATCAATAACGTCGAGTTCACATATGCTCTAACCAACAAGGTAAGATTTTCCATTTGATGTCAGTTCTTTTTCACCTCCAGGAAATATAGCTGACATATCAACTCAGAAATTTTATCTCGTTGCCAATGTTTGCAAGATCACAACAGTAAAGGAGCTAGTCTCCATTATTTCTACACGTCGAAGGATACCGAAGGAGTCGGTTGTATCCGAACGTAAGCTGATGTTTTTTCTCTCTTTACAAACACCCCCCCCTAGCCACTTCACAAGTTCTCTCCCTGAAATGCCCGCTCTCTTATATGAGATTGGACGTTCCATGCCGCAGCTTGAGTTGCACTCACATACAATGCTTCGACGCTACGTCATATCTTCAGCTTCAGGAGCAAGGACCTCAATGGCTCTGCCCCATTTGCAACAAATCGGCACCTTTTGAGCAACTGGCAGTTGACGAGTAAGTTCAACCCTACTGATGAACAGGCAATCACCCAGACTGACTCTCACCTGCTAGATACGTCCGGGATATTCTAGCGAACACGCCCAAAGATCTCGAAGCCGTCACTATTGAACCAAATGGGCATTGGTTGACGAAAGCATCTCGTGATGAGAATCCGAAATCATCCAATGATCCTGCTTTTGACGACGATGACGAACTAGAAATCTCAGAAATCAATATTGTCGGGCGTCGATTAGAAACCCCCAAGACTATAACACCCATAACCGGCACACCTGCATCTGGGGGGAGAGACAGCTCAGCAAGTGCACCACGCAGCGTCCCACCCAACAGCGCTAAGCGTCCAGCAACAGCAGTCATTGATCTGACGCTTTCATCCGACGATGAGGAGCCATTGGAAAAGCCTCGTAAGAGACAGAATACTGCAGCAAATGGATTCCAGAACTCGAGTAGCATGGGCTTCCTGAGCGAGTCTCCTGTGGGTTACAGGCCTAGCTGACCGATCAACAAGAATACATGCTCTTAGTAAGCGGTTACCCGATTGAAGCTTCGTCTGGGCCCTCTGGCGACAAGGGCTCGAGATAGGTTATGGTTCGTGGTAATGTCATTTGTTTTCCTTTGGTATTTTGGGATACGAGGCACAGGCGTTTGGGCTTAAGAAAAAGGAAGATTCCCCTCTTGTTTAGTCGGATTGGCTCCATCTTGCGGTTCGACGAGAAGATGTGGAGTTTGGGTTTTTCAAGGTTGATTCATGGTCATGGCATGGCAGTTTTATTTACTAGGGACGGTTTTGTCCTTGGCATTATACAGAGATAAGTCTAGTGTACAAGACTTTATACAATGCCTTTATTGGCTTAGCATATACAAAGCTTTGTCTTATGTTGGACTGGTTCGTCTGTATCAGGTTTTACAGCATTAACAGGCATAGGTGAAGCAGGATAACTTGACTGGTTCGTGTTAATACGTGTTGTAGGCGGCGCGCGAGAAGCATAGCCACCTCACAAACCTTACCAACCAATTTAAAGGCAATCCTGGTAAGCTTATTCACAGCCTCACAGGCATATAGCTGTTGAAAGAATAGCATAGTAATGGTATAGCATGGGGTATGCGCAATACTGTGTAGCACCATGAATCGAGGTTACCACGGAAATCGCTGTTTGAAAATGTTGGAAGGGTATTGACCAAGATTCTGGCGATGTTGTGGAGGGGATCAAACGTTTGTTTTGTATACATATCACTGGAACAGTGATACATGGAGTCTGTGCAGATCTAGAGCTGCCTACCCTACAGAGGCCCGTTTCTTCGGTTCCCGCCTTGTGTTCAGAGCCACTACTAACTACTCTAACGCCCAGGGTCCATCAGCGCCCATTCAACAACATGTATACTCGTCCTTCTGTTGCCGCTACACGCCCGACCGAGAAATAATTGCCCTTCCCGCCTCGACAACAAGCATTCCCTCCTGTCACCGATTCGTCCAGAAGCAGCAAGAGCACCTAATCGCCGCGATCGCCATGTCTCTCGACCCCGTAATGCCCCCCTTCAATTCGTCGGATCCGTCCGCCAACTTTCTTTCGTCATCGTGCCTCGACTTTCTGTTGATAGAGCTCGTCCCTCTTGCTTACCGCGTCACAAACGAGCGGGACTCGACGCAGGATCCGTCGGAGCCCGCAGGCGCCCAGACGGCCGAGGCGGCTTCGACGAGCCACCGCGGCGCGAGTCTGGGGTCGGGGGGAGCTCACCACGCCTCCAGCTCGGGTACCCGGAAGCTGGATGACGAAGAGGAGCTTGACGCGGTGCATTTTCGGTTGGAATCTCTCGGGTACCGTGTTGGCCAGGGTCTGGTGGAAAGGTATGTCTCTGTCACGCTGCCGTTTGGGGGAGGGAGTAGTTTATTGTTCACGTTGCTGAACTCTGTGCAACCTAGATTCTCGAGAGACCGTCCTCGATTCAACGATACCCTGGATGTGATCAAGTTTTTATGCAAAGATCTGTGGTCTCTTGTGTTCGGGAAGAATATCGACAATTTGAAGACCAATCATCGGGTACGCTTATCCAGCCAAACGCTACAAGCTGTTGAGGGAAAGTGCTAATTTGATGGGCAACTAGGGAGTGTACGTTCTGACCGACAACGTGTTCCGCCCATTTTCGCGCATGAGTACTGTTGCAGGGGGTCAAGCGGTCGTGCGGGCACAACCGGTATGACATGGTTTCCTGGCTGTGTAATTGTGTCAATCAAGCATGTCGCTAACCATGTTTTAGTTTCTTTGGTTTCCCTGTGGAATCGTGCGAGGTGCCTTAGCGGCCTTGGGCCTAAGGGCCACTGTTCAAGCAGAAATCAACGAACTGCCAGGAGCTGTTTTCCAAATCAAGACACTCAATTCCAAACCATAGCTACCAAAGATATATGAGTTTGTTGCAGCAATTTTTACACGCAAGGTACAGTGCAATATTTGCAATTTGCTCTAACGCGACGCCCACGAGACTCGCAAGCCAAGTCTCAACGCCAAATACGACCAGTTCCTGTTGGTTCCCACATGCCTTCGTCATCCACTCCCTGAATATTACCATTGACGGTCGATACGCTCTTAAGGGTTGGGTAATTGGCGAAAATGCACTTCACAGCCTATGAAAAGAATCCAACATCAGCAACAACGGCCTTGTTCATATATTACGCTAGTTTCACATAGCTATTGTCTCTGAAGACAGCCATCCGTAAATCAGATTGCTGCTTTGCGGAAGTTGGGGATTGTTCACTTTTGGGGAGGGTTATGAGCAAAGTCAATGCCCTTCTTGATGTTGCCCTTCAGACCCTCCACAGCCTTTCCAAGAAGCTCCTTCTCCTTCTCGGTGAGACCCTCCAAGGGGTTGGTGGCCTTCTCGGCACCGTTGGGCTGGAGCAGGTGTTAGTGAATATTCAATGATACAAGAAGATGGGATTCATGTGGTTGGGGGCTCATTGGCATACTCCAAGTTCAACAGGAACAGAGAAGAAGTCGCAACCAGTCTCCTTGGCAATTGCATCGCCACCGGGCACACCAGGAAGATAGACATAGCTGGGCTCAACAAGACCCTTTTCACCTTTCACAGCACGTAGGAGTTTCTCGGCGAAACTAAACCAATTCGGTTAGCTGCTGTGAACAATAGTCGCTTACAACAGGGGCCAGTGGTCGAACATACCGGAACCCAGCGTACGCCATAGATAGAGTGGCGGATCCGGCGCCGTCCTTGGCCTTCACGACCTCATCGCCACCGAACTGGACACGGTTCACCAGGGCGTCGTACTTGTCAGCAGGGATGTTGACTGACGGGTTGGCCTTGCTGAAAAGAGGAACAATGGTCTCGCCAGAGTGGCCGCCAACAACGGGAATGGTGAGCTTCTGGGGTTCCTTCTGGCCGACGATTTCAGCAACAAATGTCTCGGCCCGCACAATATCCAAGGTAGTGACACCGAAGAGACGCTGGGCGTTGAAGACCTTCTTTGCCTTCAAAACTTCGGCGGAAATGGGAACAGTGGAGTTTACGGGGTTGGAAATGACCAAAACGAAGGCCTTGGGGGCAACCTCAGCAATGGTCTCTATCAAGCCCTTGACAATGCCGGCATTGATGTTGAAAAGATCGTCGCGTGTCATACCGGGCTTGCCTGTAGAACGGGGATTGTCAGTCGGCATTCTAAGGGAACGGATTGCAGAGTGGCCAGGGTTTGTTTGGACGTGTAACACAGGATTATGGCATACGAGGAATTCCGGCGGGGATGACGATGATATCCGCGTCCTTGAAGGCAGCCTTTGCGCCGTCGTTGGCAGGAAGGTAGCCAGTGACTTTCTATAATAACCCAGACATTCCCGATCAGCCAACTGTGCATTTTTTTAATGGGAGAAGGTGTCGTTGGTCCGTGCCAAGGGCCAAACTTACCGCAGTTGAAGAAATGTGAGAGAGATCGGCAGCAACACCGGGCGTGTTGACAACATCGTAAAGAGCCAGCTCATCAATATGAGGGCTATTCTTCAGGAGCAGGGACAAAGGCTAGGGAAACAGTGAAGACAGAACAGTCAGCAAAGGTTTGTACTCGAAAGAGCTGCTGCTCCGATGACGGGTCTGGTCAGAGCGCAAGCCCAACAAACTCACCTGGCCAATGCCGCCAGAGGCGCCGGCAACAACTATCATTGGAGAACTGTCAACATTACCGAAGAAAAATAGCACTTATTGTGGAAATATTCGGGAATGCGGGGTTGAGGGATCCTAGGCATACCAGCTTTAACCATGATGACGACGAGGGAGGTTGGATGGGTAGTGTCGATTGGGAACGAACCGCTGAGGCTGTTCTAATTGATTGTATGGGAAGGAGTAACGAGGACCGAAAGGACGAGGAGGACGAAGAGGACGAAGAGGACGAAGAATGACGAAGTCCAAGTGATGTGAAAAAAGGATAGTTGGAAGAAAGGAAGAAGGCACCAGAGAGGTTCACAAAGAAATGGCGCGGAGCTTTCTGTATAGCAGAGAGGCCTTGCACCATCGAGGCACGGCCAAGCGTCGCAGCGAGGGGCTCCGAGGAGGGGCTCCGATGAGGGGCAGTTTGGACACCAATCAGAGCGGCACGAATGAGGAAACAAGCTGGACCGGACTGGCCACCACAACCACCACATGTTTTCATGATGGACCAGACTCGACCCAGCCCAGCTCGCCCAGCCAGACTCGACCCGACCAGACATGGACTCTTCATGGCTGGCTGTTGGACCCGCCCGCCCGTCACTGCCGGCTCCCAGTCCCCTGAGAGTCCACCGCGCCGCCGTCATGACCCGACCAACGCGCGCTTACTTGGTGAATCGCTTGTGAATGGCGAATGATCCCGAGGCTATTCGAGAGCCCTCGCCATCCGGATCTTCACGAGCCCTTGGCGTCTCTTCCCTAACCGACTTCGCAGCGGTCTCTAGCCAGCTTGCCTCTGACAGATCTAGCAGTAAGAAGCCGAACGACGTGAATTGCTCGGCGGGCTCGTTTTTTTTTTGTTAGGTGCGCTCATGCTCCACCAGGTACCTGGCTATTATAATATATTATTGTATATTTCACAATAAGTAAATAGATTCTGCCACAAATTACCGATCTAGGTACTTGGATATATATATATATATAAGGAGAGTTTAAAGACAACAAATACCTACCTAGGCAGTGGGGGATGAGCGCACCTAGCAAAAAGAGTGAGAGCTCGCCAAGCAATTCATCCCACGACGCCACTGGAAGAGCAACCAAATCAGATCCCCCTATTCATGTCGACACGAGAACAAAGGACAAACTCATGTGTTCCGTATACATCCAGAAGCTATCAAGCTTCATCAATCACATAACGCTGATATAAATCCTTGCTCCTGATCCGGACGTCCTATCCAACCTGTACAATTTCCCGACAAGGGCTGAGAAGGAGACACAGTTGACCACACAGGGTATTTGTCTATTGTGCATTGCACTGTTAGATGTAGATACTAATGTATATTTGGCAGTAGGCAAACGTTTCGCCACAAACCGAAGTCATCTCGAGGCTGCCACATGCAGCCAGCATGAATCAACCATTGCCAGACAACAGTACTATCCGAGTTTGCAACAGGCTCTGCTGTTCCCAAGTAGACGACACTCTATGATATCTCGCGCAAATCAACCACGAAACACTGCCTTTCTACGTTGGCCTGCCTTTTCATACAACTCTTTCGTTACCTCGCAACTTGCTGTCATTTTGCATCACGACAATGAGCAATGCAAGAGAGTCACGCCTCCACATGAATCCAGTATCCAAATGCTTCTGCTGCTCAAACTCTACTATATGATTTCACACCCTTCCCTCTTCGCATATTATATCCCTGTAGTCTGTACGGGACAGTCTACGATGCCGCCATTTCCCCGGGAGATATGGATGTATAGTCGGATGCTTGATGATGCCGGATACTACGTTTCCAAATAGACAAGTATGACGCCCTTAAGAGTAATCGGTGCCATAATGCATGGGATGCTCAGCAGCCCTGACGCTCAAGCCAAATGCCTTCGTGCAAGTCTGCTGAAGGAGGTGGAGGCTTGTCGTCTTGTCATGAACGTAAAGATGTTGCGGTTGATTAAAGGTAACTTGGGTCATTACAGCCGGCAACTCCACGTCCGTTTCGGCTAGACTCCTGTCCCTGCTTCTTAACTGTGAGCTGTGAAAGATACAACAGCTGTCGCAGAATAGTTGGGGAAATCATTTTAAACCGTTCATTGTCAAATTCCGCCAACGGGGCAAAACTGCCGGCGGGTACCTACGCAATACTGGAAGCTGCAAGTACAGTAGAATTCGTGCCTTTTACTCTAGGACTTCATGTCGGAGGCCGAGTGCTAACTTCACTGTGTAGCCACTGGTATTGATGACTTGATCGAAGTGTCAGGCTTTCTCCGAGACATACGATGCGTAACAGGGTTGGCTTGAACACGGGCTCCCTAAAAACATACCCCAGCATTGCCTCAAGCCTGGAATAAGGGTTGGCAAGAAGTTGCGTATGACATACAAACTGCACTTGTGGCCGTTTCCGATACATCATAAAATCCCGAAAGCGAAAGCCGGCTCAATCCACGCATGGCTCTTAACAAGATGTTCAAGCTTCTCTCAAGTTGAGGCTGGAGGAAAGGATCAGAAAGAGTCGAGCTTCATGTACGGGCCAAAATCTCTGAAGCTGTGAGACTTGTACAACATTACGGATGGTAAAGACCGTCTTCTCAACCATCTCACATGTTCTGTGGTTACCAGCATGCTGGCCAACGTCATACGCTACGCCTTTGGAAGACGGAGACGGGGAGACTTCATTGCCAACCCTCGGGGTCGACTGCAGCATTTTCTTTGAGATATAGAATATTATCTCATGGTGCTCCGGAACTGTCTACATGTGTATAGTGCACATAGATAGCTTTGCGTCACTATGGAAAGAGCATATACGATTTAAAGGGTTTGAAGTTGGGCCGTAAAAGGGACGTTGCTATCGCAGTTTCTCCTTCACATCTGGTTTTCCGAGACAGGAGGCAATTTCACACCTTCACAAGGAACACGCGAATTCATGTCCTGCGGTTTTGAACGGGCCAGCAACGAATGATTCATAATAGGGGAGGTAACGAATGATTCAGGGGTAATCACTTTCTCCAACTTGCTCAAGCGGCTACACGGCGGAGACAGAGCCTTTTGCATATTCAGCAAGCAGTGCTCAGGGAATTATACGTCCATGAAGAAGTTCCTGCTAGTGATAAAGGGCCTCTGGGGGAACTGTTGAGACAATCTCACACTGGCAAGGTGATCATTGTCAGTCATTACCTTTATCTTGGGTCGCCGATGCAGCAACCTCAACAAGGTAGTCATACGCGAGGAATTCCTTCGCCTTCCAGGTTTCGTCAAATTTATACGCAGGCGTGCCTAGATGTGGCCCGCGAGGACTCTCTTTCATAGTACTTCAGACTGTGGCAGAGCTGCTTGGCGCTATCCGAGGCGTAGCTAGCAGAGGAATAATTCCCACTGCTTCTTCCATTGATGGCCGAGCTTGAAGAACCTGAATCATGTAACGAAGTAAAGACATTTCCCAGGTCCGGCTGTATCGAAAGGAGTCTTTTTAGCCGCCTGCGGAGTGTATTCATGGACGCTTTTGGCGGCACTGGTCCATCAGTTGTGCTTCCATGACCTGACAAGCGACGACACGAAGTAATACGCGAGACAACAGCCGTGTAAATATCCAAAATTGGGATGAACTTGGTATTGATAAAGAAAGCTCGTCTCGATTATGGCCATATCATGACCCGTCATTGTAATTGATCCTGGTAAAATGGACGACTAGAGGACCCCTTCGTGACCAACAGGACCATTCGGTATATAGTTTGATAGTGTCGTTCACGATGCAGCCGTATCTTTGTCCGGTAACTGGTTCAGTGATTGAATTGTATACAAGTAAATTTGTTAGTCCATGCGTTTCTAAACACGCCTACATGGTTGTTTTACAAACACCACAACCAGTATCTTGGTAGCATGTCCATGTTTCCACTCAGGCCCTGCCGCTCTTCACTATGCTAAGATGATCTCATGACGCTTCTAAATCCCAAAAAAAGATCGATTCGACCCGGAATGCTAATGCTTTCATGATACCGTCCGCAGATCATGAGTTCATAGTAAAACCCCCGGACCACTGTTGCGAGTGTATATTCGCAAGACCAAGTCGAGCAGGGAGTATCAGGATCATGTCCCCTGCTCACCATGAAAACAACTCGCACGCACAGCACTATACTACAAGACGTGGCATTTTGGAAATACACTGAGCCTATCAGGTAGTTGCGCATTGTCCTTTCTGCCAGGATTTAAACCTTTTTCAAACAGGCGTCAGGGTGACATGGTTGCATCCGCAGATGAACAAGTTCGCTTGTCACATCTTGTACTCTCCGACCGGGCCCTCCTCACTATTAAAAAAAAAAGCCAAGGTTCACTAGTGCACAGAGTCTTGGGCCGTATTCTGTCGAAGCTACAATTTTGGCGCCGTCACATCCTGCTGTAACAGTATGTACATATAAATTGGCGAACACACAGATCCCGCGCGAACCACCGTGCCACGGCCTCTGCATCGTCGTGAAACACGACATACAGGGTGCCGGTATCCAATGAGACGACTGCGTGGACTTGAATGCCATGGATGCTACGTGACCGAGGGCACACGATCCCACAGAGCCGCGCTGTCAGTCCCCTGCTCAAACATGCTCGGCATTGGGCTCAGCCGTGGCGTGCGGGGAAAGCTGGGAGTTCGACACGAGCGCCAAAGGGGGAATGAATTACGCTGCGACTTATGCCGAGACATTGTAACTTGATATACAGCGAGGAGCCTGTGTCATTGCCGTCCTGTTTCGGCACTGCACGGTGCTGCGGCGCGTCAGATACATGCTGGGGGGTTGTTACTTGCTTGCTTTCGGCGACTGGTAAAAACATGCCGCCAGACTGAGTTTCTTAGACCCGGAGTTCAGTTGCCGACCTGCGTAATGTTTTCTGATGCATCACCATGTTCCATCTTGGGGCGCGTCTTCTTCGCGTAGAGTGCTCTAATGCAAGCCGACGGCCTCAGCTTAACCGTTTTCATGTCTGCACCGAACTGGCGGCTGCTAGTGTCATTTAGAGGGCGTCACCATCA